GCAGCAGCAACTGCAGAGCGGAGGGCAGCAGCAGCTGCAGAGCGGAGGGCAGCAGCAGCTGCAGAGCGGAGGGCAGCAGCAGCTGCAGAGCGGAGGGCAGCAGGAGCTGCAGAGCGGAGGGCAGCAGCAGCTGCAGAGCGGAGGGCAGCAGCCCAATCAGAGCGGAGGGCAGCAGCAGCTGCAGAGCGGAGGGCAGCAGCCCAATCAGAGCGGAGGGCAGCAGCAACTGCAGAGCGGAGGGCAGCAGCAGCTGCAGAGCGGAGGGCAGCATGAGCTGCAGGGCGGAGGGCAGCAGCCCAATCAGAGCGGAGGGCAGCAGCAGCTGCAGAGCGGAGGGCAGCAGCAGCTGCAGAGTGGAGGGCAGCAGCCCAATCAGAGCGGAGGGCAGCAGCAGCTGCAGAGCGGAGGGCAGCAGCAGCTGCAGAGCGGAGGGCAGCAGCAGCTGCAGAGTGGAGGGCAGCAGCCCAATCAGAGCGGAGGGCAGCAGCAGCTGCAGAGCGGAGGGCAGCAGCGGCTGCAGAGTGGGGGGCAGCTGCAGCTGCAGTGCGGAGGGCAGCAGCAGCTGCAGAGCGGAGGGCAGCAACAGCTGCAGAGCGGAGGGCAGCAGCAGCTGCAGAGCGGAGGGCAGCAACAGCTGCAGAGCGGAGGGCAGCAGGAGCTGCCCGATGGGGTGCAGCTTGCGAGGCTGCCAGAGGGGGAGATGGAGATGGAGTCGAGCAGACAGGTCTTGCCGGCGTGTTCGAGTGGAGAGGAGCACCCAGACCCTATGCTGACACCCCCGCCCCGCATCCCGTGCGAAACCTGTTATCGCACTTTCACGGAGAGAGGAAAGGCCACGCGTCATATGTCGGCCTGCAGGGCAGCGGACGCCAAGCGCCGTGCACAGGCGCTTGGGTTGACCCGCGACGTCACAGACGACTCGGACAGCGAACCTCCGCCACCACGGGATATCAGTGAAGAGGTGTGGGCCGCAGTTCCCACATGGGACTGGGAGTCGTTTTTCGGGATCGAATTGGTGCCAGGGAGAATCATGCGTCGCATCCCACAGCGCGCAAGACTGGGGGTGCTTGATGCACTAGCTTGTATCCTGAAGCGGCTCAAGTCAAAGGCAGCAGACGAGGCGGCATCCTTGGTGTTTTTGGCCTTCCCTCGTCTTTTCTTGGGGATTCCAACCGGGCAAGGCCAGGGGCAGAGGGCGGCAATTAGGGAGCGGTTGGAGAAGTTTTGGGCTGGGGAGTGGCAGCAGCTGTTTGAGTTGGCGGTGGCGGCGATGCAACCTGCGGCTCGCCCCTTGTCCTTCACCCCACCCGAGCATGATCCTGATGCCGTGCGCCTATCCCGCTGCCGTACAAGGTGCAAAGTGGGAGAATGGAGTCGGGGTTTGGCGTGCCTTACGGCTGGTAGCATCGCTCAGCCCTCTCAGCACATGGTGGACGCGCTACGAGCGAAACACCCATCGTGCGAGTCCGCCATTCCTGGGTGGGTGCAGGAGGAGACAGTCGAGCCTTCCCTTATCCCACAGCTCTCAGTGGAGGTACTCGGCCAGGCGATCCACTCAGCGGCTAGGGCGTCCGCACCAGGACCGTCGGGGTGGGTGACGGAGCACCTGCGCGACACTTTTCTCTCTGAGCCCGCGTATCTGTCCCACCTGCTAGAGGTCTTCACCCAGTGGACCAAGGGAGAGGTAGCGGAGCGCGTGCGACCCTGGCTCACTGCGTCCAACTTGGTGGGCCTGTCGAAGCCGAATGGTGACGTTCGCCCGGTGGCTATAGGCGAGGTGCTCCCCCGCATACTATCTCGGGCCATATGCATCGTGCTTCGCCCGAAGATGATGTCGCACTTTGCTCCGTGTAACCAGTTTGGAGTCGGGTCCAGGTCGGGAGTGGAAGTCCTCGCACATGCCTTTCGCTCCGCCATCTCTACTCACCCGTCGTGGTGTGCGCTGCAAATTGACGTGGCGAACGCTTTCAACTCCTTCCATCGGCGGGAAATGTTTGAGGGTCTTCGACAGTCGCCTTTCAAGGGATTGATTCCATTTCTGCGTGTCTTCTACGGCACTCCTAGCGACCTCTATCTCCGAGCGGGCCCTTTTGTCGAAGCTTTGGCTTCCGAGCGGGGCTCGAGGCAAGGGGATCCATTGGGTCCGTTTCTGTTCGCGTTCACACAGCAGCTGGTTATGGAACCAACCAAAACGGAGTACGCCGACTTACTCTTCCTCAGCTATGCTGACGATACGTATATCCTGGGGCCTAGGGAACGGGTTCTAGCAGCCTATGAGGCCTTGCGGGAACGACTGGACGGGCTGGGTTTGGAGGTGCAGCCGCATAAGTGTAAGCTATGGGAGCGAGGGAGGGACCAGGATGGGGAGGAGAGAAATGAGACTGTCCCGCCCGGCATGCAGCAGACATGGACGGGGCTCACTGTGGTAGGGGTGCCCATTGGGGAGGAGGACTGGGAGGTGGCTAGCCTGCGTCGCCGGCTGACGGAGCTGCATGCACCTGTCCCCTGGCTTCCTCTGCTTGACCACCCACAGATTGCGTCCCATTTGTTGGCGATCGCAGTGTCGGCGCGCCCGATCTACCTCACACGGACGATGCCTCCACGACCTGAGGTTGTGGAGGCTTTTCGGGACTGGGACACGAAGCTGGAAGATTGTTTCGAGGAGCTGTTTCCAGATAGTACCTGGGATCACGATTCGGGGAAGTCCCAGATGGCTCGTTTACAGCTGCACCTTCCTGCCAGACTCGGGGGGTTCGGCATTCGATCTGCGGCTGACCTTAGTCCTCTGTCGTATGCATGTGGCTGGTGCCAAGCAGTGAGCGATGTGGCTCGGTTGGGGGTGGCAGGTGAGGAGCGGATGTTTGAGGAGTTTTTCCGCACGCCCGAGGCTACGACCTTGTTGGACCCCTGGTTTGCGAGAGCAGTGGATCTGCTTCCACAGTCGGTTCGGCAGGAGATGCCACCCCTTGCCTTGTGCACCGCTGATCCGCCTATGCTGCTCTTCCCCACACAACACCGTCGCCTGGCGGTTGAGAGCCTCCAATCTCTTCGAGGCATGGCCCACAACGATGCCACCCTGGCCCGTTTGACATCCCTTCAGGGCCCGGGGGCTGGGGCGTGGGTTTCTGCCGTTCCTTCGCACGAGGAGGCTACCTTCACCGCAGCCGAGTGGAGCATCTGCGCGTCCATGCGCCTAGGCCTCCCTATTCAGCAGCTGATAGTGGCCGGCAAGTGCGCGTGTGGGTTTGAGTTTGCTGATCCCTCTGACCCGCATCATGCCCTTCGCTGCAAGTATCAGTATGCACCTTCTCGGGTTCACGATGCGGTTAAATTTGTGGTGGCGAAGATAGCTAAGGGTGCGGGTGGGATTGTGACCATGGAAGACGACACGTTGCTCCCAGGGAAGAGGGTTGATGTGGCGGTTCGGAAACTGAGGGAGGGGGAGGAGCACGCGCTGGAGGTTAGTGTGGTAGATCCTATCTCGCTATCCGCGCAGCACCATGGACAGATTGGTCGCAAGGTGGGTTTTGCCGCGAGAGAGAGAGAAAAGCGGAAGACGGCGGACTACAAATCGCTTCTACAGCGGCATGGGGGAGTGCAGTTCACACCACTCATTGCTGAGACATGGGGATGCTTGGGGGGGAGTTTTGGACGGTGGCTTAAGAAGCAGGGTGACGCGCAGATCGAGATAGCAAAGACGAAAGGGGCGGCGCGAGCTACGGGAAAGGGTTTCTCGGCTTATTTGCTCGGATCGCTCAAAGCGGCTGTGGGTGTGGCTTTGCAACGGGCTCAGGCGCGTGTGATCTTGTTACGCGCTGCGTCGATGATGAGAGGCCCAGAGGCTGTTTGGGTGGAGCGGGAGGATGTTGAGGAGGAGATGGGATGGGATGCTCCGTGGGCGGATGCACCATACTTGGTAGACATGCGGGTTTAGGGAGTGGGTTTAGGGGGGGAGGTTTGGTTCGATGGGAGTGCAGTTGGGGTGCTTTGATGGGAGGGCTTGATGGTGTTTTAAATGTGTGTGCTATTGGGGTTTTCTTGGGGTTGTGTGTGCTGCTTTTTCTTCCTTCTTCCCTGTTTTTCTTCCTCCTATCATTTTTCCCCTATTCCCCTCCTCCTTTCTTCCTCTCTCCTTTTTTCTACTCACGTTATTCCTCCTTTTCTCCTCTCTTCCCGTTTCCACTCCTTTTCCTTGCGTAATTATGCTACATTGTAACAGATAGTACCTCGATTGCTATTCAATTGTCACTCGTCAAAAAAAAAAAAAAAAAAAAAAATCCTGAATGGAGCCATGAGCTTCCTAGGTCCCGTTTCGAGCTATCCCGTTCCTGACAGATTAAAAATGCTGTATGGACCCAGGTGACTGGATTTCGTGCTGGACTAGGGCTGGGGTGACACAGCTGGGCTAGTGAATCCTGCCGCGTCATGCTGCTGAATGCACGCCCAGTGCTCGTGGCTGACGCGAGAGGAAAGGAGCGAGGGCTGCAAGTGATGGCATGGCAGCTGGGGGAGATGACGAAGGTGGTGCGAGGGAGGAACAGGTTGGTGAAAATCGGTGCGAGGGTCGAAAGGAAATGTTGTAAAGAACAGGTTTTGTAAAATGTTGAAAAGTTGATTTCATGGTGTACGGCAGATTTTGCAGGCATGACGGTGAAGCATCTTGTGCCAACCATTACTGACTTGCCACACTATATGTAGAAAATGCTGTTCACATATTACTTAATTAAATTACCAGCCAAACCCGCACCACTGCGCCTCAACCCCCCCTCCACTGCACCAGTGCCACGAAGCACCGCACCCCACTGCAGTTCACATCACAGGGCAGTGCAGCATCACAAGCATGAAGCAAGCATGCTGTTCCCACTTGCTCTTTCCAAGTTGCCATCCTCTCAACCACAAGGGTCAATCTTGGGAAGCCACTACCGGAATCTCAGCAATGCTATCCGAGGAACATAGGCTCTATAGATGCCTCAATCTCCCGTTTGACTCGTGGTAGCCCATCAAAGCTCGTCAGTGCTGTCCTTGGCACACAGGCGCTCTGTTGGTGCATGGCAGGGTAGGGCAGAGAGAGATGCATCAGTGGTGGGAGGAGTGAAGATGTTAAGATTGCGTCGTCTCATCACCCTGCCCAATTTTGTACCGGAATCTTAGCAGTGCGGTCCTTGGCACATAGGCGCCTTGTTGGTGCATGGCAGGGTAGGGGAGAGGATGGCCAAGGAAGTATCGTCTTAACAGCTTGAAGTCACTGAGGAGGAAACAGGACACGTACTGAGGTACTCATAGGTGGAGACCATTGCCGTGCCCCAGAGCATGGTGCTGGCACAGGTTGGTGCACTTTGAGTCGACAGAATACTCACCTTGGAGGGACGTTTTGAGGACACGTACTGAGGTACTCATAGGTGGAGACCATGACAGTGCCCCAGAGCATGGTGCTGGCACAGGCTTGTTTGTGGGGAGGTATATACATCAGGCGAAGGAGTAAAGGAGGAACAGGACACGTACTGAGGTACTCGTAGGTGGAGACCATGCAGTGCCCCAGAGCATGGTGCTGGCACAGCGGTATACCTTAGGTCTACCTTAATTCGACAGGGAGAGGAACGAAGACACGTACTGAGGTACTCATAGGTGGAGACCATGGCAGTGCCCCAGAGCATGGTGCTGGCACAGCGAGGGGCGAAGCCACGGTACAGCCCTCTCACCCCGTCCTGCTCCACTAGCTGTCGCACCACCGCTGCCACCGTCACTGCCGCCCCGCTCCTGCGCCCCACCTGTCATGTAACGTGGGGAAGAAGGGAGGGGGGGTGTTAGGGGAGTGACGAGCAGCACAGCCACGGTACAGCCCTCTCACCCCGTCCTGCTCCACCAGCTGCCGCACCACCGCTGCCACTGTCACTGCCGCCCCGCTCCTGCGCCCCACCTGATGGGTGTGGAACGGGGAAGAAGGGAAGGGAGTGTGAGTCGGGTGCACAGCAGCAAAGGCACCTGGAGTCCTCTCTTCAGGCACCTCCTCACAGCGGCAAGCTGTCACTGCATGCATGCATACCAACACGCAACACTTCACCTGAATGCGTGTCTTGACGGTGTCGAGTGGCGTGGTGGCGAGGGCAGACGCCAGCCCGGCGCACATGCCCCCTCCCACCTGCACTCCCACCACCACTACCAACTGGGGCGCTGCAGTGTTGCCTGATGGTGCATGCATACATACACACACACACACACACACACACAACACTCCACCTGAATGCGCGTCTTGACGGTGTCTAGTGGCGTCGTGGCGAGGGCAGACGCCAGCCCCGCAACCATGCCCCCTCCCACCTGCACGCCCACCACCAGTGCGAGCGGGGGCGCTGCCGCTGCGCTGTTGCCTGCTGGTGCCCACAACCGGTCATACGAACTGGCATGCCAAAAGGGGAAAAAGGGGGGAGAGGACATTCGAGGCAATCTTTTCCCTTGAATCATGTCTCACCTCCCAAACCCTCCTTTCCTCTAAGGCTCCGCCTCACCTCCAGTAGAGGCCATAGGCGCCCCACCTCCCTTCTCTTTTAGCAATCAATTCCCTGACACGACGCCTCAAATCCATATGTGCCCCACCAGATGAACCCCGAGGGAGCATAAGTGAGCACCGACAGCCCAAACCCGCGGCACAGCACCTCTCATGTCAGCCCTGACACATCAGCTCCGCAGCAGCGCTTCCCCTCACCTCACACCTCACCGTTCCATCAGCCTCACCTCCAGAACAGTCGCTAAGTGGCGCCATAGATGAGCACTGACAGCCCAAACCCGGAGTACAGCCCCTCCCGTGTCAGCCCTGCTATCTCAAGTCCGAAATCCGGTCTCACCTCCAGAACAGTCGCTGCGTGGCGCCGTAGGTGCCCCACCAGATGAACCCCGAGGGGGCATACGTGAGCACCGACAGCCCAAACCCACGGTACAGCCCGCGCGGCCCCTCCGTTCTCAGTATCGTCACCAGTGCGTCAATCCCCCCCTTATACCGCACTGCTGCTGCCCCTGCAGCTCCCGCTGCTGCCCCCGCCCCTCCCCCTGCTGCTGCCCGTGCTGCTGCTGCTGCAGCTGGTGTGGCAGATGATGCTGCTGTGGCGGCTGCTAAGGGCGCTCCTGATGCAGCGTGTGCGGTTCTGGTGGCGTGGTGTGGCAGGTCGCCCTGCTGTGCAACGAGGCGAGAGCTGATCTGATGATGGAAGAGTGGGGGGCGGGTGACAGGAGCACGGGCACATGGGAGGGTGGGGCGGGTTGGGACGAAGGGAGAGTGGGGCGAGAAAAGACGAGAAGGGAGAACGAGAATCTATACCCTCCTCCCTATCCCTTCCTCCCTCCCTCCTACACCAGTCCCCCACCCCCCAACCCCCCATCCTCCACTCCCTAAACCCCTCGTTCCCCACTCCCCCGCTCTCACTCCATCACTCTCCTCCACTCACCACGTTCATAACCACAACAACGGCCCCACTCCAGTCCCCCACCCCCCATTTCCTCGAAACCAACCACCCACCCCACCCCTTTACCCATTCTCCACCGCTCCCCCTCTCACCACGTCCACGGGCACAACAACTGGCCAACACCAATCCCACACTCCGCCACCTCATTCCCTCCCCCTCCCTACTCAGACCACTCCCTCCCCTTCCCCCGCACTCACCACGTCCACGGGAACAACAACGGCCTGGGTGGCAAGGGACGCGCACATGCCCAACAACTGGCCCCCTTCAATCCCCCACTCCACCACCCCAATCCCTCCCCCTACTAATCAGACCCTTCCCACCACTCTCCACCACTCACCACGTCCACGGGCACAACAACGGCCTCCTTCCCATCCCATCCCCACTCCCCACTCCCAATCCCCAGTCGTCCCCCTTCTCTCCCCCCCACTCCCCCTTTCCATCCTCTACTCACCACATCCACGGGCACAACAACGGCCTGGGTGGCAAGAGACGCGCACATGCCGGCCACAGCACTCGCCAGCCCTGCTGCTGCCGTATCAGACAAATGCAGCCACCGCCCCGTGCCACCCACCACACCGCCACTCCCACCTCTGCTCCCACTCCCCCCACCACTCCCACCACTGCCACTGCTGCTGCTGCTACTGCCGCCGCTACTGCTACCAGCATCGTCAAACGTCCCCTCTAAAGGCTGCTCCGTTACCGCGTTAATCCCCTTGAGCGTGTTGGCCTTAACAGCCTCCAGCACGGCCATATAGATAATCCGCCCAGGGAGCATCCCCGCCACAACAGTCCCCATGCCGCGGAAGAACCCCCTCACGCCCTCCGTGCGCGCTATGTGCCGCGCCATGCCCACTGCTAGGGTCACTGACGACGGGCCCCTGCCCCCCGCCGCTGCTCGCGGCGCTGCTCCGCCTGTTGCTCCTGTTGCTCCGCCTGTTGCTCCGCCCACTCCTCCCCCTCCTCCCCCTGTTCCCCCTGCTGCTGCAGAAGCCCCTCCTCCTGCGGATCTTCCCCCTACCGTTGCTCCTGCTGCTCCCGGCGCCACTGGTGCTGCACCTGTAGTTACCCTTGTGTCTCCGCCTGGTCTTGCCGTGCCCGCTGCTGCCCCTGCGCCGTTCCCCCCAACGCGGGCTTCCGCTCCCCCCGCCTCCCCCGCCCGGACTGCTCCCAATCCCCCCGTTCCCACCGCCTCTCCTGCTCCCGCCAGCCCCGCATTGCCCGCCTGCGCCGCAGGCCTTGCGGAAGCAGCAGGCGCGCCCGCGCCAGGGGAAGCGGAAGCGGAGGCGGATGGGGGAGCGGAAGAAGCGGAGGCGGCATGGGCGGCGGAGAGCGGGAGCGGGGAGACCTGGAGGCGCGTCTTGATGACGGAGAGCGGGTAGAGCGCCACGGTCAGCCCGCTGAAGAGCCCCGCGCCCACCACGAACATGCGCGTCTTGTCCAACCTGTCGCGCGGGAGGAGGGGAGGGAGTGGGGGGTGTGGAGGGGGGGGAGGGGGGTCGGGGGATTGGGAGGGTTGGAAGAGCCCCGCGCCCACCACGAACATGCGCGTCTTGTCCAACCTGCCGCGCGGGATCCGCGGACGCGGGGTGGTGGGGGGGGAGGGGGAGGGGGGGGGGAGGGGGGGAGGGAGAAGTGGGGGAGAGGTGGGAGGGGGGTAGGGGGATTGGGAGGGTTGGCAGAGCCCCGCGCCCACCACGAACATGCGCGTCTTGTCTTACCTGCCGCGCACGCTCACGCGGGATCCGCGGAAGCGGGGAGTTGGGGGATGGGATGGGAGGGGATGGGGGTTGGGGAGACGAGGGTTTGAGAAAGAGAATGAGGGGAATTGGCTATGGGAGGACGAGCCAAGAACCCTAGAAGGTTGGAATGCTCGATTGCGAAAGGAGACGATCCGCGGGGAAAGCTGGGAGCAGAGACAACCGCGAGAAAATTGGAAGATAGATCGATAAAATGCGCGAATTGCGCCTGGGATCAAGTAATGAGTGACAGGCTAAGGAGGCGAAATGCGAGCGCAAAAGGATTTGAGGGACGTAGAAAGCGCGAGGGGACAAGCGGGTAGGGCCTCGGTGAAATCGTGGAAGGAAGCGCGGATTGACCGACGGACCTGTCCCAGTCGATTTCAGGTGATGCTGAGCGAGGACGCAGCGCGCCGTGGTCGGGCAGGGAGGCCATGGCTAATGGTGTTGGGTAAAGAAACTGGCGTTGTGCGGAGAGTATGGAACTGTAAAAGAAAATCAGTTAATAAACATTTATTAGGCTCCACTTGACTCCATGGCCCAATGGATAAGGCGCTGGTCTACGGAATCAGAGACTCTGGGTTCGATCCCCAATGGAGTCGTTCTTTTGTGTTTCAGTTTTGCTTTCACCATGCTAGGCCAGTTCAACTCACCATGACAACATATCAACCACTACACATGTCACAACACCAAGTTTTTTCCTTCCAACCCTGACCTACCGCATTACCATGCACAACATGACCAGAGCCTAAGGAGCAGCTCGAATGAACCCCCTACCCCAATGGTACTCTATCACCCCAGGAGGGGACTCCCCAGACTGCCCCAGACCCATATGAGCAGCAGCAGAGACATCAATAACGGGCGGCACGAGCGCGGCAGCAGGTGCACCCAGGTGCCACACGCGAATGCCATGCACGCCCGCATTGGCCTTGAGGCTTGCACTGGGAGGACTGCTGCCACTCACACACGCACTCCCACACGCAGTATTACACACAGTATTACACAGCATGACCAGGGCCTACGGAGCAGCTCTAATGAACCCCCTACCCCAGTGGTACTCTATCACCCCGGGAGGAGACTCCCCAGACTGCCCCAGACCCATATGAGCAGCAGCAGCAGCAGAGACATCAATAACGGGCGGGACGAGGGCAGCAGCAGGCGCACCTAAGTGCCACACGCGGATCCCATGCACGCCCGCATTGGCCTTGAGGCTCGCACTGGGAGGGCTGCTGCCACTCACACACGCACTCCCACACGCACTCGCACACGGGCCTGAGTGCGTGGAGTGCGCAGGCGCAGCATGAGCATGCCGGTTCGGACCTGGGTTTGGGCCTGTGTGCTGGCTTGCCCCATAACTCCCTGCTGGACTTGTTGCTGCCCCATGCCTCATTGCCCCGTGGCTCATTGCCCCATGACTCACCGCAGGGCTTGCTGCTGCATGGCTGACTGCGGGGCTCCCAGCACTGTGCTCCGAGGCACTTACGCACGGGATTGTACCGGCGGTGGTACGGTGTGGGTAAGCAGCAGCAGCGGTGGTGGTGTCTGGGGTAGGGCCATGAGCGAGGGGTGGTGGTGCGGCTGTGGTGTGGTGGCGACGGTGCTTGGGGATGGGTGCTGCGCCTCCTCCCGTGCTGCCGTGCTTCGTGTCACTCGTCGTCTCCCTCTGCTCATGCCCATTCCCATGCTCTTGCTCTTGCTGAGTAAGCTGCTGTTGCTGATGAAGCTGCTGGCTTAGATGCTGGTGGCCATGATACTGCTGCAGAGGTGCTTGGTGATCCTGCAGTTTCGGCTGGCTTGCTGCAGGCACCAGCACGTCTTCTATTGGAGATGCTTGTAGCGAGGCACTGGCTGTTACTCCAGAGCCTTTCCTGCCCTGCTGGTGCTGCACTCGTTGCACACTGCTTTCCATGCTCATGCTCCGACACACACTCCTATCCCTCACCCCACCGCTGCTCATGCCTCCAACGATAGGCTCGGCGGTTGGTCCGGCAAGAGGCTCGGCAACAAGGTTTCCTGCAGGTTTGGAAACAAGCTCGGGATTGTGCCAGCTAGATTCCATCTGAATGGGTTGAAGCTGCTGACTTGGCAGAATTTCCGCCTGATGTGGCAATATCTCCTGCTGAAGTGGCTCCAGGGCAGAGGCCAGTTGGCCACCTTGTCCGGCTGGCACGCTCTGATTGGGAAGCTGCAGCAGGCCCTTGCCACGTGGCACCCTGTAACTGGCCAGGCTGGACCCCTGCGGAACCTCTCCCTTGGCTGTTTGAGTTCTCACGGGTTCATCTTGCTGCTGGTGATTTTTCTCCTGCTCTTGTCTTCCCTCCTGCTCCTGCCTTCCCTCCTCACTGCCCTCCTTCTGCTGCTGCTTCACATGTCCGCCCTCCTCCCTTTCCTCCGCATCCCTAGCTTGCTTCTCCAGTGAGCGATGGGATGCAGGGTGAGAGGGCGAGAAGGAGGAAGAGGAGAGTGGGTGCCGAGGCCGCGAGGGGGGGCGAGGGGACGAGGAGGAGAGAGGGGATGGCTGGGATCCCGAATGGTTGTTGTGGGGGGAAGGGGAGGACGATAGGGGGGAGTGGCGGGACGAGGGGTGCGGGGGAGGATGGGGGAAGACTCGATGGGCTGGGGAGGAGCGGTGGCGGGGGGAGGGGAGGGCGCGGGGGGAGGGGGAGCGGAGGTAGAGGGAGCGGGGGGAGGGGGAGCCGGGGGAGCGGAGGCGGCGGGCGGAGGGGGAGAGGTTGATGTAGAAGGGCGAGCAGCCCGTGCGGCGAGGGGGAGCGGCAGCAGCAGGTGAGGGGGAGTTGATCCAGTCTTCCAGGTTGATGAGTGTGTTCAGCTGTGCGTTGGGCTCACCTGCAGTGGACAGAGGGGGGCAGGGGAGGGGGAGAGTGGGCGTGTGAGAAGACTCTAAAGCAGCGGGGGAGGGGGAGCCGGGGGAGCGGGGGCGGCGGGCGGGCGGAGGGGGAGAGGTTGATGTAGAAGGGCGAGCAGCCCGTGCGGCGAGGGGGTGCTGCGGCGGGTGAAGGGGAGTTGATCCAGTCTTCCAGGTTGATGAGTGTGCTGGGCTCGCCTGGAGGCGCAGTCTGAGGGAAACGGAGGGGGGAAAAGGAGGGGGAGAGGTTGATGTAGAAGGGCGAGCAGCCCGTGCGGCGAGGGGGAGCGGCAGCAGCGGGTGAGGGGGAGTTGATCCAGTCTTCTAGGTTGATTAGCGTGTTCAGCTGCGCGTTGGGCTCTCCTGCAACGAACAGAGGGGGACAGGGGAGGGGGAGAGAGGGCGTGTGAGTGGGGAAAGTGAGCAGGCCGTGCGGCAGGTGAGGGGGGGTTGATCCAGTCTTCTAGGTTGATTAGCGTGTTCAGCTGCGCATTGGGCTCGCCTGCAGCGGACAGAGGGGGGCATGGGGAGGGGGAGAGAGGGAGGGTGTGTGAGAGGGTAAAGGCGGGCATGCCGTGCGGCGAGGGGGAGCGGCGGCGTGTGAGGGGGAGTTAATCCAGTCTTCCAGGTTGATTAGTGTGTTAAGCTGCGCATTGGACTCGCCTGTAGCAGACAGAGTTGGTTAGGAGAGGGGGGGAGAGGGCGTGTGAGTGGGAAAGGGCGAGGAGAATCCAGCAGGAAACTCACAGCACGGGCAGGTATAAGGGCAGGCAACTTTTGAGGGGGGTTGTCAATGCCTCCTGCAGCAGTGCAGCAAGGGGATGGAATGGTTAGAGACGCACCTATCTTGAGAGCAGAGAGGCTGCTCCCTGCTCCTGTCACATCCATGGCTTCTCCAGCAGCTTCCCCTGCGGCCTCCCTGGGGCTCCCTGCTGCCCGCTCCTCGTCACCACTCCCCGCCGCACCAGCAGCAGTGGCAGCACCAGTGCCCGTCATGCTGTCAACCCCGTTGCCATTGCCATTGCCACCAACCCCGTTGCCATTGCCACTGGCACTGCGGCAGCCAGCACAGCGCGAACAGCCACCCCCACCCCCAGTAGCGCCAAGCCCGCTCCCGCCTCCTCCTCCAGAGGAGTTACGCTGCAGGCGTCTTTGGTGCAGTGACAGCTTTGACTGCCGCCCGGACGAGGAGGAGGGGCGGGTGCCGGCCGAGAGAGGCCTCCCGGAGGAGGAGGAGGGGCGGGCGCGCGGGAGGAGCGGCTTGGCGTGTTGGTGCATGTGGGGCGGCAGGGAGGAGGGGACGGGGAGAGAGGAGGTGGAGGCGGGTGCTGCTTCTGTGGCAGGTGGGGTGGGAGTGTCGGTGGTTGTGCCCTTGATTGCATTCTCCTCAGCGGTTGCTGCTGCTGCACCAGCACAGGAAGCGGCAGCGGCAGCACCAGTGCCAACAGCAGCAGGGGGGGCATGAGGAAGGGGCTTGTCATCGGTACCTGCACCGTCCTCATGACCACCATATGCCCCACGAGTCCCACCCTCACTCATTGTTATCCCACCCTCATGCCCCGGGCTGCCACTGTTCATGCTGCTGTCGCGGCCCACTTCACAACCACCATCACCGCTGGCCTGCTTATCATCCTTCTGACCTCCATCATTCTGGTTACCACCAATGTGGTTACCACTATCTTGGTTACCACCACTGCGGTTACCACTATCTTGGTTACCACCAATGCGGTTACCACTATCTTGGTTGCCACCATCGTGGTTACCACCATTCTGGTCACCCCGATCACCCTCCCCACCATCCCCCTCAAGGCGCGCCCCTCCCCCGCGTGCTTTCAGCCGGGCCTGCCTCTTGAGGTGAAGGTTCCAGAAGTTCTTCACGTCGTTGTCCGTGCGCCCGGGCAGGTGACGCGCAATGTGCGCCCACTTGTTGCCCACGGCTCTCTGCAGGGCTAAAACCACGCTTTCTTCTGCTTCGCTGAACCGTTTGCAGCCCTTGCCACCATACCTCTGTCAGGGGGGAAGGGGGAAGGGAAGGAGAAGAGAAAGGGAGACATGGAGAGACGGAAGTTTAGACGGATAATGAACTAACCTGATTTGAGGCAAGGTGCCCTAGGAGACTCAAGCAACCCACCTGCAAGCCTGGCTTGAGTTGGTTGACCCAGCGCAGGCGGCAGCTTTTCCCCGACCGCCTGAGCAGCCCTCTGGCTCTGAGCGCGCCCCAGTTGCGCGGCCCGTGGCAGCGCACATACTCCATCAGCACACCGTCCTCCTCCGGTAACCACGTGCCCTTGGCCAACCCCTGCTCCTCCGGGTCGCTGCTGTCGCCGCCCGTTGCCGCCCCGCCGCCGCCCGTGGATGTCCCGCCGCCCATGCTTGTGCCGCCGCCCATGCTCGTGCCGCCGCCCGTGCTGGCGCCGCCGCCCAAGCTCGTCCCGCCGCCCATGCTGGCCGTGCCGCCCAGGCTGCAGCTGCTCATTCCCGCGCCTGCCGCCCCGCCGCCACTCATGCTTCCACTGACGTCATACGAATACGCAGCAGCAGCGGCGGCGGCAGCAGTAGCACCAGCACCACTACCAGCCACACCAACAGCAGGGGCAGCAGTTTGGGAGGGAGGCGAGAAGCCGAGGTCAGCGTCGCGCAGTAGTGCAAGAGCCAGCGCCTGGTTCTCCCGCTGGAAGGCCGGGAGATCCGACTCTGACTCCCCTGCTGCTGCATCAGTCTTCAGCACTCCACCAATGCTGCCACCAGCAGTGACCAGAACAGAAGCCGGAAGAGGAGGAGAGAGGGAAGGAAGCGCAGGGGCAGCAGGGGCAGGAGCGGTAGCAGCAGGAGTGGTGAGCAGCATGTGGCTGCTGCGGCTTCGGCTCATGCCGGTGCCGGCTGCTGCAGCTGCTCGCTTGCTGCTTCCCCGGGCGCCCAGTTGAGTAACACGAGGCCTGGCGCTGCTGCTGCTGCGACTCTTGCGCATTCCCACCCGTGCCGGACTCTCACCGCCACTGCCAGCACCACCACCACCAGCAGCAATGCCAGCACCAGCACCGGCAGCAGCATCAGTGCCAGCAGCAGCGCCCAAGGCAGCAGCGACTCCCACGATTCCCTGCAGCTCTGCTGGGCACTCGAGCAAGCCACTCAATGCCCGCCCGCCCGCACCAGCCGCACCAGCCACGCCCGCTCCTCCGCCCTCGCCCGCCCACGCACCAGCCGCACCAGCCACGCCCGCTCCTCCGCCCTCGCCCGCCCACGCGGCCACGGGCCTGCTGCGGCTGCTGCTGCTGTGGCTGCGCCACATGCCGCACGCCATGGCACCAGCGGTGCTGCTGTCAAGAAAGGGTTCGTTCGCCAATGCCACCTCCGCTGTTGCTGTGCTCCCGAGAGGCCTCGCATTTGAAGGTACCGTGCTGGCCCGAGGGAGAAGCATGCGCGCCTTCGTGCTCACATTTGAGCCAGCAGCACCAGCAGCAGCAGCAGCAGCAGCAGGGTTTCCCGGAGCTGCTGTGCCGGTTGTGGTGGCAGCAGTGGCAAGCGCAGGCACGGCTGGCGCAAGGCGCAACCCGGGCGGCATCTGCAGCAGGCGAGCGCCTTGATTTCCGCCCTTGCCCCCTTTATAGTCACACGACTGCACCACCAGAGCCCTACGCTCGGGCTTCAGGTCCGCCGGTGGCTTCAGGTCCGGCCAAGCCTGAGTTAGAGGCTCGGATTGGAGCAGCAGGTGTTGCTGCTGGTGCTGCTGCAGCTGTTGTTGGTGCTGCTGTTGCTGTAGCATCCACAGGTTGGTGGGATCAGGCGCGATGGCGGAATGCGCCTGGCTCACAGCGAGGCTGCTTGTACCGAGTACAGCGGACGAGTCGAGACCAACGATGCTGCTGTGCCCAACAGTGGAAGCATCACGCACTTGCTCATCCCACTGACCAGCCGAAGCGCCGTGGTTGCCAGCAGGCAAGGCGCCATTGTGAGTGGCATGATGAGCGCTGGCCTGATAATCATACCCCACGGGCTGTGCCCCGTTATAAGCCGCCTCAAGAAGAGCTCCGCTCGGATCATGGCCACGGTTTATGATGACGCTGGCAATGCGGCTGTCAATGTCAGACCCCATAGCGCCGGAGCCGCACTGGCCTTGGCCATACACCATGCTGCCGTCATTCAGCCCGCCATTACCGCCGCCATTGCCGCCGCCAATTCCGCCGCCAATTCCGCCGCCATTGCCGCCGTGGGTACCGCCGCCACCCAGGAGATCCTCCAATGACGTGCCGCCCAGCAGCATGTCACTCGCGCCGCCCAATTGAAACTCACTGCCGCCCAGGAAAACGTCGTTTGTGCCGCCCAAACTCGCATCCCCGCCGCCCAGAAGCATGGCCATCATGCTGAGGGTGCCCTGCGGGTCGTCCGCGGCTTCCCATTGGTCCACGTCATCCGCCATGGCCATCTGTAGCGCCTCCATCGACATTGACATTGCCGTGCTGCTGCTCCCCTCCATTTGCCGCCGCGTGCCACGCTTGACGTGCGCTGACGGAGATTGACAGAACTTGACGGCTTTGACGGAGAGCTGACGGACTGAGCCGCGTTATTGGGAACCGTTGACGGAGCTGACGGATTCTATTTCAAATTGACGGAGAATGTGTCGCCGTACTTCTAATCTGCGCACGAATTTGGTGCAAGGAGGAGACAGGGCCGTGGATGTGCGAGCGATGTGCTGATGGTGCGCGCTGCTTGGGATCACGGATGCCTGTCGATCCACACTACTACTCGTGAAGCTCGAGCGCTGCTGTGCGGATTTCACGCGCTGCCAGCAATTGCGAGTGATGATATGTGGAGACTACTTTGTTATTGAAAAGCTTGCATTAAAAAGCTTACAATCTGTGAACGAGGCGACGGGCGAGGCTGAAAGGAAGGAGGAGGGAGGGTCGTGCTACTACTAGCTCTCGGGGGAGGCTCGTGCTACTACTACTAGCGCTCGGGGGAGGGTCGTGCGTGCGTGGCTCGCTATGCTTCGCCGTGCTGTGCCGTCGGGAGACTATAATCGAGCGGAAGCGAAGCTCCGCCGCAGCGGAGGCGGCGCAAGGCGAAGAGGGGGGGGGCTGACGGCCTTTCGTCCCCCCGCGCCTGCGTGTGCGCGCGCGCACTACAGCGCACCCTAGGGTGGCGGGGAAGCGGCGTGGGCAGTTAGTCCGTCCGTGCTATAGGGTGGGTGCAAATGCGTGAATCTGGCTCGCATCCCCTTCAAGTGAAGCTCACTTGCGCAGCTGCGCTGGCAAAAAAAACATCGGCGTAGTACGAACTGCGCAACACGTAATACAGCTGCCGGGTACTGCTTCCGGGTTGATCTTCAGCGCTTCACGTCACGACGAGTCAAGACTTATAACCTAAGATCTGATGAGTGGTGCTGGCTTGACACGAGCCCCTCCCAGTGCGAGCATTAACTGCCTCAGCCTCGGCACGGCCTGCCAGACTCGGCACTGTGGTGCCGCGGAGGTACAACTGCCGGACCTGCCCGGTTGGTACGGAAGAGAAAAGGTGAGCGGTCGGTGGTGCCGCGTGATAACGACAATATCCGCCTGTGGGAGGTCGATATCGGAAGATATTATCTTGCTTTTTGCAGCAGTAAACGGAAGAAAATATCCGGGCGTCAAGTTGACTCTGCTCCCGTGGACTCACGTGTAGTACTTAGGTAATAAATACTGTACGGCACTGTATTTTACTGCACTGTACCGTACTGTACTGCGCTGTACCAGCAAGGCGTTTCTAGGGGACGGCGTGCATTGAGTCGAGTCAACGATCGTCTGGCGGAAGGGCCCCCGCGCGATGCGGAAAGGGACGAACGAGGAATCCAGACTGCTAAATCCGATCGGAACAGGAGGGATGAAGCGCCGCGATTGGTGGATATTAAGTTGCGCGTGCATGACCGGCGATGTAACGACAACAATCAGGGACTCTGTACCTTCTCTTTCTCCTACGATCCTCCTCTCCCCACTTTCCGTCCCCATCCTAACACACCTGCGCGTCGCGTTCCTCCTCACCCTTGCTTTCCTCGCCTCCTGGCTTACTTGATCCACAGCGAAAGTCTGTCGGTGGCAGCGTAAAAAGACGCTCTAAGGGGGGAATGGGGTGGAGGGGAGGGGGAGTGGTGCGAACGAGAGTAACGGGAGGAGAAGGGGAGGAGGCGAGAGGGGGAGGGGAGAGGGAGGGGGGCGGGAGCTGGGGAGGAGGAAAGAGGGCACACAAAACAGGCGGGTAGGTCACGTGGCGATGATCCACCAATGCTCGCGTGTACTGTGAAAGGGTACCTACTACAGTAGCGGAGCTGTTCTAAGAGGTATGCACACACGTGAAACGGAAGCGGTGTTCCCAGTGCAGCGGGGGCAGGATTCAGAGCACGCTGCATCGGCAGAGTACCGTACGGGGCACAGACCTGAGTCCGTCCGTGCAGTGCACGGTAAAAAGCCAGCGAGCGCTTGTCTCTCGAAGCTCGAGGGCTTCTGGAAGGCTGGAAAGGCAGCCAGCATTCTTGCTGCATCGCCGCTAAGCACAGTGGAGCTCTCGGGGGGTCGCTGCTTCCAGCCTGGGTCGCGCTGCACTATGCTAGGCGTACGTCACTCACCGAACAGTACCGAGCGTATAACACGCACCGCAGCACTGTACCCAGGGGTTTTTTTTACGAATTTATATTGCCCGCAAACTCGGACTGACCGTGCACCCTTCTTCAAGTTGTGGGGCTGGAGCTCTAACCACCCTTCCACCTTGCACGGAGGTCCTCGGGAACGCCGACATACCGTCCTACTATACAGTACAGTAGCAAGAAGGCCGGGCTGTAGCGTTGTGGCACTCTGGCCCCTCGTGGGCAGCATTTGCGGCTAGAGTCATGATGGCGACTTGGCCGCATGCGCAGTCTAGATGCATTCATCATACACATAAGAACGATCTTGAGCGGTCTAGCTGGCACCAGTGCGAGCAAGTAACGAGTTCTTGCTTTGGAGGGAAGCGACAGCGCGTCAAGGCAAAGCATATTGCACTTGAACGGCCACGTCGCGCCAAACTCGTGACAGTGAGGGATGCCGCGATCCGCTGAACTTCTAACAGTGATTGGATCTGGTCGAGCGGGAAGCAAGGAACTATGTAAAGTCTTCGAAGTGCGAAGGGTGCATTTGAATGAATACAGTACAGTATTGGGGTTGGCAGAGCCTTGCTGCCCAAGAGAAGGGAGCGGTTTGCAACAAAAGTAACTGCGGATGAGGGGAACGGGTGGGCATGTGGGTGAAAATGGTCCCAGAAAGGAGAGGTTCAGGAAGGATGAGGGAACAGTGGATTATGGAGCGAGAGAGGGTGAGTGAGGGCGATGAGAGAAGAGATTTGTGCACATTGCACCAAGCCTGCACAACCGAGTCGCGGTGAGATGCGCGGCTCGGATCTTTTGTTGTAGTGGTGCTGCGGTGGCGGTGAGGGAAATGAAAAATGGCCTCAATTCGAAAAATTGGAGCCACGTTGGCGATGTCTGACCATGCGGGTGATGAGTTGACTAAAAACAGGTACGAAACAAGCAATCGTAACGTGCCACCTAGATTACCTTTCTATGAACCTGCGACTTTTCGGCTTCCCTGGGTCTGCTGCGCCCGTTCTGCAACCGTCTCGTTTGCCGTCAATATACCTCGTTATATTCGTTCGTTCTGAACATTCTCAATATTTCAGGCAGTCCATAATTTCAACATCCCATTTCAGACTCATATTTAAAAAAATGAAGGAAAAAATCGTAGCGAATCCAATCTCACAAATTATAATTTTCACAACTGTAAAAATACTGTCATCTTCCGTTATGTAACAGAATATACATCTCTGTTTCACGGTACAGTTGTATGTACATATTTGAAACGAGGGCCCACAATTGTCCATGTAACAGTGTCGACGTCAAATACGGTATGCTCTTTTCCTTATGAAGTTTAGCCTCGTCAAATGCCATTTAAGCCCTCGGTTGATGGGGACAACACATCCTCAGGGGCCAACACAGCCACGTCACCTAGTTTGGAGCCGCCTAGCTTAGAGCCACCACGCGTCACGGCAAACGTCGAAGGAAGCACTACACCTCTGCACTCTCCAAATCCAATCCTTACACCATGAGGCAACTGGGGAGGGGAAAAAGCAGTCGGCATAGGGGAGACGAACAATGACAAGAAACAACAGAAACGACAGGTGATAATACAACGAAATACCGGTGCAACATGAAGAGGTGACAATATGTCTCCATTTTATGACAAGAACAAGTAATGACACCAACAGAACGTCAGTGCCACAAGTCACGGGGAGTGCAAACCACCTGGCAGGTAGCCGTCATGATGACCTCGTCCCCATCCTCCAGGTACGTTCGGCGCACAGTCCCCGGGCCTAAGCCTTGGCCGGAGGCTTGGGAAGAGCTGTCAACCACCGTACATCCCTGAGAGGAAAGCTCGAGGGTGAGTTTGCCTGCCTGTGTGCGCTCTAGCAGACACCCCTCACTGCCCTCTGCCTGGGATCACGGAGGCAGCGGCAGCAGGGGATGGTGTATGCACATATGCACATGGGAAAGAAAGGGGATGGAGGAGCAGGTGTTTTGATACGTCTCAAAACCATACATCCCTGGGCAGGAAGGCAGGAAGGCAGGAAGGCATGAAATGGTGTCTGAAGCAAGCAGGTCAAGTTCTGAGGCGCCTCACGGCAATGCAGTGAGAAGGGCGGGGCTCAGCAGGGCAGGCAGGAAGGCAGGAAGGCAGTGCGGAGGTGAAGGGGCGCGGGTGAGACTGACCGGGCCTGGTGCCTGAGGCGGGCAGGTTCATTCTTGCGGCGCCTCAAGGTGATGCGATGAGAAGGGCGGAATTCAGCAGGGTAGGCAGCAAGGCAGGAAGGCTGCAGCAATGGCGTGGGTGGGACTGACCGGGCCAGAGATGGTGCCTGAAGCGAGCAGGTCGCCCGGACGCAGGGGGCAGCCGTTGATGGTGTGATGCGCCACTTGCTGTGCCACCGTCCAGTAGCTGTGCGGGGAGTAGGGAAGAGGTGGGGGGAAGTGGAGGGGGGAGGATGGGCAAGAGGAGGAGTGGCGGGAGAGTGGGAAAGAGGCCCGTTCCAGGGTTATTAAGTACAGGGTATAGTAAACATGGTGGATGTGTGACCAATAGCGGGCTGCATGCACCCATGCATGCACGCAGCAATGCATGCACCCATGGCTGCCCCCATGCATGCCCCCATGCATGCACGCATGCCCCCATGCATGCACCCGTGGTATGCATGCCCCCATGCGTGCACCCAAGGTACTGACAGGTGTTTGAAGTTGCTGCTGCACACGGGAACAGGCGGCAGCCTGTAGGAGAGAGAAGCATCCCCATCGACAAGGGGATGCGAGTCGAGAGCTTCAGTGGAGAGTAGGGCGTGTGGGCAAGGAGGCACAGGCGGAGGGACGGTTGGAGGGAGCGCTGCTGTGGTGGGTTGTGAGGTTGCTGGGGCAACCGGGGGTTGGGAGGAAGGAGGAGGATGCGATGTGGTGGTGGGGGCCGCAGGGGAAGGAGGTGCGGAGGGAGCAAGGGAGACCTGTGGGAAGGGATGGTAGAGAGGAGAGACAGCAGGAAGGGAGGCGTGAAGGGGTGGGGACAGGAGAGGGGGGGACCAATCCAACCGAATGCAATCCAATCCAACCGAATGCAATCCAATCCAAATAATCAACACTACGAAGCTCACTAAGTTCCTTGCACTCACCTAGGATCTCTATACCCACTCACGCTGGCCTAAGCACAACCCAACACGCCAACTCTCCCTCCTCTCCCCCCCCCTGCCCCCTTTTCCTCCCCAAGCGGTGCTGACCTGCAGGTGAATGTCGAAGGTGAGTGGGTTGGGGTCCTGGAGGTACGGCAGTGGCTCTGGGTCCTGTGCGGTTGGGCGGCAGTCGGTGCGGTAGGGGGTGGTTGGTGTGGTGGGCGGTGGTGGCAGGGAGAGGGTTAACGCAGCAGAGGAGAGCAGAGAAGGAAAGAAGGAATCACGCTGTATGGGAGTGTGGTAGAGCACGTTTGTTGAAGGCAGGGGAATAGAAGATGAGCAAATAGAACCTAATATACTATAGGAAAGCAACTAGAGAATGGATCGAAAAGAGGAAGTAGGAGAGGTTTGAAACTGGACCTGGAAACAACAATAAGGGCACCAGCGGAGGGGGGGGCCACCTGCGGGGGCGGGGAACAGATGAAGGGGCGGAGAGCATCCATTGTGACCACCCATGGGGATATGGTCGTGGCTGCACGCACAAGGCATGGGAGGGAGGGGAAGGGGGGTCTAGTTTCTAGGCACCTTACAAGGGAGCACCTGGGAGGAAGAGGAACAGATGAAGGGGCGAAGAGCATCCATGGTGACCACCCAGGGGGATATGGTCGTGGCTGCTTGCACATGGCATGGGGGAGCGGAGATGGGTAGTGATGACACAAGTTTATGCACGACGCGAGTACGGATGGATGAGTGAGAGTCCTGATACACATGATGTGCGTAATGCACTAGGTTTTGCCTAAGCCATGGCCGCAACACTTTGACCCGCCTATCCAGCCGTATCAAATGCACATCAGCCCTGCCCAGTTCCCCTCCCAATACCTCCCCCCCCCTCTCCTCATTGACCGCACACCCTAACCATCCCCCGTCTTGCCCAGCTGACCAAAGTTTTTGCCAAGGAAGGGGCCGAGGGGAACGTACTCCCATCGCTGGATGTCCCTCGCTGCACTGGGGGAAGTGTTGATACGTCTCAAAACCCAACTATTATCAGTGACAGCACCATTCCCCTCCCCCTGTCCACCACACTCCTCCCCCACCACTGACCGAAGTTTTTGCCAAGGAAGGGGCCGAGGGGAACGTACTCCCACCGCTGGATGTCCCTTGCTGCATGCAGAAAGGCACGTGGGCAAGTGGGGAGGGAAGGGAGGGGAGGATTGGTGGTGGAAGGAAGAGAGCAAGGTGGTAACAGGGTGGTCGTCATAGAAATGGCAGGTTCATTGCAGTTTTACTAAGCATGATTCGTAGTTACATCTCACCGCTCCAGTCGTTACATCTCACCGCTCCAGTCGTTACATCTCACCGCTCCAGTCGTTACAGATCACCATGCCAAAGCAGCAATCCAGCGCCCTCTCCACTGAAATGCTCTCCCCCCTCTCATTGCCTGGCCCCACCAACAGCGCGTGAGAAAGGGGGGATGAAAGAGCACGCTTGGAGACGTCTTCAACCAAACCAGCTCCCCATCCACACGAATGCTCTCGCCCCTCTCATTGCCCGGCCCCATGAACATTGCCTGAGCCACGTGGAGGGATGAGCAAAGGGTGGAAGGGAAAGGGGTGGACGGGCAAGGGGTGGACGGGCAAGTGAGAAACTCACCATCTCGAGTTCAAAGTCAAGCTGCTGTGTGGGGCCGAAGAGAGGGGCGAGGGGAGACAGGCAAGGCAGACAGCCCAAACTGACCTCTCAGCACGAAGCCACCCACTGTGCCTCGTCCCACCTCACTCTGCCACGCCCCACCCACTCACCATCTCGAGTTCAAAGTCAAGCTGCTGTGTGGGGCCGAAGAGAGGGGTGAGGGGCGTGGCAGGCGAAGTAGGCATCCCCAACTGACCTCTGCGGGGGGAGTGAGGGGCAGGAGAGGGGAATTTCAAACCTGACAAGCCGTTTTGCATTTCAACCATCAGCTGTTGCTGCTGAGGAGAACAGGTGCTGGCTGTTGCTGTGTGCGCGCCAACATGTGAGTCCAGTTCAGTCTGTTGCCATTCCACCTGGATCACTCTGTCTGTGATATTCACCTGATTTTCACCTGAGCCAATGTGGTTCTCACCTGGGTCGCACGATGGGAGTGCCAGAGACCACAATAGACGATGACCTGCCATGGTATGCAATGGGCATGTGCAACCTAGTAGGCCATGCCATGCCATGCCATGCCATGCCATGCCATGCCACAACAAGCCATACCACACCAGAGCACAGCAAGGCACGGCATCACAGGCAGAGAGAAGGGTAAGCGTCTGGGCAAAGGTGGAATGGAAGAGCACATGCACGAGTGTGGATGTTGACTTGACTCGAGTTCCACACTTCCAGCACCACTCTACGCCCCACCCTACCACAATCCCCCAGCGCTCTGCCATCCCTCACCAGTGTGCGGCCACTCAACTCAGTGAAACTCCCCTTTCTCCCCCATTCTTCACCCGCCTCTGAGCTGCTCACCACTTGTGCACTCACCAAATTAGTTTGAAACTCTTCAGTGGCGGCTGGGCGCACAGCTGCTCGTTCCCCTCCTTCAGCTGTGCCACCTCTGCTTCCAACCCCATTGCCCCACCACCTGCTGCTTCCCTCCCCCGCCCCTTTTCTCACCACTGCTTGGGCAGCTCGTTGCCGGGTCCGCGGAAGAGGCGACCCACATTGGTGGCGTGGTGGCGGGAGGCGTAGAAGTCCGTGTAATCGCCTATCACGGCTGGTAATTCCATTTGCACTCGCGCCTGAGAAGGAAGGATACACAAAGGGGGAGCATAGAAGGGGGAAAGCACGAGGCGTGATGGCGGGAGGCGTAGAAGTCCGTGTAGTCGCCTATCACTGCTGGTAGCTCCATGCTCACACACGCCTGGGGGAGAATGGGGAAGGGAAGCATGAGCGAGAGGGAGGGTGGTGCATGGAGAGTTTGGACGCGTGGTGGCGGGAGGCATAGAAGTCCGTGTAATCGCCTACTACGGCTGGCATCTCCATGCTCACACGGAACTGGGAGCGGATGAGGAAGGAAAGCATGGGCGAGAGGGAGGGGCGGTGCATGGGGAGTTGGTGGCGTGGTGGCGGGAGGCATAGAAGTCCTTGTAGTTGCCCACCCCTGCTGGTAACTCCATGTGAAATCACGCCTGAGAAGGAAGGATACACAAAGGGGGAGCATAGAAGGGGGAACGTACGAGGCACGGTGGCGGGAGGCATAGAAGTCTGTGTAATCTCCTATCACTGCTGGTAGCTCCATGCTCACATGTGCCTGGGAGGTCACCGCAAGGGGGAGGGGGAGCGTATGAAGTACGCATGGGGTATGAGAGGCATGGTGGCGAGATGCGTAGAGGTACGCATGGTGGTACGTGTAATCGCCCACCCCTGCTGGTAGCTCCATGCTCGTGGCAGGAGCGCAGGGGGAAGGGGAAGATGAGGAATGGTGGCAAGGAGGAGAGAAGGGAGCACGGCGAGGTGAGCTTTGAGTGTGCAAGGCACCTGAGAATCCACCTGAGTGTGCAAGGCACCTGAGAATCCACCTGAGTGTGCAAGGCACCTGAGAATCCACCTGAGTGTGCAAGGCACCTGAGAATCCACCTGAGTGTGCAAGGCACCTGAGAATCCACCTGAGTGTGCAAGGCACCTGAGAATCCACCTGAGTGTGCAAGGCACCTGAGAATCCACCTGAGTGTGCACGATACCTGAGAATCCACCTGAGTGTGCAAGGCACCTGAGAATCCACCTGAGTGTGCAAGGCACCTGAGAATCCACCTGAGTGTGCAAGGCACCTGAGAATCCACCTGAGTGTGCAAGGCACCTGAGAATCCACCTGAGTGTGCAAGGCACCTGAGAATCCACCTGAGTGTGCAAGGCACCTGAGAATCCACCTGAGTGTGCAAGGCACCTGAGAATCCACCTGAGTGTGCAAGGCACCTGAGAATCCACCTGAGTGTGCAAGGCACCTGAGAATCCACCTGAGTGTGCAAGGCACCTGAGAATCCACCTGAGTGTGCACGATACCTGAGAATCCACCTGAGTGTGCAAGGCACCTGAGAATCCACCTGAGTGTGCAAGGCACCTGAGAATCCACCTGAGTGTGCAAGGCACCTGAGAATCCACCTGAGTGTGCAAGGCACCTGACACCTCACCTGAGGGTGGAAGGCCTTGGCGCGCAGAGGCTTGTTGTCCCTCAGTGCTGGCTCGTCCGCTGATGCCAGCCGTACCATGCAGTCCGTGCAGAGGAAAGCGAAAGGCGGGGAGGGGTGAGGCATGGGGGAGGGGCGGGGCGGGGGGGAGGGGAGAGGCATGGCTGCTAGTGAGAATGGCATTGGCCTTGGCGCGGAGAGGCTTGTTGTCCCTCAGTGCTTGCTCGTCCACTGATGCCAGCAGTGCCATGCAGTACGTGCAGAGGAAAGCGAGGCGGGGGGGAGGGTCGAGGAGGGAGGAGGGGGGAGGCGGGCGGGAGCGGCGAGGCAGGATGGAGGGAGGAGGCGGGGCGAAGGGGCGAGGCGGGGGGGAGGGGAGAGGCAGGGGGAAGGGCGAGGCGGGGGGGAGGTTGGGGGCAGGGGGAGGGGGGAGGCAGGGCTGCTAGTGGGAATGGCATCGATGGCACCAAGTCAAGGCATAGAAGCATGCACAGTCCCGGAACTACAAACTGCAGAGCAAGACTTGCATAGCTGCATCACCCATCTCTATGTCAGGCGGTTTCATCAGAAGCATTTGGAACCAACGAAGGTGTTGCTATCAGGTGGTTGGTCAGGTGGTTTCACCAGAGAGCAGGCGCTGGAGGGCAGTGCGAGTGCGTTGCCACACGGGTCGGCCCAGCGCCATGAACGCGTTCAGAGACGCCTGGTGGAAGCAGCCCGTGGCTTTAACTACGTCGTCGCCCACTTCCCCCAGAAGCCCCGCGTCCGCCACTACTGACAGATCCAGAACCTGCTCGCCAATCGCCACGCCCACTCGTGCCGAGCCTCCTGGTGAGGGACGGAAGACGCCGAAGGGGAGGTTCTGGATCGGGAAGTGGCAGTTGGGAGGCACGGGGACGAACGAGGCGAGCGGCGGTGCTGACATGGCGGCTTCTGGGTGGCGGATATCAATCTCGCCGTAGAAATCCGTTCCCCTAGACGGTTCTTCCCGTAAGTCAGTAAGTCCGTAAGAGCAACTGTAGCGGCTCGACGCAGCAATGGTCGTCGGAGCAGTGGCTAGTAGCGACGCGCGCAGCTTCTGTCACAGTAGCTACGGAGCTCGCCAGGAAAGCGTCTTCAGATGGGCTTGCAGATTCGCGTAAGCCTGCGAACCGGACTGGACTGAACCGCTAGTACGAAAATCGGAGACGCGCAATATTACGACAATTCGGGGAATTCGGGTCAGGTCAGGCTCAAGACATAGTTCGCTGGTGCTTCGCTTCCCAAGCCGCCTCGAACTCTACGCGCCTGTTGCGCATTCCAGGATGTCACGGTGGCATTGCGAAGGGGGAGTGAATTTCTGACCTGGCACTGACTTGTTCTGACATCACTTTCGAACTGCGCTGATGCGAGAGAATGTAGAACCGTCTGTTAGCAGACTCATTGTGAAGTAAGAAACACAGCGTAATATAACTCCAAGAATCAGCATTTCTCGATTAAATCTAAATGACAGCATTTCACATACCATTGCAGTATTGTACAGAAAAGAGGGAAAACAAAAATTGTCAGAAATCAGTGTAGGAGCCTTGGTATTCTATTGTACGCACATTTGTTTTTCAAGGCTCCACATTGATTGAATCAAAAACCTCGACCCTCTCCTCCCCATGAGGTTATAAGCCGCTGCATTTCTCGGATTCACCCAACCATCTCCATAAATGTATGTGCACTTGTCAGCTCCCTCCACTTGATCGTGGTCATACCACGCCGTGAAGAGCGGGTCCTGAGCTACCTCCGCTATCTCATGCGCGAATGTGGATATCGTGGCGTCTACATTGATCCCGTTGAATGTATCACTGCACGGGGGCCGATTTTGGATGTGGGTTTGGAAAAAAGAGAAGCAAGATGAAGAGAGAAGGAGATAAGTATTGTAAGTGCACTTGTCCGCTCCCTCCACCTGATCATGGTCATACCACGCCGTGAAGAGCAGATCCTGAGCTACCTCCGCAATTTCGTGCGCGAATGTAAATATCGTGGCGTCTACATTGATCCCATTGAATGTGTCGCTGCAAGGGCGGGATGAACAAATTTGGCACCAAGAGACAGAAAACATGAGTCGATTTCGTGCAACTCTGTGCATACGTCTGGTGCACTATGGCAGGCGCAGTATATGCTTGGAAGGGCACGCCGCACCACCTTGCCAAGACCATTGATGCACCTTGGAAGGTCACATGACTTACATGAATGAGGGTGGTTTTGAGACGTCTCAGAATCACCCTTGTTTCACATGGATGCATTCAGGTGACACGGCCCAGCAAAGACATAGAGCATGTGCGGCAAAAGGCTGCTCAGGAAATAGGCCGCGAGCATTGCAACTGAGTAAGCAAACGAGTGTGCTTTCCCCAGCGCATCATGGCCGTAGCTGTGGTAGCTGTAGAATCGCGTGCAAGATCCGTCCCTGGTATCGCTGCTCTAGAAACAACACATCTACATTATGGCAAGTTACTCACTATGGGAGCGGGCGGGTGCACTGCGAGGGGCAGCGGGCAGAGTGTCCCGCAAATCCGAATTTCAGGGCCTTGCCCAGCGCATCCTGGCCGTAGCTGTGGTAGCCGCAGAATTGCGTGCAAAATCCGTCCCTAAGATCGCTGCTCTAGAAACAACACATCTACACTGTAGCGAGTTACTCACTATGGGAGCGGTCGGGTGCACTGCGAGGGGCAGCGAGCAGAATGCCCGGCGAAGCCGAATTTCAGTGCCTTGCCCAGCGCATCCTGGCCGTAGCTGTGGTAGCCGCAGAATCGCGTGCAGAATCCGTCCTTGGGATCGCTGCTCTTCACCTCCACCGTCGGATCTGTCATGACCATGTAGATGCCGTCCGTGTCGAATGGCAGCAGCTTGTTGCGCAGATGGTAATTGATGACTGCAGGGAGGGGGGAAAAGCGGGGAATGGGGAGGAGTCGACGGGGAAGGGGTGGGTGTCTGTTTTTTGAGTTGACTGGAAAGTCATCTCGAATGGCAGCAGCTTGTTGCGCAGATGGTAGTTGATGACTGCAGGGGGGGCAGAGCGGGGAGGGAGTGGGTGTGTTGGGCGCAGGCATGATGAGTCGAAGCGAGAGGTATGGGGAAGGAGGAAGGAGGCATGATGAAGGAGGCAGGAGGTGGGAAAAAGTGCGGGCGCTGGAGCTGGGAAAGAGAAGCAAGCAGGCTGGCAGGCAGTGGGTGGTAAGTGAAACATAGTAGGGGGGTGGTGTTGGCCGCAGGGATGCGGAAGCAAACCGGGATGCAGAAGGCAGGGGGGCACTAGGGTTTGGGAGGCGCTAGGATTTCGGAAAACTTAAAGAATCAAGTCTTAAGGCAAAAGAAATGCGTGGATCGAGGAGAATGGCAGAAACATATTTTCAGAATGGTGGGCGAGCTCGTTCATTTTTCACAGAACTGAACATGTGAAAGCGACTTACTGGCTACCACGTCCTTCTGGTAGTTGCGCAGAACCTTCCCGCCGCCCGAAACGTAGTTCCGATCCAGAACCGACTTCCCCAGCGAAACGGTCGAGCTCACGCGCTTGCCGTCCGCCTGCGTGCCGGCCGCCGTCAGATCCCACCACCGCGTCACATTGTAACGGTCAGCCGGCGTCTTGTATTTCCCCGATATAGAGTCGACGAACTTGTGAAACAGCTGCACCGTCGTCGCGTCCCAGTCGCCATAGAAAATTAGGTACACCTTAATCGGCGACTTGGTCATTACTGGACCGCCATGGTACGTCACTTTCCCGCCTTTTCCGAACTGACCGTTGCCGAATTTCATCTCCTGCGCGGACGCTAACGAAACCCTCCGCTCCTTCCCGAGCGTCCATCCGCCGTTTGGCCCGCCGCGCTTCTTCTTCGGCGGAATCCCGCCTCCGCCGGTGCGGCCTCCGCCGCTGCCCGTCGAGTTTTTGCCCCCGGGGGTAATCACGGGGAACTTCCCCGCGCCGCTGTCGCTCGTCCCTCCCGACGCCTGCCCCCCTCGCTTTCCGCGCCCCCCTTTCCCCGGTGTGATATCGATCGGCGCAGCTAGTCTGGTTCCCGCCCCTCCGCTTCCCCCGCCCCCGCCGCTGTTTTTCCCCCTGTGATAAAACGCCACGCCCTTGGGAATGACGAGAGCATGCTCCTCCGCTTCCGTCCACGTCTCGCCACTCTCCTTCTCCGCCGCAGCCGCGTTCTCAGCTCCTTTCAATCTCCGTCGCCCCGCATGCGCGAATTCCGGCGATACGACTCTAAGGATGCGTTTAGGAACCGGCTCGGCGCGCACTATGAAAGAACCTTCGCGCTTATCAACAGAAACGTCGCCTCGAAGGGCGGGATTGATGGGAGGGGTGTCTACTAGGACGGTCCGTTGTTGCGAAGAGAAACGAGATGTTTGTAACCCGTCACGTCGCCGGTGTGCGTGCGTGTCGCGTTGTGGTTGAGATTTGGCGGAGATGAGGCAGAGGAATGCGCAGAGGAAGACGAGCGAGGCGAGACAATGGGTAGAGCGTCGCGGCATGGTGACTGAGTAACGACTGTGAGAACAGGAAGCGGTGAACATAAGCAGCTGTCGCGAGAAAATTATTGGCAAGTGTGTCCTGTCCTAGTAGACTGGAAGGGTTGAAGCTAACGTAAATCGAATCCGAGGCTGCCAAATTCGGAATTCGAAATAAAACCACCGACTCTGCCTTGCTAATTGTCCACCCGGAGCTTGCGAAAAATTCATGCTAGCGATTATGGTGGAGGCAAACACGGAGGCGCAGATGAAGGTTACACGGAAGCTGCTTCTGCCTCTGTCAGTTCGACAGCGTAGAATTCACAAATCCAAGCGCCTATCGGGGCGCTTCTTCTGACCCAGTACCATCCCAATGGCCACAGTTTCGAATTTCCGGTCCAAGAGGCCACTTGATCCCCTTGAAGAACGGAGCTGTGCAACGGAAGTTGCAACTTTTTCAAATATGCTACCCCACGATTGTCCACGGGCATTCCCACAACATAAGCCCCATTTTTATCTCGTTTCCGTGATCTAGACAATACTTTTCACTGATTTTTTTGGATTTTCCCTGCTGGTGTTATGAATTTGAGTACTGTACTTACCCAGCTTTCGGTTCCCTTGACTAGGAAACACGCCAGCCTTGTTGGTGGATAGGTTGGCTGTGTGCGGGTGCACACTGCACACAAATTGTTTCGCCGAAGACGGAGGCGACACGAGTCAGACGGGGTCGAACACCATTGGCTGGGGAAACGCCTTCACCGTGTGGCTGGTCAGTGGGGCCACGGCGAACTGCCGGGACTTTGAGAGCCGTGATGTCAGGGTTGTGGCAGGGTGTGAACTGGATATCCTCGGTAAGAGACGTTTTCTGTTAGCATAGGACGCTCTAAATAAGTATGTCAGTGTTTCGAATATACATGCACAATGCATGAGGAAGCACTCACTAGGCGATAAAACCGCACGGTTTTCTTCAGGTGCGTGTAACAGAGATAAAACGCGAGAAACCAGACTGAACCGCATAAGGCGAAGTAAACCTCGAGGTGCCCTATCCACCAACCAACCAATTAGGGAAACGTCGCATAGGTCGCACAAAGATTCTGTACGGCATCACTGACGACCATGTGCGATGATAGCAATGAACACCGACCACGAACCCCCCACCCAGCGATATTCCCTCCTCGCAATGCAACCACCACAAGCACACCACCGTGCTGCTCACATTGCGGCATATCCTTCCTCCACCTCATCTTATTTTTAGTTGACTGAACACCGTCCCTGCCGGCGTCGCGGGTTAAGGCTATTTCCTCGTAAAATGCTCTAACCCTTTTCATGCATGCGTAAAATATGTCCAGTAACCGACAATCGCCTGATGGTTTCGCCGATTCTACCGCGAGCGAAATGGCAGGGGCCAATCCCGTCGCCAGGCGATCGTCTCCAGAACAACACGCGTTGTCCGCTTCTGACAATTTTGCTAACCCTAATTATCCCGCCAGTGCTAGCGCTGGCGGTTCACCTTATCCCGCTTCACAGCAACGGCTTGTACCTTCAACGTACGATGTTATATCGGGTGCTCCAACAGGCTCTACAGAATACCCGACAGCAGGATTTGAACCCGAACCTCGTCGCTCTCCCCCCGACCGTATGCTTCCCGACGCCAGCCGCAGCAGTCCCGCAACTCAACGGGGCGGGGGCGGGGCAAGGCGCGGGGGAGGCGGGCTTGTTGGCGGGAGGTATGGCGCAAAAAGTGGCGCTGTGGGGGATGATTATGGCAGGTGGGAAGGCGCGCAACCGGCAGGGATGGTTCAGCAACAGCAGCCGCCGCCGCAGGCACGGCAGCAGAGGCCGCATCAGCATCGGCGCGCAATGTCCGTTAGCGCCGTCGGCGCATTCCAAGAGGGCGGCTCGGAAGGGAATGGCTGGGACATGGGGATGGATGCGGGCGGAACCGCTGTGATGGCGGAGGACTTTGCGCGGGGGGTTGGCGCGGGTTCCGCCGCTGGCGCGCCCGCGGGCAGTGCCCGACCTGGTCGTGGTAGGGGCGCAGGGGGGAGTCATATCGCGGTGTCTCCCCGCGGTGCTCCCCCGTACACAGGAATGTCGCGCGGAGGGGGAGCTGGGGGAAGGATGGGGAGGGCGCAAGCCATGGTCGCGGGAAGAGGGCCTCAGGTTCGGCCCCATACCGGAAGCTCGGCTTCGGGGCCTTTTGGCTCGGCAGGAATGGACCCAGTGAGACATGCAGGGATGAGCATCGGCGCCCCTGGTTCGGGGTCCCCGAACCACTTGCCAGGTGCGGTACCGAACCAACTGGGTGGAGCAGCGCCGTGGCAGTCGAACCGAAGCATTTCGTTTGACGGGCCACGCGGGGAGAGCCCCAGTAAACCCATGCCCGGGATGTTTCCGCGAAGCAACACCACTCCCCTCCCCAGCCAAGCCCCCCCTGGGGGCGGCGCAGGGGGAGGGGGAAGCCCTAGTAGTGGGATGCGGGCGGGGATAGGGGGAGGGGGGATGGGGGCGGGGATGGGCATTGAGGAGCATGAGATGGAGGGGCAGGACGTGGAGGAAGGCGTTGTGGGGGCCGGCATGGGCGGTGCATTGGCTGCCCAACAGCAGTTACAGCCGCACCAACACGCGCAAATGCAGCACCTGCAGCAGCAGCAGCACTTGCAGCAGCAGCAGCAGCCATTGCAGCAGCAGTCGCCCAGGAGGCCAGTGCACCGCAGGACAGCTTCCACTCCCCCGGAGAACCTCGTGCCTGCTGCTGCTTCTGCTGCCGCCAGGCCCTCATTCGCAGCCCCTGCTGCTTCCTCTGCTGCAGGCGCTTCTGGCTCTACTGCTGCTGCTGCTGGTGGGATGAGAGCAGTCGGTGCGGCTCCTGGTGCGTATGGGATAGCAGCGTATCCGCAGTCGCAGTCACAGTCGCAGCAGCAGCAGGTGAAGGGCAAGGGTGTAATGCCAGGGCAGATGCGTCGACCCAGCAGCGCATCGCTGATACAGCAGGGTTACCACCAGCACCAGCACCAACAGCAGCAGCAGCAGCAGCAGTGGCAGCAGCAGAAGCAACAGCAAGGCGGGTACGTCCACTTGTCTCTGGACCAGCACGATAGCTTATCAGGTGATGACCCAGATAATGACTCAGATGACTCAGATGATGACCATGGGGAGGCTGCTATGGCCACTCCCCTGCGTGCAGTCCAGCCCAGGTCTCTGTCCGCGGAGGAAGGTGAAACCGGGGGAGGTGTTATTGGGGGAGGTCGGTCTGGTGCTGCTGAGGGGTATGGCCGAGGGACGAGTGGAGCGGGGCGGGGAGGAGGAAGGGCAGCGGGCAGGGGGAGAGGGCGGGAACCGATGACAGGGGCCGGTAGGAATTCAATTGGCCGAGGAGGAGGGGGAGTTGGTATGGCGGGGCGAGGTTTGGGGGGAGCGGGAGCGGCAGGGGCAGCAGCACAGCGGCACAGGCGCACAAAATCGGACGTGGTTTTCACAGGCGTGCAGGGCGGTGGGCAGGGGGGCATGCAGGGAGGCGTGCAGGGGGCGCAGGGGATGTTTCCTGATGGCCCTTACAGGCCAGCAGGTGCTTCTGTGATGAAAGGGATGGGGAGGGGCGCAGGTGGGGGAATGGGAGGGGGGATGGGAGGTGCGACAGGGTCTGTGGGTGGAGCAGGAAAGGCTGCCGCAGCAGAGTTTGGGGGGTTCTATGACAGTGTGAGCGCGGGCGCGCAGGGCACGCAGGGCTCGCAGGGAATACAGGGTCTACAGGCATCCATGGTAAGTCCCCGCAGCCTTTGCATGGGTGGTTTCGCAAGAGCAGGCAGTGGCAGTGCAAGGCAAGGCGGAGTGCAGCAGGGAGGGGGGCATCAAGGGGGATACGGGTCGCATGCAGGGGGATCAGGGCCGCATTCAGGAGGGCCGCATTCAGGAGGGCCGCATTCAGGAGGGCCGCATTCAGGAGGGCCACAGCAGCAGCAGCGGCAGTCGAGCATGGTGCCTGTGAGCCCCAGAGGCGTTCCTCTCGTCAGCCCCAGGCACGGCACAGGCATGGCAGCAGCAGGAGCAGGGGGAGCAGCAGGAGGAGCGGCAGGGGGCGGGGGCATGCCTCCTCGCAGCCCCAGGGGCCTCGCCTTCCCTCTATCAGCCTCCACGTCCGCCCTGCACCCCTTCTTTGCCAGTCCCACGCGCTCCTTCAACAGCCCCACTCGCTCCCTCGGCAGCCCCTCCCACTCTCCCGGGCCCGCACGGGGCCCCATGGGAGCTAGGTCCATCTTTGGCATCGACCGGCGCTTTGGCAGCTTTGTGGAGCGCAGCACGCGCATGGGGGGGGAAGGCATGGAGGAATTGGCGCTGGGGGGAGGGGTGGGCGGCGGGGGAGGGGTGGGGGGAGGGGGAGGGGAAGGAGGGGGGCTTCAGGGTGGTTATGGGCAGTGGAGGGGGAGTCCCCCGGATGGGGAGCAGGGGGGAAGGAGGCGGTATGCACTGCGATCGGGGAGTTTTATCGAGAGACGCACTGAGAATGAGTGGTTTAATCACAGCGCGCCTGGACCCTTTGCTGCTGCTCCGCATGCTCTTGGTGTTGGTTCTGCTGCTGCTGGTGGTGGTGCCAGTGCTGGTTACTTCAATGCTGCTGAGGGTCAGATGGTGGGGGGGTTCAGGGGCTTGTCGCTCGGTTCTGCTGGGTCAAATTCTTTGAATCGGGTGAATCACCCTGTGGGGCGTGCGACTAGCTATAACAGCAGCACAGGCAGTCCTTCCAGCAGCGGTGCCAGTTCCCCCGCTGCTGGTATTGCTTCTGCCGCTCATGCTGCTGCTGGTGCTGCTGGTAGGGCGCATTCAAAGAGAGCAGAAGGAATGTATGCATCTGGAGGGCCGAGCAGACTGAGTGTGGCACACAACGAAGGGGAGGAAGGGATAGAGCGAGGGGGAAGAGCAAGAGGGGGTGCGGGAGAAGGGATGGAGAGGAAAAAGGCTGGAGAGAAGGGCTTGGTGGTGAATGATGGTGGAAGGAGGGAGGTGACTGGGAAGGGGAGGAGGCGGGGTGAGGAGCGAGTGAAGGACCTTCGGACGCAGACAGATAGTGATAGCCACAGCGAGAGGGATAGGAATAGAGAGAGGAGCGAGAGGAGGAGTGGGAGGCGGAGGAGTGCCAGCAGCAGCGGAAGGGAGAGCGCCAGAGGAGGCAGCGAGAGGAGGGGGAGCAGGGGACGCAGGAGAAGCAGCTCCAGGAGCAGCAGCAGCAGGTCGCGGCGCCAAGACAGCTCTAGAGAGAGACATGCTGAGCAGAGGAAGAGCAAGGGTGGGCGATCAAGGTGGAAGGAAAAGGAAGAGCGAAGGGCTAAGGTGGGAAGAGGCATGGTGGGGAGTGATAAAGAGAGTCTGACAGCGAGTGCGAGTGAGGTGGAGGAGAGGGATGTGCAGCGGACCTCGAAGCGAGGAAGGAGGAGCCATCGGCGACGGTATCATAGGGTGGGAGGCAGCAGCAGGAGTCAGAGCAACTCCGGGAGCGGGTCTCAAAGCAGGTCCAGAAGCAGATCTGGAAACAGGTCTGGAAGCCGGTCCGGAAGCAGGTCCGGAAGCAGGTCCGGAAGCCAATCCAGGAGCAGGTCTGGAAGCAGGTCGTACACCAGCCAGTCCCGAAGCAGAAGCCGATCAGCGAGCGAGCCTGAGACCACCTCCCGTAGCATATCCCGTAGCAGGTCTCCTAGAAGATCCCGTAGCAGGTCCCGCAGTGGTTCTCAAAGAAGCTTCCGCAGCCATTCGTCGAGGGAGAAGTTGTCAAGCAGAGCACGAGGCAGGCGAAGCCATCGCAGATGGTCTAGCAGCAGCCAATCAGAGCGCAGTGTCAGCCCCAGCCAACACAGCAGTCGAAGCCGCAGCGTTAGCCACAGCCGCAGCAAGAGCAGGAGCAGGAGCAGGAGCAGACGCGGGAGCCTGAGCCCAAGCAGTGCAAGCGATGGGTATAGACGTCGCAGAAGTGACAGCAGGAGCAGGAGCAGGAGCAGGAGTGATAGTGGGAGGGCGAGCAGGAGCAGAAGCAGCAGTAGGGGCAGGAGCAGGAGTGGCAGCAGGGATAGAAGCGGGGAGAGCAGCAGGAGCAGAGGCCGAAGCAAAAGCAGAAGCACCAGTAGGAGCAGGAGCACTAGCAGTGAAAGTGCAAGGGAACGCCAGAGAAGTGAAGACGAGGGAGGGACAAAGGGCTGGGAGGTGCCAGAATCTGAAGCTGAAGAATCACGTGCAAGCAGGGGAGAGAAGGCACATCAGGTGGATGTGAAAGCGAGATGGCAGAGTGCGAAGGTAGGGGACAAGGAGAATGGTGCGAGGGGAGAGCGGAAGCTGCGCAGTGCAGGGTCACGGACAGAGAGGAGGGAGCGGAGCGAGAAGGAAAAGGGGTTAGCAGGAGAGGGGGGAAGGGAATTGCGTACAGCCGGGTCTCGAAAAGAGAGGCGGGAAGGACGAGAGGGGAAGGAGAGCGAGGAGGAACGAGGTGAGAGGAAGCTGCCCTCTGCTGGCTCTAGGAAGGAGAGAAGGGAAGGAGGAGAGGGTGGAGGAGGGGACACAGCAGAGGATAGGGAGAGAAAGCTGCACACATCAGGGTCGAGAAAGGAGAGGGGGGAGGGAGGAGAGGGTGGAGGGGACACAAAAGGGGGCGGGGAGAGGAAGCTGCGGAGTGGTGGTTCGAGGAAGGAGCGGCAGGAGGGGCATGAGACGCATGCGAGGCAGCGGGGGCATGGGGACGGCAGGCGAGTGGAGGATGGGAGCAAGGCTGATGGTGGTGTTGCTGGTGGTGCTTCAGAGGTCAGACCTTCTGTTCCTGGTGGTGCTGGTGGTACTCGTGCAGGTGTTGCCGGTGTTGCAGGGGGGAGTGCAGCAAGGCCCCACAGGCATCATCCCCACAGCAGCAGCCATCACCCCCACAGCAGCACCCATTCCCACAGCCACAACCACTCCCACGCACGCGCACACGCCAGCGACCACAAGAGGGTAACAGCTGGCAAGCGAGGTGCTGCAGAGACGGGGGCAACCCCTGCCACGGCAAATGCTGCCACCCCCGCTGCTTCCAGCTTTAAATGAGGCAAGGGGGGGCTATAGTTGGGAAGGACTCGACGGTGGATAGGGTAGTGGTTGTAGAGGAGAGGGTAACATTCTTGTGAGCTGGTGCTGATGCTGTTTGGGAATAAAAAGCCGGTGGTTCAGGAAGGACGTGGCTGCCAGTGGATAAGGAAGCACCACGTGCGCTGCGCTGCTCCTTGCTTTTGTGGCTGTCGTTGTGGTGCACTGTACTGGCCTCAGGATAACAGAGTGTGTGTGCGTGTGTGTGCTTGTGTGAGAACAGCTGTTACAGTGACAATTTGACCAAGGAGTCGTTCTAATAACTGTTTAATCAATTTCGAGTTTGTCCCCTGTGAAGAAATCAAATATCCTGCACACAGTAGCACAGAATCAGATGTATACATTCAAAGCACAAAAAAGTGCAACAGGACAAGGAACGAAATACGTCCCTGGAATGGTCACCACCACCAGAGCACCACGGCACAAGATCTGCAAACAACACCTTCAGTTCTCCCGCCAAAACCAGGAAATTGGCTTGCTTTCCTCCAGCCAGACTTGTCCCAGAGGCTTCAGATGGGAGATTCCTCCTTTGAAAAATCAATAACTCCAGCTGGTGCTTTATCCAGTGCGTAGAATGATGTGCACTCCGCTGTCCGTGTCCACAATGCCGCTCATCTCCCCCACATTGATCCCGAACGTCGCTTCCTCAAACGGTCTCTGCATCTGGCCTCGGCTGAACCAGCCTGAAAGGCGGGATCGGAAGGAAAGAGGAGGGGATGAGAAAAGAAATGGTAAGAGGGATTGAAAGAGAGGACCGTCGGAATCTCTAGACCGCGCTAGACAAACACATGTGGTTCCAGCAGTTGTTCTCGTACCTAAGGTCAATGCGTACGCAGCAGCTATAATCAGCAACTGCACAAATGTCGAAGGCAGTCGAAGGGTACTATGGACAGATGAAGATTTTCTCATGGTGTCTATTTCGCATTATGTTTCGAACTACACCTCTTTAACAAACCCGCGATGTACTCCAATGCAACTGACGTACCCAGATCTCCATTGTTTCTGGCGGAGCTGCAGTGCGATTCAGTCTTGGCAACCTGGCCAAAGTCCAGCTCGCCACTGGCGATGCGTTCTCTAATCGCCAGCAGCTGCTGAATCGCCGCCTCCTTCGTGGTTCGCCCTATTGTCTCTCCATTGGGATCCTTCCAAGATGCCGGACGACGGGAGCCTTGGTGCTTGATAAGAATGTGAGAAGCGCGGACTTGAGACATGGTTTATGAAGAACGGTTACAATATGGCGGGAAGTACTTAGACGAGAAACCTGACTGGGATACGTGCAGATTTTCCTGGTGCCTGGACAGCAGTAATGGGTGTGACTGAAGAGTAACCTCAAATAGCAGGAATCTGACGGTAGTGAAATGGGGAAACTCCTGCGAGGACGGGTCAGACTCACTTTCAGTTAAATAGAAGCGGTGGTGTAAGATGCTGTGCACTCTAGAACGGTTTGTTTTCTTCACCGCTTTGAACCGCTATCAACCAGTCTTTCCGCAAAAATATCCCTGCGACCAGGGCTAAAGTTAGGCTTTTCGCCAACTCGGACGTTTTGGCTCCCTTCCAAAAAGGCCCTGAAAACGCAGGGTCGGCCTAAAAACCGCTCGTAAAAATCAGGGCTGGCCTAAAAAATCCTCGTTTACGTAATTCGATAGTTCCGCGTCAATAAGGACTTCTTTCTGACAAAAGCTGATGCTGAAACACTCTGTTGGTGCACTTATCCTCCTTTTGTGTGGAACTCTGCTCACAGAGAGCGATAGAGTATAGGTGCCTCCGATTTGACTAAGGAACAGAGGGGCGGGAGGGAACATTCACAAGTCCAGGAAGCGCGGGGAGAAGTCTACCTGTGTTGGGGAGGGGACGAGGTTGGGGGTGGTTAGAACCTTAGAAAAAGGTTCCGAGTCCTTCGAGGGATGACTCGTATTCACCAGAGTCAGTCCTGGAAGTGCTCGGATTCAGTCAGGGCTGGCCGAAAAATTCCCCTGTAAAAATCCAAGTTCGGCTGAAAAATACCTAGGATTTTCAGTCAAGAACGAGCATTTACCCTGATAGCCTGAGCCCTGCCTGCGACATTACGTCGGGAGTCCCGAAAGTCGTCATGATTTGGTTACTGTACAAGAGTGAATTGTAGTGCAAAAACATACCTCCAAAATCCTCTCTTCAGTCCAGGAGGAATACCATGAGCATTTTCAGTAGGCAATTCAGCAGTCTTTTTATTATCCACTCCGGAAGTACCAGCAGCTGGTGTTACTCTCTAAGAGGGTACTGCACTTTCAAGGTAGTAGATATCAACATAACAGAAGGCATAAAAACTGTACACAAGATGCAACATTTGACAATTACCTACTCTGTTACAGATTGCCCTTGCACAACTCCCAAGGCATCGTGGGGACGTGGAGGGGGAATGAGCCCAAAAGGTCCCACTTGCACATCGAATAGCCGGTTAGAGTTGCATGCTAGCATAAGAAAACTTCCATGCATCGTGCCTCGCTTTGACGGCAAAGGTGTGTAGCTGATGTATTCAAATTCTGAACCAAGATCCAAGATGGGTTGCTTGCCAATAACGCCAGGTCCAATAACCTGTCCACCAGGAATGAAAGCATTAGGCACAAGCTGTTGAGTGTCCATGTTCCTTATGCAGCAATGAAAAATAGTCTTCCAAGTGCAAGACAAAATGCTCAAGACACACTCCCACATCTCACATGCGAAGACCCAACATGACTGACCTCCTGTATGTTCCCATCGAAGTCCTTAATAACCCACTGTCTGCTGACAAGCTGCACTGGCTCATTCACTCCCTCATTACGAATGCGGACCTGGAGAGTGGAGAGTGGAATAAGGGGAATTACAAAGATTCTGTGTTGTTGCAACAAGCAGACAAAAACTGGAGTGAGGGGTCGCGTGTGCGTGGATTGGGACTTGGGAGGACGGGAGCGGAGTGGGGGAAAGGTGAAAGGAATGTTTACTCTGTAGTGGTAGAGAGCGCCGAAATGGATCTGGTCCATGACTTGGAACTTGCTCTGCACTTCCACTCGGACGCCATGGCTCAGATTGTCGCTGTGATCGGAGGCAGAATGTGTCTGCAGCACTGCCAGCCGTCGATTCAACACAGCAAGCAGCGAAAGGGCTTGATCCAGACGTTGACCCCAGTCCTCCTGTCAACATTTCCAAAGTTAAAGCGGAGAACATGGGAAAACGGCAGGAAGTTCATTTTCATGCAGTAAGCAGCATGAAGCTGCTCGGCCGAAGTAAGCAATCAGGTTTATTAACAGGTACACAAGAGTTTCGCCTACACCTGAGTTTCACTTAAAATACCTACTTGAGCTTGTACGGAGCCTGGCTCTCCTGTAAGCGGCATTCGAAATTCCTGCCTTAGCAGCGCCAAAGAGGCGTCCCTGCCTCGCTTGATGGCTCTTAAGGCGCCTGGCGTGTTGTCTTGCAGCCATGAAACCTCGGACTGCCACGGGGATGGAGCGATGAGGAGTGGAGGAAAAGCAAGCTACTGTCAGGAGAAAAGATGTAACCACATAGCCGAGCAATGTATTAAAATCACAGAACTACGATACAGAACAGACGGATTCTGGGAGCACCAGGCTTTGACATTCTGGGTGAAAGACAATCAAAATATGAATCAACGTACAGATACGACTTCAGTTTCAGAGGCACGAACCAGAGAGAAGACGTCGGTAGTTTTGTGCCGTTCGATTTCCGATGCGAGCCGTTTCGTCGCCGCGACTAGAGCACGATATACTGGTCTAACGAGACCATGCCGGTCAGCCATATCCTATTCGTAACTTGCAGGAACACGATGTTAGGAAGAGCTGAAAGCGGAAATTGGAGTCTAACGAATCGACGACAAAAAGTATCCGCGGTTTTTGCGTTGTTCTAAACAGCTTCTAGTCTGACGTAGTTGTCCGCTTTCAGTTTTATGTCGGTGTGTGTCGACGGTCTGGATAATGACCAGTAGGGAGCCACAGCACATTCACCCCGTAAACTAGTTTCTCTACTTCTGCTTCTACCCTGCCACGAAGCACTCTGCCTGCTGGCAGACTGCTACTATCCTTGGTCTTTGATTTGTTGGCATGGCTGCTGCGAAGTCCGGCTCTTCCTTCGCGAACAAGGTGCCTGACATGGCATACAGATGCTACCAGGTTAGCGAATGTTGACGAATTCGAGGTCAGTGTTCGTGCTAGAAAGTAATCAGCGGGTTGCATGGTGTTTCTGCGATGAGGTGAGGACAACATTCATTGGTTGACAGCCCAATGCCACGTCAACGTGCCCTGTCAGGACTCAGGTCAGGACCACGATGGATTGGTGCAAACTCCCATACCCGATAAAAGCATTTGCTCATTATTGATTCGAGATCCTCACCTACACGAAGTCATGTTTGGTCTCAACTCCCTTAGGATCCAGTGTGAAAGAAATCCCCAATCTTCTGCTGATTTCCTTGCTTTCCCTTGTCCCTTCTACTCTCATCTCTTCCGACTCCACTCTTCTTGACTCCACGCTTCTTTGTCCAAACACCCCGAGCTCCCTTCTTCTCTTCTGGCTCTGGCGACGATTTTATACGTTGTCGGGAGAAGCATGCCAGTAGTCGTTGCTGCTGTTTGACATCCACAGTTGAGAAATCAAAACCGGAGGAAGTGGGAGAGCGAGAACTTCCCCATGCTGAACCGGATGGCTCGGTGAACCCAGAACACAAACCAGGCTGTTCGGATGCCAAGGCTACCATACTGGTCTTTGCACTGTCCGTATGCTGTTGTGGATCCTCACATAGCTTAGAATCCTCCTTTTGTCCCTCATCAGCACCATCACAATTGTTCTCATCATCTCCAGCCCAACTGACATCTTGCACCCAAGCAACATCATCATCTCCCCTGCCGTCCTCCCTCTCTATCTCCACCGTACCCTCTCCCGCTTCCAAGTCATCCTTTCTCTCACCACTCCCGTCCCTTCCCCCCACGTGCCCCCACTTCAAACTGACCCCACCAGTATCACCTGTTGCACCACCATCGCCTGTGATGCCACGCTCGCCAGTGACTCGCATTGTCGAGAAAGCCCTTGATTCCTGTCCAACGGTGGCACCAACTCTCCTCCTCTTTTGCACAGATGCATCTCCATGTTCCCCACCCTTACTCCTCACCCCTCTCTCTGCCCCTTCCTCTGCCTCGTCAGCATCACTCTGCACCTCTCCCAGTGCACCTGGCGTTTGTCCTCCTCCTCCGCCCGCCCATAAATCCATTGCCTCACCATCATCTACTGCTGGGCGTGCAAGACCCCCTGTCACCACATCCACGCCACCTCCCACCACTCCCCTTTCTCCACTCATACTATTCGCCTTCCGAGGCAAGCTGTCACCCAAATCCGAATCTTCCATGCTTGGGCGCTCATTCCTCACTCGCCTCTGACCCAGCATCCTCACTAGAGCCCCTTCAACAGCACCCCTCTTGCTACGTGGACCCAGCCTTCCCTTGCCTCCCCTCAGTCTTCCTCCTCTTCCTCGTCCCACTAATTTTCGTCTTCCTAAATCTCTCTGCTCCTTCGTTCCCCCCTCCTCTGTCCCCCTCTTCTCCTCTCCCGTACCCACTTCACCTTGCTCTTCTTTCCTTCGTTTCTTGCTCTCGCCCCAGCCCACTCCTTCATACCTCTCCTCTCCCTCACTTCCCTCCCCTTCTTCCCCTCCTCGCCTCTCCATCTCTCCTTGCCTCTCTGCCTCTCCGTACCTCTCTATCACATCCTCTCCTTCACATTGGGCTTCTTTTCTTAGACTGGAGCCTCGACTGAACGCTCGCAACAAAGGGGACGACGAGTCACGGAGTGCTGCTGTGCCGTGCGCTAGGCAGCGTGCAACGGGCACATCATGGTCCGACGCAGTGCTTGCGTGGCATGGCAGATCGGAATGACTGGGGGAAGGTGCGGGCGGTGCACGGTGAGCAGCACCAGAGTGTGCCGTTCGGCGCGAGAACATCTGATCAATGGAGCGCATGCCCTGATGTGTGGGCGAGATGCATGGGATGGAAAATGGGGAAAAAAAATGAAAAAAAAAGGGACGAGTTAAATTGAGGTGCAATGGCGAGCAAGGAGCGCTTGAATCAGACTAGCTAGCTTCGGGGCACCACAAAGCGACAATGAAATGGAGGGACGGGGCTATGTGCCAACACGCATGCCCATGCACGGCTATGAGCAGGCAGGGTGGGTGACCATGTGGCATGTGCGGTGCCTGCTTGCCTGCTCTCCAACCCACCTTGGCTCTGAGTTCCTCAAATCCCGAGGCTGACAGCGCCAGGCGAGAGCAGGGCGCCCACGCCGACGAGAGCGGCCGGGGGGGTTGGCTGGCGGGAGGTTGACTGCTGGGCTGGCGCGTTGATGGATTGGTGGAGGAAATGTTGGCCTCCGGCCCTTGGTGCTGCTCCTCACTGGGCTGCGCATGCTGACCCTGTGGTAAGCCACGCTGTTGACCCTGTTGGATCGGTTGACTGGGTTGACTGGCACCCCCTGCCAGCAGAGTGAGGCCGGCAGCGCAAAGCAACGCCTGCAGCTTCTGCCTCTCCTCCTCCATCCACCCCTCCTCCCCTTCCCACCCATCCTCTCCCCCGCCTGCACCCACACCCACTCCCACATCCTTTGTCCCGCATTCCACACCCGCATCTTGTTGCGCCCCCAGTCCCGATCTCTCTACCACACCTGCGTTCTCTGAGGGTGCTTCCCCGCCCTCTGCATCCTTCTCATGCCTCACCTCCTCGCCAACCTCCCCTCTCCTCTTCTCAACCTCCTCCCTCCTTTCCTCCTTCCCCTCGTTCCCCTCCTCCTTCCCAGCCTCCCTACCCTCCTCCTCTGCCCTCCCCTCCTCCCTCACATCCTGTGTCTCCTTCCCCCACTCCTCCTCCCCTTCCCGACACCATCGGTCCACAAACCCTTCAATCACCCTCTCAATGTCTCGCGGCATGCCACACGACCGTGACTTCTCCCCTCCTCCGCCTCCCCCCCATCCACCAGTGCCGCCGCCCCCGTCACTGCCGCCCCTGTAGTGCAGGTGCAGGGAGCGCGGGCGGCGTTTGTTGTCCTTTGCGTCCTTGAGCATGCGGAGAGAGAGCTCCTGAGCGAGGATGGTCATCCAGCGACTGTAAGCCAGGGAGAGGGAAGCAAAGAGGGCAAGGGGAGGGAGACGCAGTCAGGCAGAGGGGTCTGCTGAGGAAACGCCCGAACCGATCTTGTGACCTTACCAGCCCACCCCTCACGTCAGACATGATTCCTCCCAACAGATGCCATCCCATAATCACGTGGTCTTAGCAGATGCCACTTTATGCTGACGTGGACTCACCAGATGTCATCCCAGGATGACGTGGCGTTGAAGGACTTGGCTGCGAGCATGGACTTGGGCACACCCTTTTCCTCTACTGCAATCCGCCGCAGTTAGGATTGGTGATGGAGGGAAGGGAGTGGAGGGGAAGGGTAAGGAGACAGGTGGATGGGCAACGCAGGGGATGAGAATGGAGAGGGGTGGATGGGCAATGCAGGGGAGGGGAATGGAGAGGGGGGGTTGTGGTGTGCGTGCAGAACCCCATGAAAGGGTGGGTGGGTGTGAGGGTGTGAGACACAGAGGGCAGCACAGCAAACATGCAGCACACAGGCAGGGGAATGCAGGAAGCACGTGCACTGCAAATTCTCCATATTGCTGCACAAGAATAAGCAGACTGGGAAGAAGAGGTTCCGAGAGCACACCTGGTGTTTCATCCAGCCCTCTCACAGCCCTCCACACGTAATTCCCGAGCCTGTCTCCGAACCTGGCAATGAGGTCTGGGAGCTCCAGTGCCTGTGCCTGGCCTGCTGTTGCACACCCCATTGCCTGTAACTCCTGCAAGAATTACAGGCCAGCAGAAATGAGTCAGAAAGATTTGCACGTGGCTGATGCTGATGTTAATGCCACTGGTGCACTGAGCTCGATATTGAGGTGAGTTTAACCCGACTTTGAGTCACTCAAAGGCCAGCAGGACATGAACTGCAGAAGTCGACTTCTCCCTCCCTCATCCCCCATGCCGCCCGCCCATCCACCTACCCACCTCACCCCACCACCAGCTCACCCCACCCACCGCACCTGCCCCAGTTTGCCCCCCAAATTGCGGATCTTCTTCAGAGGAACGTTCTCCATCAGGGCAGGGACGGCACGAGGCGGCACCTGGGGGGAGGGGGAAGGGAGGGAGTGGGGTTGGGACAGAGGGCGTGCTGTGCAGGTTGAGTGGTTGACCGAGTCAAAGCTCAGGGTGCACTGGACAATGAGCAACGAAAGCATACACTACCATGGCTGGGCCTCATCACAACGCCACGACATGCTCCCCTGCCATTGTCTCAGCACGGTGAGATGACATGGCCCCCTGGCATTGTCTTAGGGCTCATGTCGCCTTTTGATATGTTTCTTGAACTCAGATGGCACTCAGGACTCCACCACTCCCATGATGACATAACAAGTTCGTGAGGAGGTGCTGCCTTGACTCTCACCACGGTGATCCCAAACGGCTTGATCATGGCGGAGGCCATCTTGGCGAGCAGCTTGTGAGTCAACACAATGACATGCCCCCTGCCAGGCACTCATCACAATGCCATGTACCTGATATACCTGCCATCGCTTCACCACTCACCACGTTGACATTACAAGTGCCCCTGCCATCAACTTACCTGATACACCTGCCATCGTCTCACCACGGTGATCCCAAACGGCTTGGTCATGGCAGAGGCCATCTTGGCGAGCAGCTTGCAGCGCGCCACTCCCACGCTGACCGTATACCCCAACGATGACAGCACCTCCTGCTGCAGCCGGTGCGCTATCACCACTCCTGCCTGCAGCCTGGTGGGTCATACAAGAGAGGGGAATCTGCACATTTTCTGCCCTATCCCACTTGCTACCAAGATGGATGCTGTAACGGCGAGCACAGAGAAGAGGGGATGATATCATGATACGTGGGGAGAGAGGAGGGCAGAAAGTTGGATAACAAGCGGAGTCTCACCTCCTCTCCACATCGTCACGTGCGTCCAGACCAGAGGACCCTCTTTCACCACCAGCCGTGCCTTGGGAACCGCCAGTGCCAGTGCTGATCCTCCACCCTCCACCCTCCACCACTAGAAAGGAGACAAGAGGGAAGGAGAGGCGAGCCTCACCTCCTCTCCACATTGTCACGTGCGTCCAGAGGACCCTCTTTCACCACCAGCCGTGCCTTGGGAACCGCCAGTGCTGCTCCTCCGCTCTCTGCCCCTGCATGCTCTCTCTTCGTCTCCCCCACCCGCTGCTGCACCCCATCCTTCCCCTCCCCTTCCTCCCCTAAACCTTCCCCACCTGTTCCATCCCCATCACCACCTCCCTCAGTTTCCTCACCCTTCACTTCAGGTGCATCCCCTGCATTCGCCTCAGTCCCACTCCCTGCCTTCGCCTCAGCCCCACTCCCTGCATTCGCCTCAGTCCCACTCCCTGCCTTCGCCTCAGTCCCACTCCCTACCTCCACCTCAGCCCCACTCCCTGCCTTCACTTCAGTCACACTCCCTACCTTCACTTCAGTCACACTCTCTAACAGCGCCCTCCACTGCTCGTCCCAGGCAGCAGCCCAGGAGGAGGCACCTGTGGCGGCGCAGGGCTCATCTGGTGCAGGCGGGACTGCAGGGGGTGCGCGTGACAGCATGGCAACAACCGTGGCAGACACGTCCATGTATGCCTCATCAATGCTCGCGCGCTCCACAGTGGGGCACACGCGGCGGAAGGCAGAGAACACGCGCTGAGAGGCAGCCCGGTAGCGCTCCAGTGAGACTTTTCCTGCATTGCGCCCCGCTCCTGGCGCCCCCCCCACCGTCTCCACGTGTATCAGCTGCAGCTCTGGACACTGCAGTACCGTGGTGGTTGGGGGGGGAGGGCGAGCGAGGCGAACTCACAATGAATGGCATCCCATTCACATACACGCACAGCACAGCACGTTCACCTTCCTTGGCCTGCCCTTTTACGAATTCCAGAAAAAAAGCCTGATACATGTTGTGCATGCAATGTATTCCAACCCATAGGCAAGTGTACCTTCTGCTTGGCCTGGAATACGCGGTCGTGCCTCTGCACTCCCCTCGCCCTCGCCGCATAGTTCACTGCGATCAGGCCCTGCCGGTGAGAGATAGGTTGAGAATGAGGCAGCGGTTGGAAGAACAATCAAATTACCCGCATGGTGCCTCAACACTCGCCGTGCGAGAACAGAGGTGATGTGTGAGTTGATTGAAGGACGCTAGGATGGCTCACTGCTGGGAGGCCTTCCTCAGGCACAGACGGGTGAATGATGGAGGTGTGATGGGAACGTGGGGGTGTGGTGACGGAGACATAACGGATATAACGGATGTTACATAACAGACGATGGATGGAAACACTTTCCCTCACCTCCCACTGCTGCACGGCCAGGGGTGTGTCCCTGGGAATACCGAGCCGCACTGCCTCCACCTGTGAAGCAGGCGCGCATGGATGGGATCAGATAACACTACATAACGACAAATGCTAGTAAGGCAATGTGTTGGAACGAGCAGGCGGCGATGTAGGAGTCGCGGAATGAAAAGGGAAATTCGAATAGGGAAAGGTCATCGGGGTAGGAAATGCAAATTTCGGAGACTTCGTACTTGCAAATACCATCCTGCTAGCTTAATCATAACCAGAACTTAATTATCGCCAGAGAAACTTAGCGATCGCGAAGTAATATAATGCGCACCGCGGCATAGAAGCAGTCAAGATCCACGTGGAGGATGACGCGTCCATCCGACGTGGAAGTGCTTCCCTTCGGCCGGTCGTTCAAAGTTTGCGCCATAAGCGCGAATCAATCTGCTTATAGACGCTTAAGGACAGATTAGAGACCTCAAAAATACCATATTTTAAGTACATATATGACGTGGCCTAGAATCTGGGAGGAATCGGGCACTGGGACAGCGCAGTGTTGACCTAGAAATTGGTTTTTGGCTAACAGCCATCAGGAAAGGAAGAGTGCGGTTGACGCTGCATGAGGGCTGCGACTGAGCATAATACAGGGCAGTTCGATTGGAAAACGAGCTTCTATAAGATTTTGCTTGTCACAACAAGTGCTCTACAAAGGCAATTAGCAAGTGCATACTCGCGAACAGAATAGAAATGACGTAGGGAAAACCATCGAACTACCTAAATATTGTTGCATATTCGGGTGGCCCATGATCAAATACACATACCAGAGCAATTTCAGCTCGATTCGTGCACACAAAAAATTTCGGTGCCTGTGATGGCGGCTGTGCCGGCCGCCAAATGCTAAGGAAGCGCGAAGACCTTCATAGGCGTAGAGAAAACCATTAAACGACCTGAATGTTGTTGCATATTTGGGTGATCCAAATACACCTACCAGCGCAATTTCAGCTCGGTTCGTGGGCTCCAAAAATCTCGGCGCCTGCAATGACGGCCTAGCATGCCGACAAATGCTAAGGAAGCGCGTGGATCTCTATAGGCCTAGAAAAAACCATCAAACAACCTGATTGTTGTTGTATCTTCGGGTGGCCCATGCTTAAATTCACTTATCAAAGACATTTGATGTCTCTTTGTGCGCAAGAAACAGTTCCGCGCCTGTGATGACGGCTGTGTTTGCCGACAAAAGCTTAGGAAGCGCGTCGATCCCTATAGGCGAAGGGAAAATAAAGCATCGAACGACCTGAATGTTGTTGCATATTCGGGTGGCCCATGCTCAAATACACCTACCAGAGCAATTTCAGCTCGGCTCGTGCGCACCGAAAAGTTCAGCGCATGCGACGACGGCCGTGCCTGCAGACAAATGCTATAGGAGCGCGTGGATCCCTATAGGCGTAGGGAAAAGCATCGAACGACCTGAATGTTGTTGCATATTCGGGTGGCCCGTGCTCAATTACACCTACCAGAGCAATTTCAGCTCGGTTCGTGCGCACGAAAAAAAGTTCGGCGGCTGTGCCTGCCGACAAATGCTAAGGAAGCGCGTGGATCTCTATAGGCGTAGGGAAAACCACCCAATGACCTGAATGTTGTTCCATATTCGGGTGGCCCGTTCTCAAATACACCTACCAGAGCAATTTCGGCTCAATTCGTGCGCACCAAAAAGTTCGGCGTCTCCAACGACGGCTGTGCCTGCCGACAAATGCTAAGGAAGCGCGGGGGTCCCTATAGACGTAGGGGAAACCATTGAACGACCTGAATGTTGTTGCACATTCGGGTGGCACATGTTCAACTACACCTACCAAAGCAATTTCTGCTCGGTTCGTGCGCACCAAAAAGTTCAGTGCCTGCGATGACGGCTGTGCGTGCCGACAAATGCTAGGAAGCGCGTGGATCCTTATAGGCATAGGGAAAACCATCCAACGACTTGAATGTTATTGCATATTTGGGTGGCCCTTATTAAACTACACCTACGAGAGCAATTTCTGCTTGGTTCGTGCTCAACGAAAAGTTCGGCGCCTGCGATGACGGCTGTGTCTGCCGACAAATTCTAAGAAAGCACGTGGATCCCTTTAGGCGTAGGGAAAACCATCCAACGACCTGAATGTTGTTGCATATTTGGGTGGCCCATGTTCAACTACACCTACCAGAGCAATTTCTGTCCGGTTCGTGCGCACCTAAAAGTTCGGCGCCTGCGATGACGGCTGTGCCTGCCGACAAATGCTAAGGAAGCGCGTGGATCCCTATAGGCATAGAGAAAACCATCCAACGACCTGAATGTTGTTGCATATTTGGGTGGCCCATGTTCAACTACATCTATGAGAGCAATTTTTGCTCGGTTCGTGCGCACAGAAAAGTTCGGCGCCTGCGATGACGGCTGTGCCTGCCGACAAATGCTAAGGAAGCGCGTGGATCCCTATAGGCGTAGGGAAAACCATTGAACGACCTGAATGTTGTTGCATATTTGGGTGGCCCATGTTCAACTACACTTACTGGAGCAATTTTTGCTCGATTCGTGCGCACAGAAAAGTTCGGCGCCTGCGATGACGGCTGTGCCTGCCGACAAATGCTAAGGAAGCGCGTGGATCCCTATAGGCGTAGGGAAAACCATCCAACGACCTGAATGTTGTTGCATATTTGGGTGGCCCATGTTCAACTACACCTACTAGAGCAATTTCTGCCCGGTTCGTGCGCACAGAAAAGTTCGGCGCCTGCGATGACGGCTGTGCCTGCCGACAAATGCTAAGGAAGCGCGTGGATCTCTATAGGCGTAGGGAAAACCATTGAACGACCTGAATGTTGTTGCATATTTGGGTGGCCCATGTTCAACTACACTTACTGGAGCAATTTTTGCTCGATTCGTGCGCACAGAAAAGTTCGGCGCCTGCGATGACGGCTGTGCCTGCCGACAAATGCTAAGGAAGCGCGTGGATCCCTATAGGCGTAGGGAAAACCATCCAACGACCTGAATGTTGTTGCATATTTGGGTGGCCCATGTTCAACTACACCTACTAGAGCAATTTCTGCCCGGTTCGTGCGCACAGAAAAGTTCGGCGCCTGCGATGACGGCTGTGCCTGCCGACAAATGCTAAGGAAGCGCGTGGATCTCTATAGGCGTAGGGAAAACCATTGAACGACCTGAATGTCGTTGCATATTTGGGTGGGCCATGTTCAACTTCACCTACTAGAGGAATTTCTGCTCGGTTCGTGCGCACCGAAAAGTTCGGCGCCTGCGCTGACGGTTGTGCCTGCCGACAAATGCTAAGGAAGCGCGTGGATCCCTATAGGCATAGGGAAAAGCATCAAACGACCTGAATGTTGTTGCATATTTGGGTGGCCCATATTCAACTACACTTACTAGAGCAATTTCTGCTCGGTTCGTGCGCACCAAAAAGTTCGGCGCCTGCGATGACGGCTGTGCCTGCCGACAAATGCTAAGGAAGCGCGTGGATCCCTATTGGCGTAGGGAAAACCATCCAACGACCTGAATGTTGTTGCATATTTGGGCGGCCCATGTTCAACTACACCTACTAGAGCAATTTCTGCTCGGTTCGTGCGCACCGAATAGTTCGGCGCCTGCGATGACGGCTGTGCTTGCCGACAAATGCTAAGGAAGCGCGTGGATCCCTATAGGCGTAGGGAAAACCATCCAACGACCTGAATGTTGTTGCATATTTGGGTGGCCCATGTTCAACTACACCTACTAGAGCAATTTCTGCCCGGTTCGTGCGCACAGAAAAGTTCGGCGCCTGCGATGACGGCTGTGCCTGCCGACAAATGCTAAGGAAGCGTGTGGATCTCTATAGGCGTAGGGAAAACCATCGAACGATTTGAATGTTGTTGCATATTTGGATCGCCCATGTTCAACTACACCTACTAGAGCAATTTCTGCTCGGTTCGTGCGCACAAAAAAGTTCGGCGCCTGCGATGACGGCTGTGCCTGCCGACAAATGCTAAGGAAGCGCGTGGATCCCTATAGGCGTAGGGAAATCCATCCAACGACCTGAATGTTGTTGCATATTTGGGTGGCCCATGTTGAACTACACGTACTAGAGCAAATTCTGCTCGATACGTGCACACCGAAAAGTTCGGCGCCTGCGATGACGGCTGTGCCTGCCGACAAATGCCAAGGAAGCGTGTGGATCCCTTTAGGCATAGGGAAAAGCATCGAACGACCTGAATGTTGTTGCATATTTGGGTGGCCCATGTTCAACTACACCTACTAGAGCAATTTCTGCCCGGTTCGTGCGCACAGAAAAGTTCGGCGCCTGCGATGACGGCTGTGCCTGCCGACAAATGCTAAGGAAGCGCGCTATAGGCGTAGGGAAAAGCATCGAACGACCTGAATGTTGTTGCATATTTGGGTGGCCCATGTTCAACTACACCTACTAGAGCAATTTCTGCCCGGTTCGTGCGCACAGAAAAGTTCGGCGCCTGCGATGACGGCTGTGCCTGCCGACAAATGCTAAGGAAGCGCGTGGATCCCTATAGGCGTAGGGAAAAGCATCGAACGACCTGAATGTTGTTGCATATTTGGATCGCCCATGTTCAACTACAACTACTAGAGCAATTTCTGCTCGGTTCGTGCGCACAAAAAAGTTCGGCGCCTGCGATGACGGATGTGCCAGCCGACAAATGCTAAGGAAGCGCGTGGATCCCTATAGGCGTAGAGAAAACAATCCAACGACCTGAATGTTGTTGCATATTTGGGTGGCCCATGTTCAACTACACCTATTAGAGCAATTTTTGCTCGGTTCTTGCGCACAGAAAAGTTCGGCGCCTGCGATGACGGCTGTGCCTGCCGACAAATGCTAAAGGCGTGGATCCCTATAGGCGTAGGGAAAACCATCCAACGACCTGAATGTTGTTGCATATTTGGGTGGCCCATGTTCAACTACACCTACTAGAGCAATTTCTGTCCGGTTCATGCGCACAGAAAAGTTCGGCGCCTGCGATGACGGCTGTGCCTGCCGACAAATGCTAAGGAAGCGCGTGGATCTCTATAGGCGTAGGGAAAACCATTGAACGACCTGAATGTCGTTGCATATTTGGGTGGGCCATGTTCAACTTCACCTACTAGAGGAATTTCTGCTCGGTTCGTGCGCACAGAAAAGTTCGGCGCCTGCGATGACGGCTGTGCCTGCCGACAAATGCTAAGGAAGCGCGTGGATCCCTGTAGGCATAGGGAAAACCATCAAACGACCTGAATGTTGTTGCATATTTGGGTGGCCCATGTTCAACTACACCTACTAGAGCAATTTCTGCTCGGTTCGTGCGCACCAAAAAGTTCGGCGCCTGCGATGACGGCTGTGCCTGCCGACAAATGCTAAGGAAGCGCGTGGATCCCTATTGGCGTAGGGAAAACCATCCAACGACCTGAATGTTGTTGCCTATTTGGGCGGCCCATGTTCAACTACACCTACTAGAGCAATTTCTGCTCGGTTCGTGCACACCGAATAGTTTGGCGCCTGCGATGACGGCTGTGCTTGCCGACAAATGCTAAGGAAGCGCGTGGATCCCTATAGGCGTAGGGAAAACCATCCAACGACCTGAATGTTGTTGCATATTTGGGTGGCCCATGTTCAACTACACCTACTAGAGCAATTTCTGCCCGGTTCGTGCGCACAGAAAAGTTCGGCGCCTGCGATGACGGCTGTGCCTGCCGACAAATGCTAAGGAAGCGCGTGGATCTCTATAGGCGTAGGGAAAACCATCGAACGATTTGAATGTTGTTGCATATTTGGATCGCCCATGTTCAACTACACCTACTAGAGCAATTTCTGCTCGGTTCGTGCGCACCGAAAATTTCTGTGTCTGCGATGACGGCTGTGCCTGCTAGCAAATGCTAAGGAAGCGCGTGGATTCGTATAGGCGTAGGGAAAATCATCGAACGGCCTGAATGTTGTTGCATATTTAAGTGGCCCATGTTCAACTACACCTACTAGAGCAATTTCTGCCCGGTTCGTGCGCACAGAAAAGTTCGGCGCCTGCGATGACGGCTGTGCCTGCCGACAAATGCTAAGGAAGCGCGTGGATCCCTATAGGCGTAGGGAAAACCATCCAACGACCTGAATGTTGTTGCATATTTGGGTGGCCCATGTTCAACTACACCTACTAGAGCAATTTCTGCCCGGTTCGTGCGCACCGAAACGTTCGGCTCTTGTGATGATGGCTGTGCCTGCCGACAAATGCTAATGAAGCTCGTGGATCCCTATAGGCGTAGGGAAAACCATCCAACGACCTGAATGTTGTTGCATATTTGGGTGGCCCATGTTGAACTACACATACTAGAGCAATTTTTGCCTGGTTCGGCGCCTGCGATGACGGCTGTGCCTGCCGACAAATGCTAAGGAAGCGCGTGGATCCCTATGGGCGTAGGGGAAACCATCGAACGACCTGAATGTTGTTGCATATTCAAGTGGCCCATGTTCAACTACACCTACCAGAGCAATTTCTGCTCGGTTCGTGCGCACCAAAAAGTTCGGCGCATGCGATGACCGCTGAGCCTGTCGACAAATGCTATGGAAGCGCGTGGATCCCTATATGCCCTATAAAAAAATCAGGAAATATTGAGTATTTCACTTTGTACTGTACAAGGTAGAGTCTTAGACTCTTTAAATAATATTTGTTTTGTCGTTGATTCAATGAAATCAGTTGCAGCTACCCTATAACGATTCTGGGAGCAATCCATACCGCACCTTTGAGCATTCCGTGCTCTGCTAGGCTGCTTGTCAAGCTTTCTGTCTGTAGCTTTCTGCTAGGCTGGTTGTCATTGCTTGCACTCCGCTCACCTATTGAATCCTGGACTGCGGAAGGTTGTAGAGGCGGGTGTAGGTGCTGCCAGTCGCGCTTGTCTGCACGACGCGCAGTGGTTAGTCTCGAGTAAAGCATCTAAAGCATTCTGATTGTGCGTTGCCACGTGGCCGTCACGATGCGGTGCCACTACGAGGTGCTGAGCGTGGATCGCTCCGCATCGGCGGACGAGATCAAATCCGCGTATCGCAAGCTCGCGTTACAGTGGCACCCCGATAAGAATCAGAACAATGTCGAGCACGCTACAGCGATGTTCAAGCAGATCCAAAGCGCGTACGAAGTGCTAAGCGATAAGCACGAGCGAGCGTGGTACGACTGCCATCGCGACTCGATCCTTCGCGGCGACACGCACCACCACGGCGAAAACCACGACGAAGACGAAGACGAAGATTTGTGGGGTTACTTTTCCGCCTCCGCGTACTCTGGTTACGGCGACACAGGCGAAGGGTTTTACGCAGTGTATGCGAAAATCTTTGACGAGATTTTCGAGAAGGAGTTCGCCGCGGCTCGGCGCGCGGCGCAGAAGGGGGAGGAGGTGGACATGTCGGCGCCGCCGTTCGGCAAGAGGGACAGCTCAGCTGCTGACGTGTCGGCGTTCTTCAAGTACTGGCAGTCGTTCGTGAGCGTGCGCGACTTTTCGTGGAAGGATCAGTACAATCTGGCCGAGGCGCCCAATCGACGGGTGAGATTTGCCGCCGGTTGGGGAATTCCGGGGATCAGGGTTCAGGGTTCCTGGTGCAGGCGCGGGGCAGTGTGAGGCTCTTGGAAATATGTGCGAGACAGGACTTTGGGTTCAGGGTGCAGGTTGGAGGCATTGGGTGTACGCTATTGAAATTCCGTGTGACCTGTGGCCTGTGCCGCTCTTCCCTCCCGCCCCCGTCCTTTCCATGTATGCCACGTGTGCCGCGTGTGCTGCACACGTGCAGGTGCGGCGGCTGATGGAGGAGGAGAACGCGAAGCTTCGGCGGAAGGCGAAGCGCGAGTTCAACGAGGCGGTTCGCCAGCTGGCGGCGTTCGTGAAGAAGCGCGACCCGCGCGTGAAGGAGCAGCAGGCGGAGGCGCGGCGCGTGGCGGCGGAGCGCGAGGCGGAGGCGAAGCGGCGGAGGGAGGAGGAGCGGAGAGAGAAGGCGCGGCGCGCGCAGGAATATGAAGACCCGGAGTGGGCGCGGGGGGAGGGGGAGGGGGAGGACGAGGGGGAGGAGGACGAGGAGGAGGAGGGGGACGGAGTGGAGGGTCGCGGAGGGGGCGAGGGAAGGCGGAAGGGGCGGAAGGCGGGGAGGGTGGATGAGGATGAGGATGATTGGTTTGGGGAGACTAAGAAAGGGGGGCGGAAGGGGAAGGGGAAAGGAAAGGGAGGAGCAGGGGCAGGGGTAGGGGCAGATGGATCGGAAACTGTGGCAAACGGGCAGGGCGACGGGCAGGGTTTGGAGAGAGGTGGAGGCAAGAAGAAAAAGAAGAAGGGCAGGCAGGGGGACGCACACACGGGGGGAGGCAGTGCGCAAAAGGGGGTGCGGGGGCATGGGGCTGGGGAAGGGGAGGCGGAACTAGGTGAGGCAGGGATGAACGGGGAGGGTGCGGTGGGGATGGGTGAGGCGGGGTTGGATGAGGCGTACTGCGTGGTGTGCAGCAAGGCGTTCAGGAGCGCGCAGCAGCTGGCGAACCACGAGCGCAGCAAGAAGCACCTGGCGCGCCTGGCGCAGCTCAGGGCGGAACTGCTGGCGGACGAGCTGGCGGAGGGCGCGGGGGAGGGGGAGGGGGAGGGGGAGGGGGAGGGGGAGGGGGAGGAGGGAGAGGAGGAGGTGGAGGAAGTGGAGTTGAGAGAGGGGATGGATGGAGACGGGGATGGGGATGAGGAAGCGGTTGGTAGGGAAGAGAGTGAAGAGGACGAGAGGGAAGAGGGAGAGGTGGAGGAGCAAGAGAGGGAGGGAATTGATGCAGTGATAGGGGCGGAGAACGATGGAGAAGGAGAGGAGGATGAGGAGGAAGAGGAGAAAGATGAGGAGGAAGAGGATGATGAGGAAGAAGGGAAGGAAGAGGAGGAAGAGGAAGAGGAGGAGGAGGCAGGAGGTGAGATGGATGAGGAGGAGGAGATGGCAATGCTAGCGGCGATGCTGGCTCGACAGAAGATGGCTGAAAAGAAAAAGAGGAAGGAGAGGGCGAAGAAGAAAGAGGAGCAAGAAGAGGAGGCAGCGGAGGCGGCAGCAGAGAGCGGGAGCAGGGAAGCATCAGCAATGGCTGAGGCAGATGCAAGGGAGGAACTACAGAGTGGCGGCAAGGGGAATGCGACTTGTGATGCTCCAGCTGGTGCCCGTAGCTTGCATGAGGCGGCGAATGGGGTGGCAGCAGATGGGGTGGCAGCAGAAAGAGACGGGGGGGGAGCAGCAGCAGGAGACAATAGTGAAGGTGACAGCAAGGAAGGTGGTGAGACGGAGGGGAGGGAGAGTGAGGGAGCAGCGGGGGGAGGCGGAGAGGGGGAGGATGAGGAGGAGAGAGTAACAAAGGGAAAGGGGAAGAAGGGGAGGCGGAGGGCAGCAAAGGGTGCGGGGGGGAAGGGCGGAGGTCCAGGGGGGAATGGGGCGGTGGGGGATTCAAGTGGGCAGAAAGCAAACGTGGGTGGGGGAGGGGCTGTTAGCGGTGGTGCTGAGGATGGCGGGGGGGAGAGAGGCGGGAGGGGCGGGAGGGCCGGCAAGAAGGAGAGAAGAAAGGGGAAGAACGTGGAGGTGAGTCGTGAGGCGTGATTCATAGTTTGTGCTGGCAGTGTGGGGGGAGGGGGGGAGGGGTGGAGGGGGGGGGAGGGGGGGAGGGGGGAGTGTGCAGGGCATTGAGAGGCCGGCAAAGAGATTACATCACAGAAAGTGATTCAAGGACTTGCTATGGTGCCAGTCTCTCGCCAGCCTATGCCTGGCATGGTGCCTCCAGCTGCCACTGACTCACTCGTACCGCTTGCCCCTGTGCTTTCTGCCCCTTGCTGCTGTGCTCGCTGTTGCTGTCTGAATGCAGCCATCATTGGCCTGTGGAGTGTGTGGTCTCGAGTTTGATTCCAGGTGAGTTCAATATTTGTCCAATTGCATCTTTGTGGGAATCATCAGGCTCTGCAACATCGCATCTGCCACCTGCCTGCCTCTTCCTCCTCTCCTCATGTCTCCTCAAATTCTCCCTCTCGCCATCTCTCCTCATGCTCATGAGTCACCACCTGCCCATCCCTTCACCCTTCCCCTCTAATGCCAGGAATCAACTGTTTAAGCACATAGCAACCAAGGGGCATGCACAGCTCAAGACGTGACTGCTGCCGTTTTTGAGTCGACTCAAAAGTCACCTCGTTTTGAGTCGACTCAGAAGTCCAACCCTTTTCTTCCCTACTACCAGGAACCAACTGTTCAAGCACATAGCAACCAAGGGGCATGCGCAGCTCAAGACGTGACTGCTGATGGGTGGGCCCATGCGGATGGGTGGGGTGAACCTGCTCACAGGGAACACCTTCTGAGGCGATTCACAAGCTGTCCAAAAGCAAGGGTTTGTGGCGCCTCGAGAACAGGCACATGCAGTAGTGTGCAAAGGCCACACAATGGCACAGCTGACAATGCCTGGCGTCATGGGTGCCTGGTCAGAGCGACTTCTGCAGCATGAGTTGCAAGTCTTGGCGGATACATCCCCACCGGAGTCTCAGTGGGCTGAGACTTTCTTTCTGGTCGTCTCGTCTCTCAGCCCAAAAGCTGTTGAAGCATGCACAGTAGCTGTGTATATTTCAGCGGTTTCTGTGCAGATTTCAGCCAAGTTCAGCGGATCCTTGGCCTCTTGTCTGACACTGCTTGTCTCTCTTGATGTTATTATTGTTGATTGGTGCAGAGCGCAGCATGTGCACTTACACTGACCGACCATCCATTGCCCATTCTCAATCTGCAAGCGACCACTTGAGCATGCGCTGACTCTGCAGTAAAAGCTGCTTCTCTAGCCGTACAGATCAGGTTCCAGTAAAAACAAAAGCCTAGGATACGACACCGACTCGACCTAAGGGAGGAATGGGCCTTGGCTCACTTGGCGAGTGGCACAAGGCAATATATTTTTGGAGGCGCCTCAAGAGCCTAGCCTCACTTGGCGAGTGGCACTAGGCAGTCGTATATGGCAGCCATACGTGCTGCTAGTAGCTGCCGGCCTTGCATGTCCATATGGGGGCTTGCTATATCGAGTATGTCCTGCTGCAGGCTGTTGGCGTGGCACATACGAGGGTTGGGAGCAGGAGAGAGGGCAGGTGGGAAAGTTCATGTGAGGACTTGTCAGCATCAGCATCAAGGCAGCACGGCATCATTGATTCAGCACATCATTCAAGGCAGCATGATAAACTCACCGTGTGCCAAACCGGAACTCACCGTGACCACTCGCCCTCCTTGCTGGCCTGTTGTTGTACAGCCACGTACAGCCGATGCAGCAGATACACCAACATGCCGTGCCACGCTGCCACGTCATCCACTGATGCCACGTCATCCACTGATGTTGCCACATCATCACATGGTGCTGAGCTGGGTGTGGGAGCCGATGCTGGCATTGATCCTGAATGTGGTGCTGCTGCTGACGTGGAGGGCACTGCTGACGTGGATTCCAATAATTGGGCTGGTGGTAACGCCTTGGACGATGGTGAGACCCTCAGGTGGTTACGCAGAAACACGTGTCGCTCCACGTCAGCGAGTAGCATCCGTCGTCTTGTCTGCGCCACCCGACCTTTTCCTTCCACTCCCCGAGCCTGATGGTCATGGTCATGGGCATGGGCATGGGCATGGGCGTGGGCGTGGGCGTGGGCGTGGGCTTGAGCATGAGCATGAGCGTGGGCGTGAGCAGAGGCAAGTTGATATACCAGGTAACCACAGGTCAGCTCAAGTCACCTCGGGACAAGTAAACTCCACTCTTGAGTCCACTCAAGTCACCCTGGGTCAACTCAAGTCCGCTTACCTTCAAGACAGAGAAGTCACGCGAGAGGGAGAAGAGGCCGGAGAGCAACAGCAGGGTGACTTTGAGCTGACTGAAAAGTCAATATTGGTCACCTCGAGTCAACTTAACATTGCTTACCCTTGAGACGGAAAAGTCATGGGAGAGGGAGAAGAGGCCGGAGAGCAGCAACAGGGCGGGCAGGGCGGTGAGGAGTGCAAAGTTGATCTGATTTGCTTTCAGTATCTGTTCCAACTCTAACATGGCGCTGTTGCACGGGGAAATGGAGAGAGAGTGGAGAGGAGAGTGTTTGAAAGGGGAGAGGAGGATTGAAGAGTGAGGCTCGAGGTCTGGAAAGAAGAGGAGTAAGGGGTTGTGTGGGTAAGGCGGGTTCGAAAAAAGAAGGTGCAAACGAAGTAGAAAAGGGAGACCGACAAGGCTGCACTGGCAGAGTGAGAAGGCAGAAGCAGCCAGAGTGCGGAAGTCATGGCAGGGGAAGAGAAGGAGCAAGGACAAAGAGGCAGATACAGGGAGTGGTGACGGTATGAGAAGGGGACTCACGTTTCGAAGGCAAAGAGGCAAAGAGGCAGATACAGGGAGTGGTGACGGTATGAGCAGGGGACTCACGTTTCGATGTGCAGCTTCATCCTTTGCACCTGGTGGAAGGGACAGGGGAGAGGGGAGAGGGGAGCAGAGGACAGGAGAGAGGGGAGAGGGGAGCAGGGGAGATGGGGGTGAACAACCATGAAGCAGGTAAACTTGGTTGTTCACTCTTGCCCCACACTTGGTTGTTCACCCACACATGCATCCGCTGCACCAGTGGGCTCGTGCAAGCAAGCCACAAGGCACGCACCTGAATCAGCAAAGCTTCAGCCAGCCGCCCCGTGAGGAGGTGGGTGAGAGGACTGGCCATGTGTTTCTCGTATTCGCTCATCACCACTGCCATTAAATCCGACTCTGATAGGACAGCTGCTCCCACTGGTGCATCTGCTGCACCTGTAGTGCCGCTGCTGCTGCTGCCGCTGCCAGTGCTGGTGGTGGTGCTGCTGCTACTGCTTTCGATGGCTAGTGGCTGGGTTTTCTCAACAAACGTCAGCAGCATTCTGGAGGGCCATTGGGACGAGGGCGGCAGGGATGGAAACACGACTTGAAAAGGGGATGAAACGTGTGCTGCGCACAGTGCAAAGATTCACTCTTTCTTACCGCCTTGACTGCACTTCACCTTGTTGACTGTGTTTCTCCTGGCGTCTCATTCACTTGTTTGACTCTCACCTCCGCAGGGAATCAGTGGAAGCCTGCACGTCATGCATGGACACGTTGCCGCTCTGCTTGACCCTTTTGACCGCGTTGACTTGCTTGACTCACTGTTGACTTGCTTGACTCACTGTTGACTGGCTTGATTCTCACTTTCGAAGCGAGTCAGTGGAAGCCTGCACGTCATGCATGGACACATTGCCCCTCTGCTTGACCCGGTTGACCGTGTTTGACTACACCGACTCTCACAATTGACTTGTTTGACTCACTGTTGACTTACTTGACTCTCACCTCCGCAGGGAATCAGAGGAAGCCTGCACATCGTGCATGGACACGTTGCCCCTTTGCTTGACCCTGTTGACCGTGTTTGACTTGCCTGAACTCTCACCTCCGCAGGGAATCAGTGGAAGCCTGCACATCGTGCATGGACACGTTGCCTCTCTGCTGGTCGCTGAACGTGTGGAAGAGTTCTGCACTGATTGCTGACAGCTGGGGGGTGCGAGAGAGGGATAGGGATTCAGGAGGGGAGTGAGGGGAAAGTAAAAGAGGGATTGGCGGCAATTTGAGGAGGTGAGGCGAAGGGTTGAGGGCGATAATGGCTACAATAGCAAGGGTCACAGGATAGATACAAGCTATGAGCAGTAGTGTTGCTTACCGGCTGCCATATGTGGTCTGTGACAAACCCTGTCACCGCTCTCCACCCATCTGCAGCCCACCTGCCCAGGGAACCACACGCACGTCAAAGTAATGGGAAAGTGCCTGCATTGCAAGTGAGAGCACAACAGAGAGCAGCAGTGCGGGTGCCTGCGAGTCTGCACCCTGCCGTGTGTCGACTGCTTCCGACAACAAATCACACTGCCGCGCCCTTTTCTCATCACTCACCCATGAGGGTACCCAAGTGTCCATCGGCCCATGTGGCTTATCTCGGCTAGACGCCTTCTCTTCCCCAATGCCCCATCATCAGCAGACCACCTGTGTCATCACTGCCGTTCAGTCGGCTGTGCCTTACCACCCATGAGCCCAACGGGATGCTAAACAGCCCCCCTGCCCAGTGGGTAATCCAACCAGCGCAGTGCCTCACCCATCTATCCATCTAATCCCCCATCTAATCCCCCATCTACCCTTCTAATGCATTCGCCCCATCACCAAATCAACAACTCACCTGTCCAGGTCATCACTGCCGTTCAACCGGCTGTGTCGCACCACCCAGCTTCCCACCGCCACGCCACACATCTCCCCTGCCGCACCTCACCCATCTACCATTTAACCATCTGCATGCTTGGGCCCCATCTACATCCCGTCTCCCCACCTGTCGAGGTCATCACAGCCATTGACTCGGCTGTGCCGCACCACCCATGAGCCCACCGCCACGCCACACAGCCCCCCTGCCAGGTACTCCAGCCAGTGCCGCGCCGCGTGCCTCGGCCTATAACAGCGCGCCACCTGGACAGGGAATGGAGGGGCAGGAGAGAGGGGTGAGTGATAGGGGGTGTGATGGAGGAGAGACGGCAATGCAAGTAATCTTGGGTGTCACCCACCCCAGAAGCACCCACCCGAGCAGCTAACCACCCCAATTCCCACCCCATCAGTTTCACCCCATCAGTTTCCACCCCATCAGTTTCACCCCATCAGTTCCCACCCCATCAGTTTCACCCCATCAGTTTCCACCCCATCAGTTTTCACCCCATCAGTTTCGCCCCATCAGTTTTCACCCCATCAGTTTCGCCCCATCAGTTTCGCCCCATCAGTTTCGCCCCATCAGTTTCGCCCCTTCAGTTTCACCCCATTACTTCCCACCCCAGCCGGCACCTACCGCGGCAGAAGCCAGTTTCTCCTGCCCACCCACCCCACCCAGCCTTCACATCCTCGTTGAGCCTCTTGACCCAGCCGCCACCTACCCCAGCTGTCACCCACCCCAGCAGCCACCCACCCACCCCAGCCGGCACCTACCGCAGCAGAGATCAGTTTCTCCAGACTCTTCACATCCTCGTTCAGCTGCTTCGCCTGCCCACCCACAACGGCTGGTGACACCACTGCCGCTGCAGGCACTGCTCCTTGTTTTGAAACACTTAGCCCGCTGCCATCTGCTGCTAACCCAGCACCACCCAACTCCCCTCCTGCCTCGTTACTGACTGCTTCGTTACAGACACCTCCACTCTCCTCCGTCCCCTCCCGCCCCCCTGCTCCTGAGGTGGGCTTCTCCCCGTCAATCCCTGAGGCCTGTGTGACTGCCACGTGGCAGGTGTGTAGGACAATGGAGAGCAGAGCGAGGGGGTCGGGAGGAGATGCAAACGTGCTGGCACTGCTGCTGCTGCTGCTGCTGCTGCCGGTGCTGCTGCTGCTGCTGGTGGTGGTGGCAGTGGTGGTAATAGTGAGGGTGGAGAGGGCGAGGGAGGATGGGGGAGGGATAACAGCTGACGATAGGTAGACCTGTGGCAGAGGGGAGGTGAGGAGAGAAGCAGACGGAGTGGGGAGATGAGGCACTGCACTTCCCCTGCCCACAACAACCTGCTCCCCACGAAACCCCATCACATCTATCCCCTCATCGAATCCCTTCCCCACCCTTTTTGCACCACAGTATGTTCACGCGAACCACATCCCCACCCCCACGCCTCCTTCCTTTTCTCTCCCCTGCTCACCCCCCTTCCCCCACTCCCCAACCCTCGCTTTCCCCTTACCTGACCAGCAGCGGCGCTCAGAGCCAGTTGCACCTCCCCCAGAACCGCCACTTTCTCTACCACAATCTCCCGAACCAAGCCCTGCAGGCTCGGCGCTGCCAGGCCTAGCAGCAACCCCTCTGCTGACGCAAGGCTCGGCAAGAACGACCTCAGGCGGTGTAGATGGACAAAGAGAAAGGGCTTGAGGTTGAGGGTTTTCAAGTCGAGGTTTAAGGTTTTGGAACTGAATGTGTGGAGATCTGAGATGAGATTTTGCAGGGGTTTAGGGGTTTGAGGGAGGATGGAGAGGGGGAGGAGGGGGGCGGTTTGTAGGGAGAGCCAGAGGGCAGAGAGAAAGCGATAGAGAGGCGCTAAGAGAGTAGCGAGGCGAGTGAGAAGCGGGGAGAGCGGCTGCTTGACACGTGTCACGATCTGATTTGCTGAGAGTGAGGGCGAGGATTGGGGAGAGCTGGGCGGGACGAGGTTAGAGGAAGGAGAGGCGGGAGGAGAAAAGGAGGAGGAGGAGGAAGAGGGAAGGGTGGGAGAGGGGAGGAGAGGGAGGAGGTATCGGTTGGCGGCGGAGAGAGCGAGTGAGAGGGAGAGCGAGAGCGACGTGTGGAGGAAGGCGAGCGGGCCGCGTCGGAAGAGCACGATCCAGAGCTGCTGCGAGGGCGACGCGAGGGCGAGGCGGCGCCAGAAGGAGAGGTGCTTGTCGACGGAGCGCATCATGACAAGTAGCCGTTGACCCGCTTGATTCACCGCCGCCACTGCCGCGTCCACCGCCGCCTCGCTCCCCTCTTGAGACGAATCGCTCCCCTCTTGAGACGCCTCACACCCCTCTCCCGTGCCGCCCCCCTCTGCCCTCTCTGTTTCCGCTGCTCCCTCTGTTCCCGCTCCTGCTGTCCCTCCGTCCCCTATCTCTACTCCCACTCCCCCTCCCACTCCTCCCTCTCCATCCTTGTGTGATAGCCCCTCACTCTCATGCTGCTGCTGCTGCTCTTGCTGCTGCTGCTCTTCCTGCTTCTGCAGCGCAATCGCGTACGCATTTCGCCGCGCCTGCCACGTCCGCAGCCTCTGCTGCTGCTGCCACGTCAGCAGCTGCTGGTGTGCAGCCGGCGGTATAACCGGGATCGTTATCTTTCGCGGCCCACCGTCCGATTTCAATAGCGCGCGTAGACCCAGCGCGACAGGCGCAGCTAACGCGACAGCACCGGCGGCTAACGACCAGACACGTGGATCCGAGAAAACATCCCCGATATAGTCATTCTGAAAATAGCTACTCAAGATAGACGTCAAACTATTGGATCCGCTATCCCCGGCACTGGATTCGCTGGATCCAGGGGCAGGGGAAGGCATGTCGAAGGTACGCGTGCGTCGCCACGCTTACGCTGTCCTAAGCGGGCCCATCCTCCTTAAAAGCGCGTTCGTTTCGACCTAGGCCAATGATCGTAGAAACAGGGGACATGGTGTAAGGACATGGGAGTATGCGCGTTGGGGACGCGATGCTCGCAAGGTGGGAATGTGCAAGTGCAATATAGAATGATCTTCTAGAAGACATATCTAACCAATATATGTTCGGAAAGAATCAATAAAGCTCAATAAAGTACAACAATGTCTAGTGCCTTTATGACAATGTATCATGTATAGATAACACTAGCTTTATTTTAATCGCACCACAATAAGGTGCAAATTAGGTGGCTGGTGCCGGAGCAATAGAAATGAGCTTCGATGGGCGAAGCCTAGCGCAGGGAACCCTAGCCGGAGTGAGTTGCGCAGGAGCAAGCTTCACAAACTTGCCCGCAGAAGGCTTCCGGCCAACCCGCTTTTTTCCACCAGCGGGCGGGTTAAAATTCACCTCGGGCAGGCACTGGACAGCAGGCCACTCCGCCAGGGGAAATGCGTTCATGCCTTGATAGCGCAGAAGCTGGTGGTTGAAACCGGTGGAGTACGGTGCCAAGGCATGAAGATCTTTGGTGCAAGTAACCCCTGGTATCACCACGTGACTATCCATGGATGGAGAAGCAGGTGCATTATGGTGACTGCAGGCCACCATACCACTTGCATGCGCACCCACAAATCGCTGCGCCTGTGCCGTGCTCTGTGCTGTGCTCTGTGCCAGGCGCCGCGTCTTCCGAATCCGAGCAGCAATCTCGGAGGCAGCAACACGGGGCGGCATGGCGCTGGGGCTCATACAGGCGCCAGGGAGAGTCAGGGAGGGGACCAGCGGGTGGCTGTCCAGTGAGTGTGCCTTCACAGCTGCTGCCAGTGGCACCGGATCTGACACCGAGTCGTTTGCTGCACTGTGGGAGCGTGCGAGAGGCAAGTCTCCTGTGCTTGTGCTGTGGGTTGAGGGCTTTGCCAGCAGTCGCCGCTGCTTGGGCAGAACGGCTCGCAGAGGCATCATATCGGCCGTTCCTGCTGCTGCTGTCGCCGCTACTGCTGCTGCTGCTGCTGCTGCTGCAGCTCCCTCACCTCCATTAACCACTGCTCGTGCTGCCGGTAATGCTGCTGGAGGAAAGAATGCTGCTGAGGGCGAAGGCAGCTTGAAGACACGGGCTCTTCCCCACTGTTGCTTCGGCGTGCCACATTCATGCAGTGCCTGTGCCTCTGCTCCTGCTGCTGCTGCTGCTGCTGCAGCTGAGCCTGCGAATTTGGCCCGTGCTGCTGCTGCTGCTGCTGCTGAGCCTGCGGATTCAGACCGTGCTGCTGCTGCTGCTGCTGCTGCTGCTGCTGCTGCTGCTGCTGAACGTCCTCATGGGGTTGCACCAGAGCAAAGCACGTGGTGGAGTCCTTGCCTCCGCTGCCCGCTTCCCAGGAAGAGCAGCGGGAGAGAGGAGAGCCCACGGACAAGGACTGACGAGAGAGAGATGGCCTGCGGGGAGGCAGGAAGCGGGGCGAGCAGGCCTCAGCGACTGGTGACTGCTCCTTCTTCAGAGACGCTTCCTGCTTCTGCTGCCGCATCTGGTCCAGGCACATGCGAGCCAAGTGCTGGTGGGGTAGGTTCTGCTGGTGTAGGAACTGCTGAGGCACGTGAATCTGAGGTGGGTTTTGCAGGGACGGGTTCTGCTCGGGTGGGTGCTCCTGAGGTGTGTTTTGCTGGAATGGGTTTTGCTGGGGCAGGAGCTGCTGGGGCAGGAGCTGCTGGGGCAGGTGCTGCTGGGGCAGGTGCTGCTGGGGCAGGTGCTGCTGGGGCAGGTATTGCTGGTGCAGATATTGCTGGTGCACATGTTGTTTGATGAAAAACTCCTCGGCACTGTCAGGGCGTGCATGGGGCGTCTGGGTACCGCCAACCTGCTGCTGCAGGTGCACGTGATGCTGCCGCAGGGACGAGTTGAGAGCAGTAACCTGGGGGCTTGCCTCAGGCGCGTGGGAACCGCCGACCTGCCAGGTCGAGTGGTGCTGCGTGTGCACGTGATTGTGATGCTGCAGGGACGAGTCCAGAGCAGTAATCTGGGGGCTTGCCTGGGGCGTGAGGGCAACGCAGCGCAGGTCAAGGGACGCAAGGCTGGGAGGGCTGATGCGACCGGGGCGCGGGGAGCACGGGGAGGGGCAGGCAGTAAGCGCGGTAGGTGACGGGGTGCCCTGCCCGTCCTCATGCCCGCGGTAGCCATGCCGCACATACGATTTATGCGCGTCGTGCTCGTGCTGATGATAAGCACCATGCCGATTCTGCCCATCCGGGAGCACCAATAACGGCGATCGCGGTCGCTTGCCACTGGTCCTTGCAGACCGCATGGGGAGCGCAGCCGGCGAATCAGGTGCAGGCGGCGAATCAGGTGCAGGCGGCGAATCAGGTGCAGGCGGCGAATCAGGTGCAGCCGGCGAATAATCAGCAACCACCGTCACTGCCGGCGCGGAGTCTGCCGGCGCTGGCTCCGCCATGAGCGGCTGTGGCGGCAACGGTTGTGGTGGCAGCAGGGGTTCTGCAAACACGGCATCTAGCAACAGCGCGTCATCCAGGGTTGAAGTCTTGGAAGCACTTCGGCTCAATGCTTCCAGCACACCCACCTCGCCACTGGAACCACTCGCAACGGCACCTTCAGCCACAGCCTCCGCGGATGTGGACGCAGCAGGCGCATGTGGGGGCGTGTCAGCGGCGTGTGTGCTTGGGTTTAAGAGGCCCGGGCGGAGAAGGCGCGCCCGCAGCTCGCAGATTTTGTCCTCCAGCGCGCTGATCTCGGCCTGTAGGTTGTCGTTCTCGTGCACAAATGCGTCCAGCGACGCTGCATCCACTGCTGCTGCACTCGTTGCTGCTGCTGCCATCGTTGCTGCTGCATCCCCTGCTGCACATTCGGACTCTGCTGAGACGGAAAGAGGACCCCAGAGAAGCGAGGGAGAAATGGACGCCGGTGTGTGAGGATACGGAGCTTGTGCGATTTCAAGGCCGTCCGGGAGACGCGAGTTGCAGATGAGCGGAGGCACGGCTGCGTCATCAATACCAACGCCGGCCATCTGATTCAGAAGAAGGTCCGGTCGAACCGCCATGGCTGAGGTTGTGCCCGTTGCTCCCAACTGCCTCCTCCCTCCTCTGTCTTTGTTTCTCCTTCGCCTTCCCAGTCTTAAATTCCCTCAGCCCTGCTAGGTGAGGGAGTTGGTAGTCCAGGAGAGTGAACGGCCTGGATTGAATCCGTCCCGGAACGATTAGAGGCTCACTCTTTCGCAGGAGCGATGCTTTGCGGAACAGAAGGGCACAGTAGGAAGGGTGGAGAGCGGATGCTGCGGCTGCGTCAAAAGACTCAGAGTGTGCAGGCGACTTGGCTGAGACTTGAAATCTCGTGATGAGAGATGACGCAATTGTTGAACGGGAAAAAAGGCACAGGAATTCATAATCTGAGGGACGTGGACTCAGCGTGCCTCAAATGCATGCATCCTGGACGAGAATTGAGACGTCAATTCCGATCAAAGACCCTGCGAAAACCCTCAAGCGTAGGGGATTGTCAGAACCAGCGATTTGAGCACAGCAGCAGCAGCCGCATACCAACAGGTGACTGGAATCAGCGAAAATTATCAGCATATGAGAAGCTTACTGGCAGGACAAAGAGACGCTTCCGTGTCTCCATCCACTGCTTCTGGATTGCACAACCTCACAAAGTTTTGTTCGCGAGATGCCTCCAAAACAACTCCTTTGTTGCTCTGCTACTGTGTGCATTGCACTGTTTCGAAAGATTCTTACCATTCTGTGGGCGCGGGGAATAGGGACACAGAAGGATCAGATGCTTGTGGGAGCATCAACGGCGCTCAGCCGCTTGCGAATGCCGTATTGTTGGCATACCGGACAGTTCGCCAAATTCTGTAACGTTGTCGACGCAGCAAAAGGCGGCGTGATGCCTTTTTGCCTCAGCCATACGTTAGCGCGGCTTGATCAAACCTCCTGATCCTGGAATTCGAATCCCACCGGGCTTCCCTTTCCTTTCCCTTCCCACCCCCCTCCCGATAGCCCGTGCCTCCTCGCCCTGGGTCAAAGATGATGTCACGGATCATCTCGGGCTCTTCCGAAAGCGAGTCAGAATGGATGAACGGTCAGGATGGACGGAATGGAATTAGTGAAGCATCTGACTGCAATCGGATTGTTTTGCCTGCTGGCGGAAAGACCATGGGGAAGGTCAAGCAACTGTGCCGGCCACGCTGGAAAGGACAAGCGGGCGAGAGGCGAGGGCACGGATCCGCCATGAAACCAGGGTGACAGCGTGACAGGGGAATGCGGTACGTAGGATCTGCCACGAGGCGCGCTGTGACTGGGAAAGCATTGCTTGATTCTCTGAACTAGCCAGAGTGATGCTGTGATGCCACCATATTCGCTGCACCAAAAGCAAGATTCCTCTTCACTCGCCTTGGTCTCATAAGAGCTGATGGGCTACAGCGCAAGCAGGAATCGAGTGGGTGTAAGTCCCAGAAGGTGCTCTGTTAATATATAACGTACAAATAAGTTTCCAGAAATCACATGAACGTAAAACAGCAATGAAATCTAGGTGCCTACATACCTTCATCGTAAGCTTAACTAATCAGCAGTAATACATGTATTCAGTAATGATATATGTTCAGACAACCCTGCCCATCTGATATTTGATTTCTGTGTGTTCTTTTATCATGATATGAAGTTAAGAATCTATATGCGGACAGTGTTTTGCTTGTGTCCGTCTATCTGGTTCCACCCCTTCGCGCTTCGGTTTTGCCGCCAACTCAAGCCTCCGTGGCGGACGACCCTTTGGCTGCTCAAACACCCCTTTCCTTTCAAGCGGACACAATCCAAACACTCCCCAAACTGGACTCTCTTCACGAGACAATCTCTCTAGGCACAAGCATTTCTATTTTCCTCCAAAGCTCCAGCTCCTCACTCAAGATCTGGCCTTTTCAGGTGTGTGAGCGCATGGTGCGAAGTCCTAAGGCGTTGCTGTAGGCGTTGCTGTTGGCTATACGCCTGCTACAGATTCCGACTTCGTGCGCTGTGGTCGGCTGCAATTTAACCTCGAAACAAGTACGTCCTGTCACCGCTGAAAGTACGATGTACGATATTGTTTGAGTCCGACGGAGCGCATCTCGAAGCAGCAGCGATGTCACGGTGGCATCGTTGCATCAGAGGAAGCCCGTGCAACTGGCGAACCCTCATTAGTACGCCACCAGGTCTCCCGCTCGTTAGTAGGCCAACCCCCGTTATTAGACAAGCACGTTATTTCCCCAACACGCCAGGGTGTGTCCTACTCGTTAATAGGCAAGCAGGCCTCAGCCTACCACGCGTAATCCGCTGGATCTCGACAGACGCTAAGTACGGTGCGCGCGCGGCTCGCACGAGAGTCTTATCTCATGCGACATCTGACGACAGAAGAAGAGTCGCACGATCCAGCGATCGCGACACGAGCCACGAGAGTACACGGCAAGAGCGCGAGTCTTGGGAATGGCAGCAGCAGCAGCGCCGATGGCAGATGCAGGCGGGATTCGAATCGACGGGGGAGGATGAGGGGAATCCGGAGCTTGGAATCGCGACCGTTATTCCTCGCGGGCTCCCGTCGCGCAAGCATGGAGAGCGGTTGGGTCGACGGCGAGCAGTGCGGTTCGATCCCGCATCAGGCGGACTGGAGATGAGTGCCGGGGAGGCATCCGGAGGTGATAATAGCGAAGGTGAGAGACGGGACGGGCTTGCAGACGGCGAATCTGGTGCGGGAAGAGAGGGAGGATGGAGGCAGAAGGAACGGAGAGAAAATGCTTTCAGTTCACCTCCCCGTTCCGCGGCACGTTCTGTTACTCGTTCCGCCGGCGCACAGGAGCGAAATGAAAAGGGGGTGGGGAGCAGAGGACTGAATGGCGGAGGGGGGTCTGAGGTGATTGGGCAGAGAGGAACGGAATGGGCACAGCGAGGAGGAGGGATGTGGCAGCAGGAGGGTGCAGCAGCGCAGCTTGGGATTCAAAGGCCAGGGAGGCTCTTCAAGGATGCAGCAAGCAACTCAAGCGTCACCTTCCATAAAGGTGCAGAGCAGGACAGCGACGATGAGGAGGAGAAGGAGGTGTACAAGATGGCACGGTTAGAAGCGGTGCGGCTGCTTAGTTTCAAGTGAGTGACATCCCATGCCCCTGCGTGCGATGCCGGTTCCTTGCTTTTGTTCCTCCCCATGGCCTTCACATGCAACACTTCCATCCCATCCCAGACCTCTGGCATGGCTCCGATTCTTTATTTTGCCTTTGTGCCTACGTCTGGGTGGCTCTGTCTGAATGGCTCTGCCTGGGTGGGTCTGTGTGGGTGGCTCTGTGTGGATGGCTCTGTGTGGGTGGCTCTGTCTGGGCGGCTCTATATGGGCGGCTCTATCCTGCTGGGGCAGGCAGTGGTCGGAGGCGCAGCTGCGGCAGAAGCTGACAGCCAACCTGACCCAGCCAGAGCGGGTGCGAGGTTTGGCCAGGAGAGCGGGAACAAACCAGCCACGTGGCAGCATGCCACTGGAGAAGGCTGATGCTGCGGTTGATGCTGCAATCAACTACATGAAGAAGCTGTAAGTCTCAACATTGCCATTGTACACTTATTTTCTGTCAATGTAACTCTCTGTGCCAGACCACCGTATTTGTGCTGTGAATGGTGTGCCTGGTGGTGTATGTTAAAACCATTCCTCTGATGTCTGTCCAGCTGCGCCGGATCCCCCATTTTTTCTCTGCCCATGCCTACCGTCACCCTCAGCGGCTTTGTGAACGACACGGAATACGCGGAGGCTTTCGCCCGAGGGAGGTTCAAGCAGTTTGGATGGGGTCCAGCTCGCCTCAGAATGGTGAGCTCCTTCTGTGTACCGTTGCTGGTTGGTCTGGCATTGTGTGTAGTGGTGCACACTGCAGGGACCTTGCATGAGCTTGAAATGGTCAAGAACTGTTTCCTGCTTTTGTCCTTACATGTGATGCACCTGTGTTACTGTTGGGTTGCACTTATTCTGAGATTGCAGGAGCTTAAAAAGAGAGGGGTCAGCGCCAGTGATGCCAGTGCAGCTGTGGAGTCGGTCTACACTCTAAGCAGTTCAAGTGAGGACAGTAGCTATAGCAGTGGTGATGTTGGTGAGGATTTGGAAGATAATGATTATGAAGATGCAAGTCAAGCTGGGCTCAGTAAAGAGGCATGGCTTACATTAACTGATAAAGCCTCAAAAGTGTGGGACAGGGGTGAAAATGTCCCCTTGGAGAAGCGAAAGCAACGCTTAGTGGGTTGGTTGCAAAGGCGAGGCTATAGCTGGCAGCAGACCTGGAAGGTTGTAAACAGTATGCAAAGGAAGTAATTCCTCAATTTGTACATGTGTTTTCTTTATCAAGGTATCGAGGTCGACAATTGCTGAGTTCTTTTAATGAGAACACCCAAAACGCCGCGTGGCGACTGTCATCCCACGGGCTTGGAGGACACGTGGGCTTCAATCTCCGTAACCCGTCAGCGTGGGAGACCGAACTTCTTTACGACGAAGCCCCCCCACCTGCGCTGGTGTCACAAAGGCATCACAGCGGTTGTCGAGCCAGCACGAAATGCTTCGGTACGTGGCAGGTTCCCTCGAGGTTTGCGTGAGCCACCAGCTTTTCCTTGACAGTGCGATGAAGTGACAAATCTCTCATCCAACGGCTGTTATTGCGTCACTAAGATCAGCTGACCCCGCCACGGTTTCCCTCCCAAACCAAACCAAACGATGACGGAGTTCCCTCCTTCCGAACCACATTTGCCACGCTTCGATCACTCAAACTCCCCTGAACCCAGCATTCCAGCGAATGGCTCACTCCATCCCACACATCCCTTGCGAATCCCTGCTGAATTGCCTCCCACCAAAATCAGCAATAAACGTCTCGAGCTTCTGTGTGCTTTTCAGATTCAGGCTTCATTTTTTCTGAAGTCAGAGGCTTCTCCTCCTTTCTCCTCTCCGATCTACTCAGTCCTCTCGGAGGCTTTTCTCCCGTGCTTCTAGATCAGAAGCTTTGCCACTATGGCCACCACCGATCTTACCGTGGAGAAGACGGCCTCCGGCCGTGAGTACAAGGTCAGGGACATGTCCCTCGCCGATTTCGGCCGCATGGAGCTCGATCTCGCCGAGGTCGAGATGCCTGGCCTCGTCGCCTGCCGCGACGAGTTCGGCCCTGCCCAGCCATTCAAGGGAGCCAAGATCAGTGGATCCCTTCACATGACTGTTCAGGTGTGTTGAAATTCTCCATTTTGTGATTTGTTACCGAATGTTTTGGATTGGATTGTTTCTATTTTTCTTCGTGCATCACACCTGCGGTAGTAATGGACGTTGGGATCTGACAATGCTCTTTCGGGCTTTCATTCCTCTGCAGACTGCCGTCCTCATCGAGACCCTCACTGCGCTCGGCGCGGAGGTGAGATGGTGCTCGTGCAACATCTTCTCCACCCAGGACCACGCAGCGGCCGTCATTGCCCGTGACTCAGCCGCCGTGTTCGCCTGGAAGGGCGAGACTCTGCTGGAGTACTGGTGGTGCACCGAGCGCTGCCTCGACTGGGGCGCCGGCGGCGGCCCTGATCTGATCGTTGACGACGGTGGCGACGCCACTCTCCTGATCCACGAGGTAAGCTTGTCCGTAAATTGGAGTTTCTCGTGGTCCAGAATCAATATATGAATTTCACCACTTTGACAACTTAAAAGTCGATCTTTCAAAGAATCTCTCCCTAACATGTTCATGTGGACATTTCCCTTGCAGGGTGTGAAGGCCGAGATTGAGTTCGAGAAGTCGGGTGCCGTCCCCGACCCCGAGTCGACGACGAACCCCGAGTTCCAGATCGTGCTCACCATCATCCGCGACTCGCTCAAGGAGTCGCCGACCAAGTATCGCGACATGGCGAAGCGCATCATGGGCGTGTCGGAGGAGACCACCACGGGCGTCAAGAGGCTGTACCAGATGCAGCTCAACGGCTCGCTGCTCTTCCCCGCCATCAACGTCAACGACTCCGTCACCAAGAGCAAGGTATTTTCGTCAACCTGAATTTGACGTATGGGTTGTGGATCGGAATTCTGTTCGGTTGCAAATGCCTGAAATTGAGCCTGAACGTGGAGACGGCATTTTGAACGAACCCATAAACCCTTGTAGGCCAACACTTGGTAACTTTCAGCTGATCACATGGTAATAAATATCCCTGTTTTGTCCGATCCGTCGTCCCCTGCAGTTCGACAACCTGTACGGTTGCCGTCACTCTCTGCCCGACGGTCTCATGAGGGCCACTGACGTTATGATCGCCGGCAAGACCGCCCTGGTGTGCGGATACGGTGACGTCGGCAAGGGCTGCGCCGCTGCTCTCAAGGCCGCTGGCGCCCGCGTTACAGTCACGGAGGTCGACCCCATCTGCGCTCTCCAGGCTGCCATGGAGGGTTTCGCCGTGAACACCCTGGCGAATGTGGTTGCCGACACTGACATCTTCGTTACCACCACTGGTAACAAGGACATCATCATGGTCGCTGACATGGTGAAGATGAAGAACAACGCCATTGTGTGCAACATCGGTCACTTTGACAATGAAATCGACATGGCCGGCTTGGAGAGCTACCCTGGCGCCAAGAAGGTGACCATTAAGCCCCAGACGGACCGCTGGGTGTTCCCTGAGACCAACCGTGGCATCATCATTCTGGCTGAGGGTCGCCTGATGAACCTGGGATGCGCTACTGGCCACCCCAGCTTCGTGATGTCGTGCTCGTTCACCAACCAGGTGATTGCTCAGATTGAGCTGTGGAAGGAGAAGGACTCTGGCAAGTACAAGAAGGAGGTGTACGTGCTGCCCAAGCACCTGGATGAGAAGGTCGCTGCCCTGCACTTGCCCAAGCTGGGGGCTGTGCTTACCACGCTGACCCCTGCTCAGGCTGAGTACATTAATGTGCCTGTGGAGGGCCCGTACAAGCCTGCCCACTACAGGTACTAGAGGGCAGCTAGATGAATTGCTTATACGTGTTACAGATATTTTGTGTCAATGAAAACAAAGATTTAGGGTACATTCCTGACATGTGTCTCAAACGAAGAGATGCAGTGCGGTGGAAATGTTTGACACTCAAGTGTAATGCGGTGCACACTGGTACAGCGGTTCTATTACGCGATTGAGACATTTGTGTCCAGAGCGGAATGTACCCTTAGCTTTTTGCACAGGCACACAGACACACCCAACACAACGTGGCTCAAAGAATGCATTTGGTGGACCTGCATTTGGTGCAAACAATCATTTGCACCAGCTTGTGCTGATGATTGTTCTGCTTGCACTTGCTCTAGCTGATGAAAGCACATATAGTCTCCTGAGAGCTTACCTGGAGCTAGTTAGCAGGACTCTTGAGAGCTCAACCTGAGCTATTCAGCAAAAAGTTGCTGCTTTTGAAGTTTGGCGCTAGTCCTCATCAGCACCACTTCTAAACACCAGATTGTTATATACGGCATAAATTCGAATATGTCTTGCCATACTTTTACGTAACCCTACATATATGAGAAATACCTTGTGATATTTTTAGCTTTATGCGACGTCTTGTACACGGTTGATCCACACTTGTATTTGTTCCTCAATGCAACCGTTCATAACGAAGGCTTTCATCCTACCTGACTTTGCCGAGGGTTTCAATGCAATCTCCACGTCTGCACGCTATTCCAACGTGGCAGCTTTTTCGCTTGTGCAAGCCACTGCGGCAATCCCAGAAGTGGGGGCAGGCGTCGCCGACACCACAGAAAGTGGATGCTGCAGCCCAACATATTTCCCACCGAAAGCTGCTTCGGGTAGCTCCTAGAAAGCCCTAGAAAAAACAATTGATCAATCAAAATGAGCCACCTTGTTTCTGAACCGACACGCCAAATGTGTCCTCACAGAATCCACACGCCAATACTCGGCGCGTTCCTACTATCTGCCCGACAATACCTTTCCTCCCCAATATTTCCCCTTTCCCCTTGCCCACCAAAGCGAGGGGAACCCCATCAACCACAACCTGTTTGTTCCATCCTTCCACCGAAATTCCTCGCGGAGTATGGTGCATAAAAGATATCAACCTTACTGAAACGCACAGAAAACGAAAGAAACGCTCCTCACCCTTTGGAAGTGAAACACCGAAGACCTGAGAGCAGCGTGCCTCAAGAACAAGAGAGCTGCTCACCTTTTTACCATCCCTCTGCTCATTTCTTGATCCCCTTCCGCTTCAGCTTGCTGAAGTCCAGTTAGGGCAAGCACACATCACGCCTGTGACTTCGCAACCACGTCTGAACTCGGCTTAGTATCCGTTCCGGATAGCCGGTTCATTTCCCAATTTCTCGCGTATCGTTACCAGCTTTCCGCAAGGAAAACCGCTGCTTGGTGAATCAGCCCGCGATGGCCACCACAACGTCAGTAGGTCTCCTCCACACGCACGCGCACGCGTCGCTGAGCAAGCTCATCGCCCAGCGCACCACCGGCCTGCTCTCCCACGAGCCGTGCGTCCCTTCGCAACTATCCTCCGTCAAATTCCTCTCCGGCTGCGATTCCTTCCCGAACGCCAAACTCGCCGCCACCTCCGCATCATCCGGCTCCCTATGCGTCCCCGGCGCGTTCCCCGCGGAGAAGCGGGGACTTAGAGTGGTAGCGGGCGGGCCCGGGCTGGCGGACGAGCAGGATCAGGGGCGGCAGGGGTCGTCGGACGACTTTCCGCCCGTGCCGTCCGGGCGGATGATGGTGCCGATGATGAAGAAAGGCTACGGCGCTTTCGGCGGTGCGACGCTCGAGAAGTCCAAGCTCGACCTCTCGTTTTCCGCCACCAAGACCTCCCCACAGGTACACCTACCTTGGGATTGCCGGAATCAGTATGTTGTTTTGAGTCGACGGAAAAGGCAGCTGTACTATTGGCTCAATGCAAAGCTGGACATCTCGCTCTCTGTCACCAAGACTATTCCACTGGTTCACCTTAAAATTCCAGATTCTCGACCTTAACTGTTTCTTCCGTGGCGTCCCTCTTTTCCTATCAATCTAGGGTTTCGAGTCTGTTTGTGTGACTCTCGCTAACTGGTGTGTTGACTTATGTCTGTGTAATTGGTGTTTTGCGTTCCTGTGGTATGCGATCAGATTGACCTGGGCGGTGGAGGTGGTAACGTCGGTAAGGGCGGGGCGCACGGCGGAGGCGACGGCGGCGACGACGGTGGCGACGATGACGACTACTTTGGCGAGGACGACGGCGACGACGGCGACGATGATGGTTTCATTCGCCGAGCGATCATTTCTGAGGTTAGTCACCCCGTGTCTCCCTTCACATTGGTTGGCGATTATAATCTCATCACCGGCATTTTCAAGATTCCGGATTGTTTTCTTCAGTTTCTTAAAGTGATTGTTTTCGAAACTTAATTGTTAGGCTCCTCCATTGCCACCCGCTGATTATTGTCTGCGATGTCTCGTCTGCCTGCCATGTCCCCTCTGTGCCTGAGCTCTGCCGGTCGGCCGGTACTCGCCAGGCACCTGTGATCGCGAAACTTAGCCGCCACTCATGTGTTGCCGTTTCACGAAATATATTTCTGGCTGGCTGTAATGCCTTCTCTGCCCGTTCTGTCTGCTGTGTGTGATCCGCGTGACCCGGCAGGTGTTCGACAGGGCGTCGGTGGAGGCAGTGCTGCAGGAGTGGTTCCGATGGCGTCCATGTGTTGCCATAATCACGAATCATTCCGCTTTCACCCTGTCGGTTCTGTGTTATGTGTGCGCGTGTGACCCGTATCACCCGCCAGGTGTTCGACAGGGCGTCGGTGGAGGCGGTGCTGCAGGAGTGGTTCCGAACCATGGCGGACTTGCCCTCCGGCATCAGACGAGCGGTTGAAATGGTAAGATACTTGGTAAATGGCCGCGGTGAACGCGTGTTGAAGCGGGCGGGGATTTGGGAAAGGGGTTTGCGCGGGCAGTGGGAGGAAGGGTTGGGAAGCGCTGAGCTTGGCTGAGAAATGAAATTGAACGGTGAATTCGCTTCAGATCGTGGTTCCACATCCCTGCTTGTCATTTCCCCCCCCTTCCCCCCCCCCCCCCCCTCTCTCCCCCCCCCCGCCCCCCCCCGCCACTTACGTCGATTTTCCACCATTCATTCTGGACCTTCTCTATCGTTCAGTCTCGCGCCTCCGTATTTGCTTACGATTCCCTTCTCTATCTCAGTTGCAGCAAGATTCCGCGGTTCGTGTCTCGAACGCTAAAGTCTCTCCCTGTTGCTGCTCTTCGTTCCCCACCGTTTGTCTCCCTCCCCCTCTCTTCCGCGCCCATCAGGGTTTGGTGAGCTCCGCGCAGGTGGCGCGCTTCATGTCGATGGACGCGCGCCCCACCATCGCGCGCATCGTCTCCCGCGCCACTCCCGCCGAGGTCTCGCGCGCGTTCGTCGGCCGGTGAGTCTGGAGTGGGATGTTGTGGGTATTTGATGGGTGGTCCGGTCAAGGAGAGAGGGGTGGGCCAGGGCGAACGGGAATTGGAAGGGTTGCGGGAAATTGGTGGGTGGTTGGGGTCCAGCGTTCGCATTCCAGCTGCTGCTGCACCAGGCCGTCCTGCCTATCTATCCTCCCGTCCTTAGCATTCCCTTCCCTGCCCTCCCTCCCACCTCCTCCCCCATTCCCTCTACTCCCCCTCTCCCCCCCTGCCAGCATGATGGCGGACCCCGCGTTCATCTACAAGCTGCTGCTGGAGCAGGCTGTCACTGTGGGCACGTCCGCGTGGTGGGAGGTCAAGCAACGCGGCGATAGGTGAGCACTGAGCACAGAGCACCAGGGAACTAGAACTGGAGAGTAGCCCAAAGTGTGTTTTGATTTTGCCAACGATAAGTCTAGTCTGGTTAGCTACGTAGTGCACCCTGAGTAACCGTTCGGCCCATGAATCCGATGGTCGTTGTCAGTTGTTCAATCCTCTCTCTGTTTCCCCGCATTCCCGTCAGAATCCTCCGCAACCATTCCCTTGACGTCCCTCCCACCCCCAATCCCCCCCCCCCCAGACTGAAGGACGAGTGGGGCCTTGCTCTCTCACGAACGTGCTGACGCACTCCCTGTGCAACGCGGCGGTGGTGTGGTCGCTCTCCCCCACGCGCTCCTACGGCTCCACCACCTCGCAGTTCAGCCCCCTGACGACCCCCCACTCCCCCCCCTTTCCGCTCTCCCCTTGCTCCGCATGCCCCCTCCCCCAGACTGAAGGACGAGTGGGGCCTGGCTCTCACGAACGTGCTGACGCTCTCCCTGTGCAACGCGGCGGTGGTGTGGTCGCTGTCCGCCACGCGCTCCTACGGCAGCACCGCCACCTCCGAGTTCAACCCCCTGACATTCCCCCACTTGCCCCCCTTTCCCCTCCTGTTCCCCCCCTTCCCGTCCCTCGTTTTTCCTCCCCCAGACTGAAGGACGAGTGGGGCCTGGCTCTCACCAACGTGCTGACCCTGTCTCTCTGCAACGCGGCGGTGGTGTGGTCGCTGTCGCCCACGCGCTCCTACGGCTCCACCGCCACGTCGGAGTTCAACCCTCTGACGCCTCTCCACTTTCCCCCCTTTCCGCTCCCCCCTTGCTCCGCATGCCCCCTCCCCCAGACTGAAGGACGAGTGGGGCCTTGCGCTGACGAACGTGCTCACCCTCTCTCTCTGCAACGCGGCGGTGGTGTGGTCGCTGTCCCCCACGCGCTCCTACGGCAGCACCGCCACCTCCGAGTTTAACCCCCTGACATTCCCCCACTTGCCCCCCTTTCCCCTCCTGTTCCCCCCCTTCCCGTCACTCGTTCCCCCTCTTTCAGACTTAAGGACGAGTGGGGCCTGGCGTTGACGAACGTGCTCACCCTCTCCCTGTGCAACGCGGCGGTGGTGTGGTCTCTCTCCCCCACGCGCTCCTACGGCAGCACCGCCACCTCCGAGTGGCAGATGACGCTTCAGAAGCTGCCCAACCACATGTTCGACAAGAGCTACCCCCTGCGCGAGTTCCATTCAACCCCCTCATGTTCACCCGTTTCCCCCTGTTCCTCCTCCCCTGCTCCCCCTTCCCTCTCCCCTGTTCCCTCACGGCAGACTGAAGGACGAGTGGGGGCTTGCGCTGACGAACGTTCTCACTCTCTCTCTGCAACGCGGCGGTGGTGTGGTCGCTGTCCCCCACGTGCTCCTACGGCTCCACCACCTTGCACTTCAACTTCCCCCCCTTTCCGCCTCTCCACTTTCCCCCCTTTCCGCTCCCCCCTTGCTCCGCATCCCCCCACCCCAGACTGAAGGACGAGTGGGGCCTGGCGCTGACGAACGTGCTCACCCTCTCGCTGTGCAACGCGGCGGTGGTGTGGTCGCTGTCCCCCACGCGCTCTTACGGCTCCACAGCAACCTCAGAATGGCAGATGGCGCTGCAGAAGCTGCCCAACCACATGTTCGACAAGAGCTACCCCCTGCGCGAGTTCAACCTGCCTGCCCGCGCCGGCAGCTTCTTCTATAATGCGGCAAAGCTCAGCCTCGTGGGATCGACGGTCGGTGCCCTGGGAGGGCTCGCCTCCAACGCCATTCTCTCAGCCGTTTCCAAGGGGTAAGCCCCTATGATGAGGCGTCTTGTAAAAGGTCTATTATGGGCGCATTGGAGAGGACGAAAGGGGGTGTGTGGGGGGGGGGGGGGGGGGTCGTCGTTTCGAAGGGACGAGCCTGGCTCCTCCTTGGCTTCAATTTTGGTCGTGTTTCCAAACCCCAGATCTTGGCGACTGCTCCTGCTGTTGCGTTTGTTCCATGATTTTGTCAACCGCCCTGCCTCTCCTCCTGCCAGCCACCCCCCACCCCCCACTCCCCAAGCCACTTTTCACCCACCTTCACGTCACACTCTTTCATGCACATACCCACCCACACAGCCTCCGAGCTCTTTTTCCCATTTCCCCCGTTCCATCTCTCTTACTCCCTCTGCACCTCCTCCCCCTGTGCAGCAAGGATAGCTATCGGCCATCAGTGCCGGTGCCATCAGCCAGCACGAGTGCAGCGGCATACGGGGCGCACACAGGGCTGTCAGGCAACCTGCGCTACCAGCTGAGCCGCCCACCCACTCTCTCACAACATCCACTCTCTCACAACACCCACTCTCACCCCACCCACTTCCAACCCTCTCACCCCTCTGCAACCCCCCGTGCAGCAAGGAAGGCTATCGGCCGTCAGTGCCTGTCCCATCTGCGAGCACGAGTGCAGCGGCGTACGGGGCGCACACAGGGTTGTCAGGCAACCTGCGCTACCAGCTGCTGTACGGGCTCGACCGCGTGTTGCAGCAGCACTTCAACCACATCCCCGTTGCTGTCCTCGGCACCACCGCTCTCAGGTGAGCCTTGCAGGACGCAATCAGGGCTCTTAGGGGGTGCGCTTGGGGTTGTTAGGGGGCTGCTTTTGGGGGTATTGGCTGCGCTCAGGGCAAGGTTGAGGGGTTGACGTAGACACAGGGTTGTCAGGCAACCTGCGCTACCAGCTGCTGTATGGACCGGACCGCGTGTTGCAGCAGCACTTCAACCACATCCCCGTCGCCGTCCTCGGCACCACCGCACTCAGGTGGGTGGGCTGCGGGCGTCTCAGGTTGCAGGAGTTACACACAAAAATGGGGGGGTTACACACAAAAATGGGAGGGGTTACACACAAAAATGGGGGGGGTTACACACAAAAATGGGGGGGGTTACACACTCACGTGGTGCTCGGGCTACGCAACTTGCACTGCGGCAGCACTTTGAACCACATCCCCGTCGCCATGCTCAGCACCGCTGCACTCAAAGTGTGGGCTTAAGATGCATAGCACCACTTACAAGGGTGGGGAAGGAAGGCGGGGGGGGGGGATCACACACACATGGGTTGCTCAGGCTGTCTACAGGGCTGTTTGAAGGGGCTGTATCTCCAGGATGTGATGTTGCACTCAAGGCTTTTGAGTAACGAACTTGTGGGCAGTGGGAGGGAGGTAACCAGTGATGCGATTTTCTGCCGCAAGTGGGCCACATCAACATTGCCAGGCACCACCAAAAGGTTCTAGTATGTTGTGATATTAGTGAGTTGACTCAGAGGCTCCCTTCCCTTGTCATGCATGATGTTATCACGTGCAGGTGTGGCAACGTTCTATTGGGCGAGCCGTCTCGTCTGATGTGGCTGGGGATGGACGGCGAGGCGCAGCAACAGGCCAAGGCGGAGCAGCAGGCGTACCGCCGCCCCTCCCGCTCCTCCGGTGCCGGCGCCAAGACAAACTCGTTCCTGCAATCACTGCTCGGCAAGAAAACAGACCAAGCACAGCTTAAGAAAAAGAGTGCTGCTAGGAGAGTGACCAAGGCTGTGGCTGCAGGAGGGGCAGAGGCAGGGGTGGAAGCGGGTGCGGCGAGTGCAGAGGGGGCGGAGAAGGTGCAAGGGACGGGAGGTGCGGCTCGCACGGCAAAGCGCAAGGTGAAGCGGAAGGTGTCAGTTGCCCAGTAGGTCTTACTATACTGTTAAATGAGTAGCATTACTGTCTTGTCTGATTTTTCCATGTTATGGAAATTCATTATGGTTCTTGCCTCCCCAACTTTACTCCTAATGAACCGGAATTAGATGGATTGTGCTCCTATATTGCTTGGTGAATGTTTTTACGCAAAGTCGAAACAGCCGTTAGTGCATCGCTGTTACACGAAGCTCGCCTATTGCGTTTGCTCTTTTGTACCTCGCGGCACTGCCACCAAGCCTTGCGCTGACGTGTTCCGCGCCATTGCCACGCCACCCCACGGCGTCCAGCGCGGGCATGCCACCCGCTCGCCCCATCATCACGTGGTCTGCCATGCGAAAAATGTCTTCGCTGCTCGCTCGCCTCTTCGTTAGGGTCAGAAATTTCATCGTCACTCCTTTCGCCGCAGATACTCGCGTCGCACTGTCGCAGGAATCCAGCGCGCTTCTTCGCTTCCTTGGAGCGGCGCAGGATTCTCCTCTCGCTCTTCCCCTCCATTCCAATCCCTCCTGCTGCTGCGAGCAGCCGCGGAACTAGACTCGCTTGACTCCCACTCCTGCCTTGAAGTCGTTTCTTGGCCCTGCGAGATGTGTGAAACACAAGGTTCGGTGCGTCTAAGACGAGGTGTGCCATCCCGCGACCAGCAGAGTTCGAAAGGCGTTAGCTTGTCTGTTGTGCACGCGACAGGTCTAGTGAAAGTACGGTTAGTGATAGCCAGAGATACTGCAGCAGATTCGGAGACTGTTAGGAGATCACGCCATTCCGCAACGCACACCGATTGAGCGTGGGCGAGTGCGACGAGCGGGTAGTGCGACGAGCAAACAGCGAGGCGAGCGATAACTGCGACGAGCGGTTGACAAGAGGCCAAAATGGCAGCAGCCGCTTCAGTCTGCTTCAGTAACAGCAGCGGCGGCGGCGGCGGTGGTGGCGGCGGCGAACACAAGGTGAAGGACACGTGGACCTCTCGCCGCAGCGCGTTCACGCTACCATTCTTGAGTGCGGTTCCCGACTCGCCCCTTGACCCCTCCTCCCTCATCTCCTCCCCCACCGTCACCTCCCCCTCGGCTTCTACCGCCGCCACCGCCGCCGCCGATGCCGCCGAGGTCATAGCGGAGAGCCTTTCATCCGCGTCTTTCATTCGTCGGCGCGCGCATCACGAGGCTTGCGCGCATGGGGAGGGGAAAGATTATGGTGACTATAATGCGCGGGAGAAAGCTGGTAGTGGCGGTGGTGACTTTAATGCGCGGGAGAAGCATCTTGACGCGTACACAGCGGACGACGACGAGGCGACTGTGCGACGTCGCCTGGCGGCGGAGGGGCTGGAGATGCGCGACCTGGTGCCACGTGGACGAATGGGCGCGTGGCACGTGGCCATCGTGTTCGTCTATCACATGCTGCCGTACACGCCCCTCCCCTGCACGCTCGCCACGCTTGCCTGCTTCTACGGGTACAGGTGAGTCAACGGGGGTCAACGAGGTCAACCCTGGTCAATCTGACATGAAGAAGAAGCGGTGTCAACAGTTCAATCTTGTTATGTGAAGTCAATACGGTCAACTTTGGTTAAGCTTTCCACTTTTGACTATTCAGAACTGGCAGAACCCGCTAACTCTGGTCAAAGCAGAAATTATGGTCAAATAGTCAACTTTAATCAAACAAGTAAATTTCAGCCAGCTCAGCAAGGGCTGACTCGGCACCTTCAATCTGTGTCTCGTTCATCTAAGTGGCTGCTCATTTGTGGGATGTCATCTGCTGCGTCCGCATATAGAAGTGGCGTTTCGTCTCTGTCTGACGTGGCAGGGCGTACGGTTGGCAGGGTGCAGTGGCGGTGGTGCTGCTGCTGCTCTTCCTCCGCCTCATCCCCCTCTACTACAACTCCGCCTGGCGCAAGAAACTCACTGTAATCTGCTCCTCTCTCTAAGCTGCTCCTCACTGTAAGCTGCTCCTCACTGTAAGCTGCTCCTCACTGTAAGCTGCTTCGATATCCTGCACTGCTCTAATTTCACGAGTCAAACATCTCTGTGTGACCTCCGCCTCATCCCCCTCTGTTACAACTCCGCCTGGCGCAAGAAACTCACTGTAAGCACCTTCCCACTCTATGTTTGCCATAGCACCGGCTTAAAGCACAAGTCAAGCATACCTGTGATGAATTCAAGGGCCTCAATCCCTTCCTCCCCCTGCATTCCTTCCCTTCTCCCTCCTTCTCTCCTTCTCAACCCCCCTCCTCTCCCCGTATGTGTTTCCTGCTTCCCCGCTTCCTCTTCCCGCACCCCATCTCCCCCCCGCAGTTCCTATACGAGGCAATGGCGCACTACATGACACGCGTGCGCGTCATCATGCCAGCTCAGCAGGTGCCACGTGGCGGGTACCTGTTCACAGCGCACCCGCACGGGCGCATGTTCTACAGCAGCAGCATGCTCACGCAGACCGCGCACCTGTGGAAGGACTTCTTCTGTCCCCACGGTGAGTTGTGGTTGCTCCCACCTGCCACTCCAGGTAGGTGCGCCATGTGTGGCCTAGTGTGGCATTGGTAGGCTGGGCACACGGGTAGGCGGGGCGCATGTTCTACAGCAGCAGCATGCTCACGCAGACCGCGCACCTGTGGAAGGACACCTTTTGCACCGATGGTGGGTTCTAGGCTGGGCACATGATGTGATTGTACATTGGCATTACAGAAGCACCCGTGCCCTCACAGTACCTGTTTGCGGGGTACCTTGGCTGACTTATGGTTACTGCAAGAAAATAAACAAAATAGAAAGAGAATAAGAAAAAAATAATCACATTCATGAAGAATCAGTTCTCCAGGTAAGGCATTTGTGGGCTTACAGGATGGGGGGGTCCGCACCTCCCTCATTGCTCTCCCCCGAACACACTCCCTCACATCCTTTCCAGGCGAGCTGTTCGGGGCGGCCAACAGCACCTTCTTTGAGGTGCCGGTGATTCGCTCCATGCTGTACCTCGCTTCCTCGCTCCACCCCATCCCTCTCATTCTCACCTTCCTCGCCTCCCTCATCCCCTCATCTCTCATCCCCCGCCAGGAGAGCTTTTTGGAGCAGCCAACAGCACCTTCTTTGAGGTGCCAGTGATTCGCTCCATGCTCTATCTGGCTGGGGCCATCCCTGCCAGCCGCAGCAGCATCATTGCCAAGCTCCGGCACGGCGACCATGTGAGTGTAGTTACCCTGCGGTGTGACCCCCGGTGGGTGTAGTAACCCAGTTTTCAAGTGCTGATGTGTGGTAACCAGGTACAACTGAACATGGTGGCAGAAACACAGTGATGGTCCTCAAAATTTCCCTTCTCTCCCTCTAACCGCTGCACTTCCTCTGCCTCTCCGCTCTCTCTCCTCCTCCTCACCTCCCACTATCCTCCATCCCACGGCCCTGCATTGCATGAGTGGGTGGCAGGTGGGCATAGTGGTGGGTGGCATCAGGGAGGTGTGTCTGGGAACCAACCCTCACACGGACGTGCTCTATCTCATGAGGAGGTGAGAGCCACGCCTTGACTCGCGTTGACTCGCATTGACTCGCGTTGACTCGTGTTGACTTGCATTGACTTGCGTTGGCTTCGTCACTGTGGCGCGCAGTGCACAATGTTAGCAGTGATTCGTGATGGGCATTGCCTGAATTTGTACTTAATCATGTTATGACTTGTGCATTGCTGGCATGGCATGGCATGGCATGGCGTGTGGACATCAGGCGTGGGTTTGCGCGCATAGCAGTGGAGGAGAAGGTGGGGGTCATTCCCATGTACTGCTTCAATGAGACGCAGGTCAGTGCTTCTCCTCGCACCACTCTGTCATGCAACTCCCCGCCCCACTCTGTCATGCATGACCATGCCTTCTGAAACAAGAGCATGTCATCTCGCATAGCAGTGGAGGAGAAGGTGGGGGTGATTCCAGTGAACTGCTTCAATGAAACCCAGGTCAGTGCAATGCAACTCCCCGCCCCATGGTCAAGCGTGAGCGTTCTGTTTACAGCAGCAACATGCACTAGACTAAATACCTCCATTGGACTTAATGCTGGACAGGGTTTCTTATTCCTTGCGAGTAACCGTTTTTCCTTTCCTTATTTGCCTTAAAATTCCTTTCTGCAGTTGTTCAAGCACGATCCACTCTGGCTGCTGCAGTTCTGGGCGGTGGTGAATCGCTACTGGCGCATCGGTGTCCCGTTCATGAGGGGGGTATGGCACATGCCAATGCCCTTCCGCAGGTATGGCATTGGTTTGACTAGCTGACGCATTAGTATGAATATTGAAGCTTTGCAAATAAGTTATTAAGTTTTATTGTCTGACCATGTTTGTTTGCTGACGTGCAGGGACCTGCTGATTGTGATTGGGAAGCCTATGTTCCCACGAGATGGAGAGACGGTTGATGAATTCCACGCTAGATATGTGGATGCAATATCGATCATCTTCCATAGGTTTGTGGGGATCTCTTCTCGGCCGAAACACAAGGTGTTGATCCGCTAGAAAGAAGCTGGATGACGAAGTTCATGGAAGGCCGATACAAGGAAGGTTAGGTTTCTGCTGGGTGTATCCATGGTACAAATGTATAAAGCAGTGTAAATATCCTTTAGGTTTCCTGAGCTTTGAAATAGAGTGGGATTCATCGCAGCTGCTAACGGGGATCGCCATATCCTCGCGTGCGTCTCTTGCCCGTTGCGAGATGACTTGATTCGCGTGCACCCCATCTTCTCCCTTCTCTTCCTGCTCCTCCCGTGAGCGCATCATCTAGGGATCTGCTGGTAAAGTCGTTTCTAGGGTTTCACCACCCCAGCAGCTAGGATTCCCGGACCGCACATCTCGTAACACTGTGTCTGTACCGAATAACGGACAGATCAATAACGATACAGTCTCTTGGTGATCAAATCGCGGGTTGATTAGACGCCATGGCGCCCGTGCGCGAGGCCCATTTCCCCGTGCCAGTGCTCTCCGATAACCCCGACGGCTGGGGACCCACCACTCTCCCCGAGCAGTTTAAAGACGTCCCGTACGCGCCGTTCAATAAGGGCGACCGCGTCGGCCGCGCGGCGGACTGGACCTCCCAAGGATACCGTACGTCTCGTGCCGCGTGCCGCATGCCGCATGCTGTGTCTCCCTCTGTTTCGTACATCCAAACACTGGTTCTCATTCCTGTAGGTTTATCTGATCCGATAGCGTTACGTGGAATTAGTGGACCTCAAACTGTAACGGTCAGATTTCTTGCGACTTTCGCGCGTTGCCAGTGGCCAGCCAGGGTTTAGCGAGTTTTTTTCATTCCGCCGTTTCTGGTGCAGTCATCGCCACTCGAGGTCCCATCTGCAATTCTTTTAGCGTATATCGGGCGTGCGTTTTCCGAGTCCTCATATCGTCCGCCTCTCTCGCTCTTCTCACTCTTCGCGAATCCGTCGCTTTATTTCGCCGATTTCGCAGGCCGCTACGATCGCGATCGCCAGGGCGGGGCGGGCGGGGTGAATGCCGCCTTCTCCTTCTTCCAGGACCAGGATGAGGTGGGTGGCATCCGTTGTCGTGTCTCTCCCGCGCCGTTCATCCCGTCGAAGTCGTCCGTCCGTCCCGTCGAAACCGTCCGTTCATCCCGTTTCAAAGTCGTTTCTTTCAGACTTTTCATTATTGATACAAATATAGACGTCATTCATCATCATCCACGTCACCCCGGTCATCCACGTCATGCGTGCAGGACTCGTTTCAACTCGTGGACACCAAGCCCGTGCAGAAGCCTCGCTACGGCCCCCGCCGCTTCTTCCAGGTTCGCCCGCCGCCCTCCCTCTTCCTTTCCTCTCAATATCTACTTCGTTTCCCTGCTCCCTTCCCTTGCCTTTTCGCCACCTTTTCGCCGCAATATCCCTCTTTTATCCCGCCCCACCTTCCCACCCCGTCCCCCCCTTGTTTTTCAAACTATTCTGTCCCACTCGCATCGTTTGCTTAACATGATTTCCGTCTCAATTGATCCTCGCTTCGCCTCGCGTTGCCTCTTCATTTTCCTTCATTCTCTGTTCCTCTGCGCTCCGCACCAACCCCCACCCCCCTTCCCTCCCTTTCCCCCCCTCCCTCCCCCCTCCCCGCCCCCTTTCCTCCCTCCCCGCTCTTCCCACCCCCACCCCTCCTTCCTTCCCTCCCCCCTCGCTCTTCCCTTCTTCCGCGTTCCGCCGTTCTGCCAGAATCGGTTCCAGAACCGGCGCGGGGAGGAGGGGAAGCGCGACGGGCGCGACAGCGGCGCGGGCGCGGACAGGGAGCGGCAGCGGCAGCAGCGCATGCAGCAGCAGAAGCGCGGGCAGTGGAACCCGTACTACGACCGCAACGCGCAGCGCGCGACGTACAACAGCTCCGTCGATATCCGCCCCGAATGGGTCGTGCTCGACCAGATCCCGCTCTCCGCGCTCTCCAAGTTATCTTTCAACGCGGGGGAACCTCAGGACGTGTGAGTATGAGACTGGGCGAGGGGAGGCGGAGAGAGGGAAGGGGGGAGGGAAGGAAGGAGGGAGGGACGGAAGGAGGGAGGGTGAGAGGGAGGGAGGGAGGGAGGGAGGGAGGGAGGGAGGGAGGGAGGGAGGTAGGAAGGGAGGGGGAGGGAGGGAGGGAGGTAGGTAGGGAGGGAGGGGGAGGGAGGGAGGGAAGGGGAGAGAGAATGTGAGAATGAGGTAGTTAATTTTGTTTTCGGCCTACCATTGCAGTTCTTGTACCCTACTTTCATTCACTTCCCGCTCCCCTCCCCTTTCTCCGTTGCATCCCTTCCTCCCCATCCCTCGCCTCCCTGTTCGTTTTTGTCTTCTCCAATCCACGGCCTCTCCTATTGTTTTTTGTTTTCTCCAATCCCTCGCCTCTCCTAAACTTTTTTGTTTTCTCCCATCCCTCGCCTCCCCTAATATCTTTTTGTTTCCTCCCATTTCTCGCCTCCCCTACTCCCCCTGCTTGTGGGTCATTGATTGCCCCTTCCCCCCACATGCCCCGCGCTACGCGCCACGTCCCTACCGCCCCGTGCGCCCTCTGTGCAGTACCACGTGCGGTGCGTTGGAGTATTACGACAAGACGTTTGACCGAGTCAACCCCAAGGTAAGGCCCGTTGACCGAGGCAACCCCTGGGTCATTACCTGGGTTTCCCTCCCCCCCTTCCCCCTTCCTCCTTCCCGCCACCCCATGTCACCAACTCCCACCCTCTTTCCCCCCCATCTTCCCGCTCCACCCCTCCCTCTCTCTCCCCTCCCCCTCCCCGCTTCACTCATCGCAGTCAGATCGTCCACTAGAGCGGTGTGAAACGCGCCAGTTCCACAAGGTCACCACGAGTGACGACCCCGTGCTGAAGCGACTGGCGGCGGAGGGCGGGGACGCGCCAGCGGTGTTTGCCACGGACGCCATCCTGTCCACGCTCATGTGCGCGCCGCGCTCCGTGTACTCGTGGGACGTGGTGGTGCACAAGAGCGGCGGGAAACTGTTCTTTGACCAGCGAGACTCGTCGTTTGACTTGCTGACGGTGAGTATCTGTTGGGAGCGGCATGCTTGGCGGTGCTCTCTGCGCTCCGTGTGCTCTTGTGCACCACCACGTCCCACGAGTAGCGCACCGCCACAAGAGCGGCGGCAAGCTGTTCTTCGACCAGCGGGATTCTTCCTTTGATCTGCTCACGGTGAGTGGTTTCTCATATGTTATGTAGTGTGGCCTGTGGCCTAGGGCCATGGCTGCATGCTCCGCACTCCCCACCCCCGTTAAGCAGAAAAAACATGCACACCGCCACTTTTGTGTCCAGTGTAATGTGCACGGAGAGCAGCAGCATCTCTACCCACAAAGCCCCTTCGTCGTCCTCATTTGCTCCTCAGGTGAACGAGACGGCGGCAGGCGTCAAGCCAGCGCCACAAGACAGCATCAACGGGATCATCCCAAGCCATGCAAGCCTCCCTGCTCATTGCCTCCGTGCCTCCCTTTCCTTCCCCCCTCCCTGCTCGTTACCTTAGGTGAACGAGACGGCGACGGGCATAGAGCCAGCGCCAGAGGACAGCATCAACGGCATCGCGTCGCTCAGCCAGGAGGCCACGTTCATCAACCAGAACTTCTCCCAGCAGATCGTCAACAAGGTGAGGTCAACGCACGCACTGGCACAAGGTGGAAGCACTGGGCTCATTGGGAGGTCACTGGGTGCTGTGAAGCAAGCGTGGTTGCGGGCACATAGTGCGCTAAAGCCAGGAGGCCACGTTCATCAACCAGAACTTCTCGCAGCAGATCGTCAACAAGGTGGGTGCGGTGGGGTTGCCAAGACCTGGTCAAGGAAGTTACCTCCTTTATTTCGTGTGAGCCAGATCTGTCAATTAGGGTTTGCAAAACGGATTGTCACACTTGTGTGCCCGTCTTCCCTGCTGCCCCATCTCTCCCGCGTGTCTGTGTCTGTGTGTGCTTGTGCATGTCTGTGCATGTGCGTGCGTGTGCGTGTGCTTGTGTCTGTCTGTGTGCGTGCATGCTTACAGGGAGCCAAGCGGCAGTTCGCGGAGGCGAATCCGTTTGCAGCGGAGGGCGAGGAGGTCGCATCAGTGGCGTACCGCTACCGCAAGTGGATGCTGGACGGGGTGAGTGCACGGGCGCTGGGGGTGAGGGGGGGGGGGGGGGGAAGTTAGGCGTTGAGACACTTGGGCACGGGGAGGCGAGGTGAGGCGCATGAGATGGAGGGCGAGGAGGTGGCGTCCGTGGCGTACCGTTACCACAAGTGGATGCTGGACGTGGTGAGTGGGGGTTGGGTTGAGAGGGGTGAGATGGGATGGGATGACACTGGAGCGGCGGGATGGGATGGGGGTTGAGGAGGTGGCGTCTGTGGCCTACCGCTACTGCAAGTGGATGCTGGATGGGGTGAGTGGATGGGGTGAGTGGATGGGGTGAGTGGGAGTTGGGATGGGTGAGTGGGGTCTGAGATGGGTGAGTGGGGTTTGAGATGGGTGAATGGGGGTTAGGAGCGGAGAGCTAAGATAGGGGGAGCGGCTAGACACTAGGGTGTGGGTTCTGAGCCATGAAGCGTGCAGCTGATTCATTTGCTGCTGTGCTTTGTACTGTGACGCCCCTCTGCCTCCCCTCAGGACATGCCATTGGTGGTGCGGTGTGAGTTAGACGCGGTGGTGGACATGAGGGGGCAGGAGATGCTCGCCACAGTGAATGAGGGGCAAACACCCTGCTCATGCCTGCCCTGTGCACGCTGCTCCCATGCCTCTCTGTCCCTTGGCCCCTTGCAGGACATGCCATTGGTGGTGCGGTGTGAGCTAGATGCAGTGGTGGACATGAGGGGACAGGAGATGCTCGCCACAGTGAATGCGCTCAACGAGTTTGACCCCAAGGTCACGGGCGTCGACTGGCGCGCCAAGATCGACAACCAGAGGGGCGCGGTGCTAGCAACGGAGCTGAAGAACAACAGCAACAAGCTCGCCAAGTGGACGGCGCAAGCGCTGCTCGCAGGGGCTGATCTGGTTCGCTGAGGGGGGCACTGCAGTGGAGGCGGGTTTGGCGCCAAGGGGGGGCAGTGCAGTGGGCGTTGAGCAGGGGAGGGTTTGAGCAAGGGAAGGGTGGCGTGGGGGGAATCGGGCATGGGTTGTGGGGGTTATAACGTGCAGGTGGGTGGGTTTATGGGTCCTTTGTCCCTCTCTCTACTCGCTATCACTGCCTTGGTGCTGTCCCTGCCCGCACTCCTCGCCTGCCGCCTTTACCAATGAAGCTGTGGGTGCATGTTGCTATGCTAGTGGCACTACATCCCATATTCTCCCACACCCTCCTCTCCCCTCCCGTCCCCCCCTTTCCCTTTCTCTCCATTGTGGGGTGCAGATGAAGCTGGGGTATGTGTCGCGAGTGTTCCCCAAGAACAACCTCAAGCACACCATCCTCGCAGTGCAGGTCAGTGCCGGTCAATGCTGGTCAGTGCTGGTCAACGTGGGTCAATGCTGGTCAGGGGGGGTCAGTGCTGGTCAACACGGTTGCGAAGGGAAGTTGGGCAAGCTGGCGATTCCATCCGTTGCGAGCATGCACTCCGTTTCCTCACTCTCGCTCCCACAGCCCTGCCCCTCCACTCGTCCACCCACCATCTTTCCCCTTCTCCGCTTCTGTCCCTCCCTTTTGAGACGTCTCAAAAGTCGTTTCCATCCGTTTCGAGCATGCACTCCGTTTCCTCACTCTCGCTCCCACAGCCCTGCCCCTCCACTCACATTCGTGGGAGGGAAATGTGTTGCAGCGCGTGTTTTTTGAGAATTCTCAAAAAACACCCACAGCCCTGCCCCTCCACTCGTCCACCCACCATCTCTCCCCTTCTCCGCTTCTGTCCCTCCCTCCCCTTCCCGCGCCTTTCTCCCTCCCGCCACTCCCCCCCCTCCCCTCTCTCCCCTCCCGCCCTGCCCCGCCCCGCCCCTCCCTCCCCGCTCCGCCCCTCCCGCCCTGCCCACCCCTCCCTCCGCTCCCCACCGCCCAGGCATACAAGCCCAGGGAGCTGGCGATGCAGATAACGCTCTCCTCCGCCAACATGTGGGGCATCGTCAAGGTGCGTTGTGTGCACACCAACAGGGGGGCCCATGGGGGGCATGGGGGGTATGGGGGCACGGGGGGACATGTGGGGCACGGCGAGGCATGGGGGGCATGTGGGGCATGGGGAGGCATGTGGGGCATGGGGGGTGTGGGCGACATGTTGGGCTTGGGGGGTGTGGGGGGATCGTGAAGGGATGTCAATGGCGTGAGTACGCTCCGCCAGCAATGCATTGTTGGTGCTCATGCCATGTCATGCATCCTGAAAAACGGAAGCAGGACATGAGGACATGAGGAGGCAGATCAGGATGCATGTCATGCATCCTGATCTGCCTCATGTCCTGCTTCCGTTTTCCAACGCCCTCCTCCCTCCCTCCTCCCATCCTCCCATTTTTCCCATCCTCCCATTCTCCCATCCTCCCATCCTTCCACCCTTACCAGCACATGGCACACACACACACGTGCAGCATGCCTGGCCTCTGTTTTGTCTCACCCAGCCCTTCCTGTTTCACCCATTTCTTGTTGTGTCAACCACGCTCCCCCTCCCCCCCACCTCCAATATAGCAAGTACCTAACTGTGACGAACCCCTTTCCTCCTCTCCTCACCCATCCCTCTCTGTGCCAAAAACCCTCCCAACCCCTTCTTCCTCCCTTTCCCCCCACCCCGCTCCTCCCTTCCTCTCCCCCTCCACCAACAGCACATAGTGGACATGTGTATGAAGCTCGAGGATGGCAAGTACCTCATTGTCTGCCTTGTCTCTCACACATCCCTCCCTGTTCGCTGTGTCTCACCCACTCTTCCCACCCCACCCCCACCCCCCACCAACCAACAGCACATAGTGGACATGTGTATGAAGCTCGAGGACGGCAAGTACCTGATTGTCAAGGATCCCAACAAGCCCTTCCTCAGGTAAGCCCTCCCGCAGGTAGATCTTTGTTCGTTTTCTACATATACCCTTCCCCGTGTGTCCCTCTGACGTGTTCAATCAGTACTCACCGCACCTCTGCTTCCTCACTCTCACTCCCCTCTCGCGTCACTCCCTTGCCCACCACTGCCTTACCCCCCATGCAGGCTGTACGAGGTGCCATCAGACGCCTTTGATAACGACTATGTGGAGGAGCCCCTTTCTTATTTCTTGATTCAATACTCCCCGCTCTTTGGCTTCCTCAATCCATATCTCTCTCCTCTCCTGCCGATCCTTTTCCCTCTACCTCTCCCTCCATGCAGGCTGTACGAGGTGCCATCAGATGCATTCGACAACGACTATGTGGAAGAGCCCCTTCCCGATGTCTTGATTAAACACACTCACTGCACTACTGCTTCCTCGCTCTCTCCCCTCTCCCGCCGCTCTGCTGCACACCCCCCCCCACCCCCCCTCCTCTTCCCCTGTGTGCAGGCTGTACGAGGTGCCATCAGATGCCTTTCACAACGACTACATGGAGGAGCGCCTTCCCGATGTGTTCACTGCATCTCCTTTCACACACTCTCTCCTCTCCCACCGCTTTGTTGCACCCCCCATTTTCCCGCTGTGTGCAGGCTGTACGAGGTGCCATCGACCCCTTTGACAACGACTACGTGGAGGAACCGCTCCCTGATGTCTTGATTAAACACACTCACTGCACTACTGCTTCCTCGCTCTCTCCCCTCTCCCGCCGCTCTGCTGCACACCACCCCCACCCCACCGCCTCCCCCCCCATGCAGGCTGTACGAGGTGCCATCAGACGCATTTGACAACGACTATGTGGAGGAGCCTCTTCCTGAGGTAAGTCCTTGCTGAAGTGAGCCCTTGATTGGTCGACACAGCCGTGAGCAGAGGAAGCATGGTGGGAGGCAGTCCGGGGCTACTTCGCTGCTGTGGATGCAGCAGGCACTGTGTCCTCCTTGCCTCAGCTTTCGAGTTTCCCTGTCGCGTGCAACCCATTGCTGTGGCTCCTTTGCCTTCTTCCCACTCTCTGCACCATACTGATCCGTCCTGCCTCTTGCCCTTAGTGCGTGTTATGTGTGAGTCTCATGTTGCCGCGCTCCCATCCCCACTGGATGCCCTCGTGATGTGGTGCACAGGAGGACCAGGCCCCGCCTCCCACTGAGGCAGCTGATGGCGATGCAGAGGCATCAGCAGCAGCTGGTGATTCCAATGCTGCTGCATGATTTTTGGGATCTCAAAAAGAAACAGCAGCAGCAAGTGATGCCAATGCTAGCAAGTAGTCTGAATGCTGCTGGATAAAACCCATCCGGGTCCGGCGCGTGGTAGTGTTTGATACGTGCTTTTAGCGCTGGTTGAGTGGTCAGGTCATGCAATTTTGTCAGGGTTATCTTGCTTGTGTGATTCCTTGCAGTGCAATTGGTAGTGCTGCATTGCTGCGTGTAGCGTTGTCTTTGTATGGAAGCAGGTAGCTGCACAACACATCCATGCCGGGTGAAAACCCACATGCAGGTGACTGTAGTAACACCATAACAAGAATTACAAAAGAGAACCCTGCAGCAGCCTCTCAACCAAAAGCCTATGCGAGTGTCAAAACAGTTCCTGTCAAAGTACCTTCCAGGCCAATAGGTATGAGACCACTGGTATGCTTCCCTCTTCCCTTCCAACTATCTCATGTCCTTGCACCCGTTCCCCTGAGTGCTGCTTCACCTACCACTACATCAAGCTCTCCCCATGGATTGGAACCACCGCTGCACATACCGCTGCACGTGCGGCAGCACAGTGGTCTCCTCCCCTCCCCCTTCTCTCCAATCCTCCCCCTCCCCCTTCTCCCACCACATCAAGCCCGCCCCATACTCTGGAACCATCGCTGCACATACCCAATGGGAGTCAGCAGCACCGGCACATACCGCTGCACGTGCGGCAGCACCGTCTGCTCCAGATGCCCCCAAATCTGCCAGTGATACCACGCCGAGCCTCCTCCTCCCCTCCCCCGTCCCTCCACTCCTCCTCCCCCGTCTCCCACCGCATCAAGCCCTCCCCATAGACTGAAACCACCGCTGCACATACCCAATGGGGCTCAGCAGCACCGGCACATACCGCTGCACATGCGGCAGCACCGTTGCCTCCAGATGCCCCCAGATCTGCCGGTGATACCACGCCGATGCCGGCGCGTGAAACCGCATCTTGAGCAGCTGCCAGTACAGAAACACCTGGAAGAAACTGCGCTGCGGAGTGAGAAGGTAGAAGGCCAGTAACGGCCCTAGCATGACTTCTGTGTTGGCTGTGAATAGCTCTACTTGTTGCCGGTTTGCTGCTACCCACTCGCAGGGTTTTGCGAGGTAAGATCGGTAGAGGCTAGCTTGGCTGAAGTTCTGTTGGAGGTGCGTGGTGAGCGGGAGGAGGGAGCGCGCGGCGAGGGGCAGGAGGGCGAGCGCGATGGGGTGCGGGGACGGGAGGAAGACGGAGCAGTGCATGAGTGTGAGGAGGTGGGGTCCGGTTAGGAGGGTTTGCAGCCAGGATTTGAGCGCGGGGAGTGAGAGCGCGGCGGGGCGTCCGTGGCGCTGCAGGATGGAGAGGGCGGACGCGACGAGCCCGCCGAAGAGCGCGAGGCGGAAGGCGCGCACGAGCAGCGCGCGCGGGCACAGGGGGAAGAGCGCGACCAGCGCCATCGTTACCACCCACGCGTGCGCCACGAAGGTGTATGTCTGCAAACCCATGCGCGCGTTACCGCCAGTGTTACCGCCGGTGGTACCGCCGGTTCTGCTGCTGCTACCAGTTCCCCCCGTGCTGCCGCTGCTTCCAGTGCCTGCTGCCGAGGCTCGGCCCGCGGCTGAGGTTCGGGGCGCAGTGGAGGCGGAAGAGGGTGCGGCATAGGCGGACGAGGCGGGGGGAGTGGCGGAGGCGGGGGAAGCGGCGGGCTGCAGCGGATCGACTTGGAAGTCGGGATCCACGCACTGGCGGAAGAACTTTTGTCTGTAGCGGCGGAGGACGGCGGGGTCGTTGGCCCTATCTGGCGGAATGGTGAGATTGTTGAAATAGTCCCGCCACGCCGCGCTTCCCGCGAAGTCGAACGCCGCGAACGACGCCTGCTGCTCTGCCGTGTTGCCCATCGCAATTGCGGCCGCGCTCGCGACGCGGTGGGTGTGCTGGCGACGCGGTGGGTGTGCTGGCGACGCGGTGGGTGTGCGGATGCGGTGGAGAGGAAGAGCCGCGGGGGGCGGGTGATGGAGTGATGGCTTGATGCTGCGACGAGGCGACAGGAGGAAGGGAGAGACGAGATGGGACGAGGAGGACAAGAGGAGAGAATGAGCACGGTAAAGGCACTAAGACGATAAATTACGGTAGTCGAACCTGTGATTCAGCGGATTCTTTCGAAAAGTATGATCTTGTTGCAGGTCATGTCTGCCACTTTGTACGGTCAACGAACCTCACCGAATGCGCGCCGCGAGGACCAAGCCGTTTTCCGTTTGAAGAGGCTCCGTCGTCACCGTCGTCGATAGAGACTACAAGCTAATTCTCTCATCGGGGGAATAACTCTCAGATCCGTCGAATCTACTAGAAAAACCTTCGGTGCGCGGAATCACGAGTTCTCTGATCATTTACCTTTGTGGCCAACATACCCGATTGTGTCGCTGGGTGTAGCGATTCTCATCTGTGTAATGATAATATTATGCATGCCAGGAACTAGGTAGGTGTATTTCAAAACATGCATTGGGATGGAAAACAAATCACCGTTAGGCACTGAAACTTTTTTTGCTACCAGATTCTTTAGCACAAACCAAGGCGGAGTGAGAACTATCATGGTAAATTGCAAACATCAATAGTTGACTGCTAGATGCCTCCCGCTGAACAGTGATGCAAGACTAGAACACATTACCCCGTACAGTACATGTTAAAACAAGGGCGACACAAGAGAAAGGGGAAGCAGGGGACGAGGGGGAGGGGAAGGGGTCTAGCACGACAAACTGGCAGTCCCCATGGCCTGGCCTTGGACGGCTCTCTGGGGAGCATTAACCACTTCCACCAGAACTAGCACCAGTAACGTCACACAAGGCCGTAAGTGTCAAATGTTGTAGCCTATAGTGAGGTTTGTCTTAGGGGGTACAAAACTTAGGGTTAGCTATATGTACCCCAACCAACATCAATGCATCATTCATTCCTCATTTTGACATGGTATCAGTTAGGTTAGGATCCTGTGGGATCCCGTTTCTCCGTTCTCCGATCGTACCACCCGAGCCTGATCCTAGCTCTCGTTTCGCCCGTCTTGCCCGAGCCTAGTGTCAGAGGTCCACTGGAGATCCCCGATGATCCTAGGGAAGGGTTACAGGCACGTCGGCCTGGGGGGTTATGGGCGCACTCACCCGCTATATAAACAAGCCCTTTTATCCCAGTGGTTAGTGGCTGGGATTCTGACATGGTATCAGAGCGAAGGTCTCGGGTTCGATTCCCGGTGTGTGCACTTCGGGCATCCCAGTGCGGGGGGGTGTCAGAGGTCCACTGGAGATCCCCGATGATCCTAGGGAAGGGTTACAGGCACGTCGGCCTGGGGGGTTATGGGCGCACTCACCCGCTATATAAACAAGCCATTTTATCCCAGTGGTTAGTGGTTGGGATTCTGACACCTAGTGCCGGCCCGATCTAGTCCCGTTCGTTCGTTACCGCTCGTTCTTCCTCCCGATCTAGCGTAGCCCGATCTAGCGTACCGCTGCCGGTCGCGCTGCGCTTTCCCCCCCGCTGCCGTCGAACCGCGCTTCCCCCCCCCCCCCCCCCGCTGCCCGTCGACCCGCGCTTCCCCCCGCTGCCCGTCGACCCGCGCTTCCCCCCGCTGCCCGTCGACCCGCGCTTCCCCCCGCTGCCCGTCGACCCGCGCTTCCCCCCGCTGCCCGTCGACCCGCGCTTCCCCCCGCTGCCCGTCGACCCGCGCTTCCCCCCGCTGCCCGTCGACCCGCGCTTCCCCCCGCTGCCCGTCGACCCGCGCTTCCCCCCACTGCCCATCGACCCGCGCTTCCCCCCGTTGCCCGTCGACCCGCGCTTCCCCTGCCGCCCGTCGACCCGCGCTTCCCCCCGCTGCCCGTCGACCCGCGCTTCCCCCCGCTGCCTGTCGACCCGCGTTTCCCCCTGCTGCCCGTCGATCCGTCGCCCTGGCCCGCGCCCCAGCCCGTCTCCCCAGCTCGCGCCCTAGCCCGTCGCCCTGGCTCGCGCCCTAGCCCGTCGCCCAGGCCCGGCGCCTTTGCCCTACCCGCGCGCCCGCCACACCTGACCTACCCGCCCGCTCTTGCCCGCTCTTCCTGCCCGTTCTCCCTTGCCGCTGCGCCCTGCTTTCCCTGCCAATTCCGTTTGCACACTATGGCGACCCCTCGCGTCCTTCGTTTCGATGCTGACGGTCGCCCGCTCGATTTCCCAGTCTGGCTTCTTCGCGCTCGCCGCCTGTTAGAGAGTCAGGTCCAGGCAGGCGAGACCCTCTGGGCGCACGCTACTGGTGCCCTACCTGCGCCCCCCGACCCTACGCCTTTAGGACCTGCCCCTGACGACGCCGCTAGAGCCCGCTTTGCCACTCAGCGAGCTGACCAGACGGCTTGGACGTCACGTGACGCTGCGGCCTGCATCGCGCTCAGCAGCCTCCTCCCTGAGTCTGAGGAGGTTCACTTCACTCAGGTTCGCACCGCTGCTGCGTACCTCACTGCGATTAAGGCCCGCTACTCTACTCCCGCTGCTGTCTCTCTTGGCCGCCTGTTCCTCCCATTCCTGTTTCCTGACCTAGCGTCTTTTGAGCGCTCTGCTGACTTGATCGCTCACCTCCGCTCGCTCGACGCTAGTTACCGCGCTGCTTGCACTGAGGCACAGCTTGCACTGCTTCCTCCCCCTATGGCGATTACTATCTATTTCATCGCCACTAGCCTCCCTGACCGCCTTGCCTCCGTTCGCGACGCGCTTCTGCTGAAGCACCCTAGTGAGCTCACCGTCGAGGTCCTTGAGTCTGCACTCAAGGACGTCGAGAGCAACCTTCGCTCTGTAGCCGCTGCCTCTGGTGCTGTGCCCCCCCCACTCTTCCACGGGTGCACAGTCCCGCAGTTACCCACCTTTACTGCCTCACTTGCCACTGCCGCTACTGACGCGACTGCAGCTGCTGTTACGACTGCGTCGCGGTCCCGCGGTAGGAGTGGCAAGAAAGGCGGTTCTGGTGGTGGTAGTGGAGGTGGAGGCGGAGGTAGTGGAGGTGGCGTTGCGCCTGGCGGCGGTGGAGGTTCAGGGCCTGGAGAGGCGCCTCGTGCAGTGACTGGTGACTCCACTGCGCCTGCTGGTGGTGGCGACGCCCGAGTTCGTCAGTCGCCTCCTGTACTTCCTGCCCCGGTTGGTGGAGCAGCGGCGTGGTACCAGGCTCAGCGTCAGCAGCAGCTTCTGCAGCACCAGCAGCCCCTCTCCTCCCAGCAGCCTCAGCAGCAGCAGCGGCAGCAGCTGGCTCCAGGGTCGGGGCTGCGTCAGACCCAGCGCGGTGCTGCTTACACTCCCTGCACCTACCAGGTTCTGACAGGCCCTCGTCGTGGCCACCCTTGTGGCCGGTTTCACCCCCCTGGTCAGTGCTTTGCTCAGCTCACTGACACGGTTCGTTTGGTCTACGGGGTTGGTGCTCCTGCCCCTGACTGGCTGCCTCTTGTTCAGCGCTACGGCTCCGCTCTGTGGGGCATGTCTGCTGAGCAGTTAGTTGATCTCATTGGTACTCCCCATGCTATGTATGCTGTTGTTGACTCTAGTGTTTCTGACTCTGCTTACTCTGGTGTTGTTAGCTTAGGTGCTAGCCTTGCTCAGTTGCCTGTTGCTAGTGTAGGTTCTTGTGTAGACTCTAGTCCAGCGGCTACCTCAGAGGACGGTTCGCTGTCGTTCACGCTGGACTCTGGAGCTTCTCACTGCTTCTTTCGTGACAGCACGACACTTACGCCTCTTCCTGCGCCTGTTTCTGTGGCGCTGGCTGATCCCACTTCGGGACCAGTCACCGCGCGTCACACTACCACCTTGCCGTGTCCGGCTGCTCCTTCTGGGTCTCTCACTGGGTTTCACGTCCCCTCGTTCTCCCGGAACTTGGTGGGCGTGCGACCCCTCGTGAGTCAGCACGTGGGTGTGTGGTTTGAGCCTTCTGGAGAGACTGCGGTGTGTGTTGACGGGGACTCTTACCAGCCCCTCGCCACTTTTGCTGCTGAGCCGGGCTCCGGTCTCTACACTCTTCACACTCGCCCGCGCGCTCAGCAGCGACTGCAGCAGCAGCAGCAGCCGCAGCAGCAGCAGCAGCAGCAGCCGCAGCAGCAGCAGCGGCAGCAGCCGCAGCCGCAGCCACAGCCGCCCCTCCTGCCCCCGGCCCCTGTTTTGCCTCCCGTTCGAGTCCTCGCGTCTCACCAGGTTGCTCCGTCCCCCCAGGTAGCTGTGTCTTGTCAGGTTCCTCCGTCTAGTCCGGTCGCTGCGTCGTGCTCCTGTCGGTCGCTTGCCCACCCCACCGTTTTGTGGCACCACCGGCTGGGGCACCCTTCTCCTCCTCGTCTTCGCGCTATGTCTCGTCAGCGTCTTGTCTTAGGTCTCCCGCGTGTCTTGCCGTCGCTGCCGCCGTCCCTTGCACCACCGTGCGGTCCTTGCGTCGAGGGTAGGCTGCGCGCCACCCCTCACTCCTCCTCCCTTCGTCCGGCCACCGAGCCTTTTGAGACGCTGCACTTGGACGTCTGGGGCTCCTCTTCTCGCCCTGGCCCTGAGCGTGAGCGTTTCTTTTTGGTGGTCGTTGACGACTACTCCCGCTACACCACAGTGTTCCCCCTGGCGAGGAAGTCTGAGGTGACTTCTACGCTGATCAGGTGGTTGCTTACCACCCAGGACACTCGTGGTCGTCGTGTCAGCTGTCTCCACTCCGACCGCGGGGGCGAGTTTCGCTCCGGCATTCTCGCTGGATTCTGTCGCGAACAGGGCATTCGTCAGTCCTGGACGCTTCCGGAGTCCCCACAGCAGAATGGGGTTGCTGAGCGTCGCATAGGCCTGGTCATGGAGATTGCCCGCACCTCCTTGACTCACGCCCGTGCCCCCCATTTCCTGTGGCCATACGCGGTCAGGTACGCCGCGCACCAGCTGAACCTCTGGCCACGCGTCTCTCGGCCGGAGGCTTCACCGACCAGTCTTTGGACAGGGTCCCCTGGTGTCGCGTCGAGGTTTCGTGTCTGGGGGTGCTTGGCTCTTGTCCGCGACACCTCCGCGGACAAGCTCTCGCCTCGCGCCGTTCCTTGTGTCTTCCTTGGTTTCCCTGAGGACTCCTCTGACTTCACCTTTTACCACCCTCCCTCTCACCGGTTCTTTGACTCCCGTGACGTCCGTTTTGAGGAGTCCACCCCCTACTACGTCAGGTACCCCAGTCGAGGTCTCCCGGTCCCTCCCCCCCCTCTCTTCCTGACCGCCGCTCCCCCGCCTGCTCCCCCGGTACAGCCTCCCCCCCCTGGTCCAGCCCCGTCTGGTGTGTCTCAGGCTAGCCCTCCCCCTTCGGTAGCCCCCCCTGTACAGCCTCCCTCCCCACAGTCTTCCTCGCCGCCTCCTGCAGGTGCTCCCTCTCGGGAGGTTGGTCCTGCGACTGTCCCTGTACAGGTCTCTGG